TACACCGTCTTAAATCTTGTATGATTTACTGAGCGAAAAATCAGGCTTACGATGCATCATATCATAACCATATAGAAAAGAATGGAATAAATGCTTTATTGTTCGGTTTGGTATGTGTATCGCTGCAGATGATATTCTTTCACGAATGACCGATGGAAGACCTTATTAAGCGGGGTAGAATAAGATAAGGAAAATAATAACGTCGTCCCATTTCCATAATTTAAATTGCAAGAGACGGATTTGGCTGTCAACTAAATCTTTGTTGGTGTGTGTAGGTTTGTCCGTAATAGTTTGTATGCATAGTATTAAACCGTGATGCTTATCGTCCACATACATAGTTCACAGAATAAGTAATCCTATTTCTGCAAAGCTTGCTAAAAAACGTGTCCTAATCGATGCGATTGTTTAACAAGAAGTATAAACAAAGACGGACAGAAAACAGTTTAGTCTGCATTCTTATTTTCTGCATTGACATTCACATGCAGGCGCAATTTAATCGAGAAATATGTAATTGCTTCTCTCTACACACACGCCAATAATCAGTTGAAAAAAGAGCTACACACATAACTGGCTGACCGGCTGGGGAAAGGGTTTGGTCATTCTTTTTGTGTTATCATCTTGGCCTGCAACGATTTGCATAAATGCGTAGGTCGCTTAAAATCTGAAGGTTGTCGAATAGCGTAATAAACTTTATATGTATCGTTCCTTCTTAAAGGCTTTCATGTACATGGTCTGTCTGCCTGTGGTCCACAAAACAGTGGAGTAGAAACTCCTGCAAGTTTCTTTCATCCTTTAATTTGACACCTGCTGTACAATTACCTTCTCGTTCTTTTGGTCAAATGGAAACTTCTTCTTCTTTAATTAAATCTGAATCCGACATTGGCCAGATCCTAGTATGATTTTCATTGTGATTGTAATTACTGATAAATGATGTATCGGAAATAGGAAATTTCTGTGTATGTAAAATAAATATATTGATGATGAGAATATTTACGAATAATTCTTGCTGATCTTGTTTTTATCTCATAAATAAAATAAAAACAATGCTGTTCATGTATAGCATAGCCACCTAAATGAAAATATGTAATATGCAATACTAACGCCCACGTACGGCCTAATTGCATGCAATACTTGCTCTGTCCAAATGCAGAGAATATCTGAATGTATTCATGTTGGACTTCACCTGATGAACGTGCTTTCAACAATATTGTTGAAACTTTAAATTAAATGTGTTTTAAATGAACTGCTGCTAGAACATAAAGTTGCCACGATTTTACATGCGTGTTACGCATCCAATTAAAACAAAACTTCAGGAAATTTTACATCAATGTCGTCCTTCTTGTCAAGTTGTTGGCAGACATTGAATAACGAATTGGTCGTAGTAAATGCATACTTTTTGTGTGTGGAGTCATCTTAAATAATACGAAGAAGTGCAGTGCAGGAATATATGAATACGTAAAGTAAAAGATTTTTAAATTCAGAAGTATGCATGCACTTGTAACAGTCACACTTTAAACATTTAGATTCGGAAGAACTATGCGTGGGTGTTGGACAGTCTGTACTTGATGAAAATGGACAGAAACCATCCCACCCTAAAGTCTAAATAATGGCGACTCTATATAATTTGTAGATATGCAGATTGGTTCGGCTTATTCGTTAAATTATTTAGTTTGGATGAATATTTAGGATGATTTAGATTATGAAGTTGTAAGATTTTTTAAAAACATTTTTGTTAAAATTAGCCGGGTAAGTTTAAAGGGAAATTTGCATATTACCAATCAGTAACACGTTGAGAATCTTATGTATGTGAATTATGTGAGTGTTACGCATTTGTATTTAAATTTATATCCGAGTCCTTGGCAATCTAGAGAGCAAAAGTAATTTTGAGACTTGTTGTTTGTCCATATTTTTAAAAGAGACATCTTCCTAACCATCCAATGCAATATTGCCTCCTTGGTTTTTTGACACGTAAATATTCCTTCTTCCTATTCCTCGCGATTATTGCATCACGGACGGACGGGGAGAGGAAGCAGGAAGGAAGTTGTTGAAAGAGATGAACTCTTTTCAAATCGGATTCAGCAGAAATCAAATCACAACTTGTGAAGGCAGTAACTAACCCACGAAATGAACAAACCAACAACCCAGATATTTTTAGAACTTGGTTTTTTCACTGAGACAGCAAAACTGTTCTGCATCTCGCATGGTGGATGAGCTCTTGCTTGAACCGAGAGTGGTGAATTCGGGTATAAAAGGTCCATATACTTTCACACCATTCACTACTACCCGGTAATACCCGGTACACATTTTAAGTATGTATCTATATACCGGCTCATGTATGAATGCAAGCAAATGTTTGCTATAAACTATATAATCATCATCATTGGATACACATTTTGCAAAATGGGTTTAAAACCGCAAGATTTTTAGGGTGCAGTAAACCTCAGAAGTATTTGGTTGAGTCAGTTTTTTCGCAAATTGTTCTCCTTAAAATTTCCTCAGCAATTTAGTTTAGGACTTTTCATTTATTATCAATATTTAAAACAAACTGTGCATAATATTCTCCTCTTTATGTGTCATTTGATGGTGTATGTATGCATTATCACAATCGTATTTTGTTCATAAAGTCAAACTGTTTTTGTTTTAGTTGGCGAAGGGATGGTTATTTTAAAGTTGAGAGTATTAGTAGGACATTCACTCGGGCTTCCATCATTTTTTCATCATCCGCTCCTTCATCCCAGTAACATTTTGGCATTTGTTTCAATCCCATCTCAAATCGCAATTAGGCATTGACATGAGACGAAGACCTAGCTGAATGGAGACACAGAAATGTAAGTATTACAGGAAAAAAGGCCTACACCGTTTGGCATCTTCTTCTTCTTCATGTGGTCGTTTTATTTTACGTTAACGCATCCTGATTTCACTGCTTGATGTCAAACAGTCAAACTGTGCGAAAGTAGAGAGGTTCGCTATATTTTCCTTCTGCTAAAGTCAACTTGTACCTCAGTTTGATGATATGGTTGCCAAAAATTAATGGATGTTTCTATCTCTGTCTGGCACACTTGTAAAATTAATTAATGCTGTGCAACTACGGGGGTGGTCTAATTTTTTAACTGTGCAAAATCAGGAGACACAGTTTGCAATAGTAATGAAGTGACTAAGAATACATTTACCACCGGGTTGTGGTTGGGATGATCAATGATGAGTCAATAAATGCTTAATGGTGGTTTTAAATAGTGTTCTATAATATCTAGGCGTGTACATAAAAATAGTCAGAATGAGTGGGCTAGGGAAACAGTAAAACAAACCAACCACAGATAAGAATGACAACCTTTGAAGATAACCGTGACTATTTATCACTCCACACATTTAATTTACATTTAAATTTCTTGTAAGGAAAGCTAAACAAAAATTGACTGTTGACTTGACTTACTTTTATATTTAACCAAGTTTACATGCAAAGTCCTGCCTTTCATCTACAAAAATACCGACACAGCACAAACCCCGTCTTAAATAGTTGAAAAGCGAGGAAGACTTAGGAATTGAAATAGTTGACAAATACACAAAATGTACATTTCAAAATCGACCGGAAATGTGAGAAATGGCAAAAAAGTTAATGGAAAAGAAGAAATTCCGGAAAATTGGGCGAAAACTATAAAATTTTGTGGTGAATAAAATCGAAATCTGGTATCCATCGTGGCATTGTAGTCTGTAAATAAAAGAATGTGCGACATTCATGGAGATAATCGTGACTAATGGTATTCTACAATGTCGTGTCGTGTGGGTACACTACAAGCACAAAACATGAGACGAAACAAGCAAAAAATACAAAAGTCAAGTAAGAGTTAGAGCTATTTGCCATTTCGGGCTGTCTTTTTCCTCTTCCTTTCCTCCTCATCTGGATGTAACACAATGAAATTTGACTTTGTTCCGTGTGGCAAACGGTGATAAAAATCACTTTACTGAGCTTTAATCTTAAATCACTTACTGCTCTTTCACTACAACGGGGAAATAAACAGCTTTTAAAATTGTTTCGGCAAAAAAATATTTTAAATGTTTATACAAATCTCAATTTGTACTTTTAGAGTTATTTTTTTACTAACAAGTTGACAAGTAAAGTAAAGTTGACAAATTTTACAGTTTCAAAATTTACTCTGCATTTTCTCCTCTTCGGATGCAAATATCTCGGCCAAACGTACCCATCGGCAGATAGTGTCATTTGCAAATTTCGTAATAATTAAGTTTGTGATCGATTGGCACTAATTTGGTAAAAATCGGAGAGCATTCGCTGGGAATCCTCCATTGTTAGAATTGCTCCATGTTGAACTTCAAATATATATTTTTTTCTCTGCAATTTCTGTTATCAGATCAATGTTAAATGTTAAAATGTTAAAATGTGACAGTTTTACATCGCCAGGACTCAGATTTCTCTGCTTTTCAGCCTCAGATGGCGACTTCTTGCCATAATTTCGTAGCAAGTTGTCTCATCCCAATACAATTTAGGGGTTGTAGTAGATTCAAAGTTTGATATCCTCAAATTTTTTGTCTTGCCGTGGTACATGTAACGTTGAAGAAGAATAGAAAAGAATTGAGTCATCCATCCGTGCAAGCTGATTTATGAAATGACATGACGCGTTCTTATTCTGTGCAATCAGAGTTGAATCCTCTCCTCTCTCCATATTTGAACATTCGGTCGCCAGAAAGAGAGACCAGAAAAAGATTCATGTAACGATTTAGTCGGTTGTATTTGTACAATTATTAAAATATTGATGTGTTGGAGAGACTGCAGACGGCATTCCTTGACCAATTATGGAGAAAATGATAATTTAGTATTGACAATTATTGAGTGTGATCGATATGAAAGCAGTTAGTTAGATATTTCTGCTTTCAATTTTATTTCTAATGATATGATTTTATTTATTTATACCCACTTAAATATATATTATGCCAATTATTAATAAGCAGTATCTCGTGTTGACATGAAATGTATTCTATTTTTTCAGATTGATGCTGATAAAAAGACAGATTTTCTCATCTACAGAAATTTTTGGTAAGCAAATTCCCCCATAATAATGCTAATAATCTCAAAACTCCATCCTTGGCCACGAAACGAATGCAAATCTAAGCACATTTATTCGCAGTAATCATTTTTATTTTTTGAGAATACTCACGTTATTTATTTTGGCTTTAGTCAGCGCCAGTGAAAGCAGAGCATGGCATTGTGTAAGCCGGGGACAAAGGCTGATTCTCTCTTCTTGATAAGTAAAGTACCCTGTGCGACTATTCATTCCCGGTCATAAATAAAATCTGGGAATAAAATAAAAGTACGAGATCCCCTCCTCCTCCTCCTCCCTTGATTTCTCTCCTTAAAACGTCCACCAACTCGTCGTTTCCAACTTTTCCTAACTGAATTAAGACTTGGCCCGTTGACACTAATGAAAAGATATTTTCCCATCCGTCCAGCAGTCCCCTCGCACCCATCCATTCAAACACAACCCCACCAAACAACCGACCAACTAATGCAATTTTATATTACATAAAGCAATTCATTTAAGTGATTGCTTGCTTTTGAAATTGAGAAGACTTGTTCAAAACTTGTACATACATTGGTCCGCATAAATTGTAACATCACTTTTCATTTCTTAATACGAAGGATTTTTAAATGAGTCGGACTCATCCTCAGAGTGCTGAATATTAATGTCAAAGATTTATATGCGGACGTGTCATAACTTTTTAGTTAGTAGTAGCTGAGCTGTTAAGTCTCCTGGCAATTATTCCCCTCCTGAGTATGGCAATAATAATAATTGGTAATACAAGTAAGTGCAGAGTTGGGTGTGTGCGTACTAAATATTAAATATGGTTTCGTTATTATTATTACTTTACAATTATTGCTTCAGTGATTTGAAAGCACTTTCTTTATCGTTGGTTATATTGTATTGTATTGTTTGCTACTTGCGTATGTATTCGATGAATGAGGAAATGTAAGTACTCGTTGTACGAGTGTTTATGGTGAGGGAGAGAATTTTGATGTGTAATGGAGTGTAATATGCAGAAGATCCGACGCACACCACTCGGTTAAACAGACAGTAAAAGTTTCATGGGGGTAAAACGGTGGAAATAAGTGAGCAGGGATTAGATGATAACATACTCATGTGAATTAAATCATTTAAAAAAATATTTAGCCAGGAGGAGGATGAATAATTCATAACGACACCTTTTACTACTTACTAAATACTAAATACCAAGTGCGGGCTAACGAGGCAATTTGTATTGTAAGTGGTTTGGCATTTCTTAATTTAAAGCAATTGTGATGATGAGAGACGGTTATAAATAAGCGTTACGTAACATATGACGATTTCATAAGTGTGAAGACCTTCAAATGAAATGAACAACTGTCAGGTTTGTTGAGTTCATAAAAAAAGGTGCATTATGATGACATGCAGGAATAATGGGGTATGATTTAGTGCATCGGTTGTCACCTCTGCTGCAGTGCAATTAGTGAAACCATTGTTAATTAGGGATAGATAGCGAGTTAAGATGCTGAGAAAATAAGTAAGATCTGGTAATGTGGTTATGATTCTGGCTCTGATTTCCCAAAAAATATCTACATATTTTGACCCAACAAGATCATTAAGGCGCTGCCAATCCGAATTTTTCACAAGCCAAGCCACCCACCCGAAATCATTATCATAGTTGCAATTTAAGCGAAGTAGAGAAGGAGGGTCGGAGCAATTCGACGAGACAGTGGCAAACAGACTCATCCATCTCCCAAACTCCACTTCCTCTCAGAAGGAAGAATACATAAGTGCACCGAGGGGAGAAGAAATCTCCATCTTATTCATTCCCAGCACCCCCACCACCACCACCACCGTCAGATTTTGGATAAGTAAACAAACCCAAAATCTTTCAGAAAATCCAGTCTTTTTGGCGATGAAATTTATGGTGGGAGAGAGAAAGGGAAGACAAGTTTGTTGATGCGTATCGCGCCCTGGTATTCATGTTCTGTGCCCTTCCTCGGAGAGATATCTGGCTCTATTGGTTCTGTAAATTACCAGGACTCACCACACCACCAAAATCTACAAATTTGACAGTGATGTACATGATGTTACTGTGAAATTCTTGCCTCCATTTTACACATTCGTGGCAAGAATAACTGGCTCCTAACGGGCAATAAGTTTAACCCGAATTTGTACATTGATGACAGATGAAAAACCTTGCTGGAAGTTTGCACAATAATTTTCTCTTACATATTCCAGCCAACGGTGTACTTATGTATGTTTGTGGATGTTTGTGGTGGTGAATCCAACCAATCCACCACCCAATAATAATCCGCATTTAGCATCGGACATCAATTCCATGTCATGTTTTGTGAGGGGAGGAAATGGAGGAGAGAGATCACTCACGGCCGTCTCATCTCATTCCATCACATCACATCTCAATTTCTCCAATCATGTCAAACCCGAATATACACGGATGCCTGGAACTACTACTGTGTATGATATGCAGTTATCGTGGGACCTTCTCGTGGTGCGATGTGGTGGTTGGTAGTGCATCTCGAAATTTCTCTGCTCACTCCTTGTGATACAGATCGCTTGGCAAACAACAGATATTTTATGGATCCATTTCAGTCGGAAGAGGGAGAGGAAGCCGGAGCACAATTGACAATCATAATAGAAACACAATGGTGTACAAAGTGTATCCATTTCATTAGACGGCTAGGGCTTTGGGAAAGTAAGTGAGTCAAGAGTCGAGTCACCCCCTCGTATAAATGCTTCATTTATTTGTTTGAATGTTTCGTATGGAGGATGCACTTTATATTTTCTATAAAAGAACAAGCCACGCGGGCCGATCTGTATGGACAATGATGGTCTGGTCAGGCCGGAGGAGTAGACGAGAATGAAAAGATCAAAATCTATCTTTTTTTTGGTCCTCGATTTCTATGTGTGTGGTAAAGTGAAATGTTCCCCAGCAGAGCAGCAGTAAGGCAAAGTTTTCTATGTGGAAATGTCCACATCTCCACATTCATGGTGAAATGGATAGGTCAGACGTGATCTGTGAGACCCGACCGGAAGTGAATGTCCGATTCCGATCATCCAAGCGGAAGCTGAGTGTGCTTTTTGTATGAAAAAAGATTCCATAAATTTGTTGATTTTGAATCTCTGGAAAGATCAGATGGGTCGTGCTGCATGGGGTGAAATACATGCATTTTAAATTTTAGATGTAGAGTTGAAAAGTAATAAAACTAATTTACAAAACGGGACAAAATTATATTAAACATTGATGTTGACATTTTCTTAAAAAACGTGCAAGTCGAAGGGCATGTAAAAAAGTGTATGTAAAAAATTGTACGCATAAAAACTAGACTTTCATTCATTTCATTGTGCGTAAAATGTAATTTTGTGCTTTTCTTCTCAGAATGGAAATCTTACATTTTGTAAAAACTGGCTGGTTACACACGAACCAGAACTTTGTTGTATGAACATACTCGTCTGTTGTTGAGCATTATTGTGCAAGTATCGTATCTGCTACTGCTTCTGGTGCTGGTCCCTCTGGAAGACCATGCGTGACGAAGCATTGCCCGTGAATCCATCATTTCTCCGGAATCGGAATCAAAGAATGCCCTCCATGACTTCATCCCGACGACCCATTCCGGTCTCGGTTTGTTGATTCTGCTGCCAGTTTCGGTATTGTTGCTTGGTACGTCTTCCTCTCTCTCGTACACATTTTCCTCCCAGGGGAACTCGCAGCTTTCACCAATATTTAGCATTTCACTAAGCCCCACATTCTTGTACTCACAGATCGTTTCACTCAGTTGACGTTGCTCCCTGAGTGCATGTTACTTGGTTTGCATTGTGCTGCACTTTTCTATAATGTAACGTAACGAAGGAATAAAAACGACACCATAAAAGCGAGAGTCAGACCAGACCCAGTCATAAATAGTGTTGCATTGTATTCCACGACTATTTTTCTGAGGATTACAAACATTCTACTGCGTAAGACTTTTACTTATAGAGAGACCGTTCCTCTCCTCTTGGAAGAAGATAAAATACTTGCACAAATGCTCTTCTCCGACACAATAAAAAGCTGAGGGGGATGCAGAACAGTAAGTGCAACCACTTTGGTGCACAAATATTTTGATCGCGAGGATCTCTTTAAAATAACAGTTTGTAAAAAAACGAGTCTGGTAGGGAACGAATAAATAATTAGGCGTAGAAATAAGAGGAGAGCATAATATTTTTATAATTGAGTTGGAGAAAGTGGATACGACTTTCTCTTTTCTCTTGATTTTATATATGCATGAGTTGTAAAGTGTAAATGGAAATACATGCTTGCTTATTTTGTCCACTACTGAATACCTCTTTCACTCAATTTGTAGAAAAATTGGGTCTCATCCAACTCCAAGTTTACTACTCGCATCCCTATATTCGCATGTACGTGGGAGTAAGAAATACATGGTTTATTTATACCAGCGAGAAGATTCTGAAAGTTAATCAAGTTATTTTTTGTGTGCAGACACTTACAATTACGATGCATATAGGAGGAAACCAGCAATATATTTGGTATCCCGTCCTTATCATTGAATGGGACAAGATAAGCCACGATGACATTAGAAGTAGTAGTAGTAGACGTAGTACATGAGTAGTGCTGCCATGCCATTGAGGAAGGGGCTGCTTTCTCCCCATGCATGCCACGGGTGGAGGGGGAATACGAGAGAGAAATTTGTCAAAACTTTCCCCGCAGGAGGAGGAGGAGGGAGGGATATGTTGGAGCATTATCTGGAAGAATCTGGTGAATTGACGGGCATAAAAAGTGGACATTTCCACGGCGCCATCAAGTCGGATCCGGCAACTGAGATGTATAAATGGCTGATGGAAGAAAGTTTTAGTGGAACTAAAATGCTGCTCACTCAATAGGGTGGGATATGGCTGAGAGCAAGTTATCTTATCCTTAGGAGTAGATTTGGTTCTTCTCCCCCGTGAAGGGATTCACAGTGATTTCGTGATTTTATATAAGCATACAAATCACAGCGTTAAAGTTTTACACAAATTATTCCTTTATGTAACGTCTCCCATCAAACATTACATTTTCACACAATGGACCTACTTTTCGTCACCGGGGTTAAAAATATCATGGAGAAAACAGTGGAGAAAGTATGTATGGCTTTCCTTTATCGTTGCCTGTCGAGGTGACAGTCTTGTAATAAAAGGGAATAAAAGAGTTGTAAATTTTTTGTGTATCAATATCATCGAGAGACGTTGAATATCACGCAGTAAAAAGTTGTAAGCACGAAAATTATGTTAAACCTTGTCGAGTTTCCTATTCCAATTCTTGTATCCCGACGACTTTTGGGAGTTTCTGTAGTAAAAAGTCTAGCCATGAGACGACCTATCTCTAGTACCTGGGCGGTATTATCGTAGATTTGGTGAGGAGAGATGAAATATTTTCGTATCTCGCCATTGTCGCTGGCAATTTGTCATCTTTCCTCTCGTACTACTGACTGCTGAACCCTTCTTCTTCTTCCTCCTTGGGTTTGGCTGGCCGGATCTGATTTTATTTAACCCTTAACTGCCAAACTATGTACAAAGTGGCTGAAGGGATTGGAGAAAATGGGGAAAGTTTTCCGTCTGCCGGCGCCACCAAGTCTGGGCGTGTGGGATTGGCTGCCATTCCCCCACTTTCACCGCCTCCCGCCCAACCCCAACTCGTTTTGATTTTGATTCGAAAATCTCGGAAATCTTCCCCAAGCTCCAGAAATCTTTTTTTGTCCCTTCAGTCTCTCTCTGACTTTGGGACTGACCACCCAAAAAGTCCGTCTTTAGCTCGGCTCCGTAGTACTAATCCGGCGTCTCAATTTGGTAAATTTCTGTAGGTATATAATCCTGTTAAGCCCGGTAGGGAAATTGAGACGAGTTTTCATAGACTTTTGTAATAAGGAACAAAATGAGGAGAAATATTCCTCAGAGTTCTTCTGACTACTTGATACAATTCTTCCCATTGTGTCGTGATTTACAAATACGAGGGAGGAGGCGGACATGGCCGGGTTATAAGTCCTCTTGGGATATTTGACCGTAAACGGACAGATTTTGCAGTGAACTTTGTCATTTTACTACTGCTTTCGTAATCTTTATCATTTCGGAGTAAAACTTGAAATGCAATTAAAGACAGGTTGGGCATGTCAAAAGAGAAGATTTTAAAATGCGGCTCATTTGTCTCCTCTTTTTCAACGCCCACCACCTTTCCGTTCCGTAAACTCGATCTATTAAACCAGACCGAAACAAAAAGGTCAGAAAACATGACAAAACACAGTTGTTCGTTCGTTCGTCTTCACATCCTCCTCAAATCAAGAAATATTCCATTAAATTCATCTCGGCTTCGTTTACTTACACCAAGAAAGGTACGTTTAGTGGTTTATCTTGTCGTAAATTAAACAGTTTTCTCAATTTTCCCGGAGGCACTTTGAGACTAATGTAGTACATAAATGAATCATTAAGAATGGGAGTCATCATTAATTTAGGAGTGGCCCTGGTACAGTTAGTTACACCGGATGGTTACTAATATGGTCTGTCAAGTTAAGCCATTGCATAATCCGGCTGGATTATGTAGTTCGTCGTCCATTTGATTCTGATTTGATGGGTCTTTCTCCTTACTGGGAAGCCGTCATTATGCAGGCGATGGAGACGATGAGATCGTGTCATTGACTGCATAAGTGTTGTTTTTGATGCTACATGATAAAATTAAGTTTTATCAAAATAATTCCTACGAAAATTTGTGTTTCAAATCTAAATTTACTTTCTCTCTCAAGGAATATCCAATTTGTTATTTGCGATTCTTGAGTAAATTCAGACAAAGCCATTAATCTCTGCGCTGCTGTATAACATTGTTAATTTCACTTTTAATTACTGACTTGATTGGATTTAGAGGCATTGGAGTATGAAATGAGCCCAGTTAAGGGAAAATCTTATCACATCAATGTCAAGTTCAAGACATGGGTGAACTTTAGCCCAGTCCAGTTCCTGTCTAATCATTGTATTAATACTTGCTTCACTTAATTTACATTTACCGTAGAGTAAAACTGGATGATGTGATTTCCAGTGAACCCTACAATGTTAAAAGTGAAAGTCAGGCATGTCATTATGATTAAGCAGTCAGTCACTGTGATTGATTCCTTATTGGGATAAATCATGTATGATGAGTAGCATTTTCTCGGAAATTTTATAATACAAATTGCGTAATCTATCAGTATTATTATACGAATTTAACTACAAAATCACAATAAAAGATGCCATGCTTTGCCATTATGGTTCAGTTTTATTGATGATTCACTTCATTTTTTATCTTCAGATTGCCCTATCCTATCAGCCTTGAAGTTGCCTGAAATTTACCACTGCCATGAGAAGATAACCGACAACGATAAGCTTAAAGATAAGTCACAATCAGGGGAATTCAGAAGAGAAAGCACAAGATATCGTCTTCCATACGACACAGGGGAGTCTAAAGACTGCGCTCAAACCAACAACCAAGCCCCTCACTCAAAATCATAAGAACCCAGCCAAAACAAACACTTTTCTGTTTTCATTCATTTCACATTTAATTTTTAAAGCTAGTTATTTTTTGAACTGTACCAATTTCTGAAAATAATCGCAAATTATTCGCACGAATTTCACCTAATGATTCAATCAATCGACTTGAGTTGAAACGATACAAAAGAGGAGGAGGGAGTGAAGAAGAAGGAGAAGACTTGTAAATAAATCAACTTCTTCGTTCTCTCATTCTTCTCATCTTAATTTCGCCAACTGTCTTATCGACAAACCGGCGACGAAATGGCGCTCTCACTTAAGGTTTTCATTGTGGAAAAGAGTGTAACGAAGACTCTTCAGTTTGATCCGTCCACAACAATTTTTGACGCTTGCAAAATCATCCGAGATAAATGTTCCGAGTTGCCGGATCTTGGTCAACGTAAGTTATTCTTTAATTTAATTTAACTTTATTAGATAAGGAAATATAGTGGATTTGTTTCTGATTCTCATTGTGTTTCTTTACAGCGAAAGACTATGGTCTTTTCCTTCCCGGCGAATCGCTAGGATCTGGTGCGTGGCTAGAACCGTCCAAAACGCTGGACTACTTTCTTCTTAGGTAAGCGTTTATGAATAGTTTTCAAATCAGTTCACAGCTTGACTATTATTTAATCAATTAACTAATGTAACTTATTGTCTCTTTCTATAAAATAAAATAACCTCAGAAATGGAGACATGATCGAGTATAGGAGAAAGATGCGACCACTTAAAGTACGAACGTTGGATGGCACAAATAAAACTATGATGATTGACGACAGCCAAAATGTTGCAAATTTGATGGTCGTGATCTGCACAAAGATGGGTAAGAATTATTTAAACCGATAATTAAAGAATATGTATATTTTCTCAAATAAATACAAAGTTAACCCAATGTTTGACTTAGGTATTACGAATCATGACGAGTACAGTTTAGCTCGAGAACTGCCTGAGGATAATGATCCGCTGAATAAGTCAGATAATTATGGAACACTTACGATGCGAAGAAAGAGGGAGGAGAAGGAACGAGACGCTAAGATGGAACAATTAAGGAAAAAGCTGAAAACTGATGACGAAAGTAAGCGAGAATCACAATATGATCATGTCACAACGTTATAAAATAATTAGTGTTATGATGCTGACTACGATTCTTATTTATTTCAGTGAATTGGATTGATCACGGAAAAACTTTACGAGAACAGGGTGTCGAGGAAGCCGAAGTATTACTACTTCGAAGGAAATTCTTCTTTTCTGATCAAAATATTGATCAACAGTAAGTATCAACAGTAACTCTTTTTTTGGGGGATAACTTGCATATTTAATACGAAGCTGATAAACTGTATTTTCGTGTAGTGATCCGGTGCAACTCAATCTCTTGTACGTTCAAGCCAGGGATGCAATTTTGGATGGTACTCATCCTGTGACGCAAGACAAAGCTTGCGAGTTTGCCGGTGTCCAGTGCCAAATTCAGTTTGGTGATCACAATCCACAGAAGCATCGCGCTGGATTTTTAGAGTAAGCCTTAATGTTTATTGCAAAAGCTGTAACTTGGATGATTATAATATTTAAATACTGTTCCAGGCCGAAAGAATTTCTACCATCTTCATATGTGAAAGTGAAAACCATTGAAAAAAAGATATTTGCTGAACATCGACGACATATGGGTAAGCACAATTTAAATGTAATTTAACATATCGACAACTAATTGGCTCGTACTTTAATTCATATAAAACATTGTTTGATTGTTTGGTTCAGGTCTTTCCGAATTGGATGCCAAAGCCTTATACGCCAAATCAGCAAGAGCACTTGACACTTATGGCGTCACCTTCTTCTTGGTGAAAGAGAAAATGCCAGGCAAGAACAAGTTGGTCCCCAGGCTGTTGGGCGTCACGAAGGACTCTGTTCTTCGTTTGGATGAAAAGACAAAAGAAATTCTAAAGACGTGGCCTTTGACAACTGTCCGCCGTTGGGCCGCATCTCCAAATACTTTCACCCTGGACTTTGGTGACTATTCGGATCAGTACTACAGTGTACAGACAACTGAAGGTAACTATTAATTTAATTGATACACAATTTATGAATACGTTTAACAAAACTTAATTAACCTTATGTGTGTGCTTGTAAAAAGGTGAACAAATCGCTCAACTTATTGCTGGGTACATTGACATCATTCTTAAAAAGGTTTGTTCTATTCGATAAAATTCAATTCGAACCACTTCTAATTAACGTCATTGATTTAATTATATAGAAACAAGCCAAGGATCACTTAGGGATTGAGGGGGATGAGGGGTCAGCTCTATTTGAAGATAATGTGAGCCCAATTCGTGCCACAATTGTTCAACGTCAACCACCAGCAGTGCCAAGGCCTTTGGATACGAGCAGTGTCGCTAAGCCTGCTGTAATTCAAGGTCAGACCATGGTCTTTTTTAAATTTTCTCAAATCTTTGTATTGTGCTGTTTGAGTGTATGACTTTAGGGAATAAATTGTATTCAATAATATTTTTTTGTTTGCTATAAAAATTCAAGCTGGAGCGGACGGCATGAACTCGATCCATACCGGACACCTGCAACCTCCCCATTACAGCACTCTTACTGGCCAAGTCCATGAAACTCACATTTCTGAAACAACGGTAAGTAAAGAACTCTGCCCATATTAGAGCAAATTAATCGATGCATGCTCGCTGGTGAAAGTTGAGTTGAAACTGTATGAACTGTTTACGCATGATGTCAGGTGAATGAGGTAATTGCAATAGGTGGCATTTTAGGTCGTTTCTTATGTCATACGGTTGCACAGAAATGACGTGCAACTCCCAGATAAATTAGAGATACGCACGTTTAAATTTTTCCTTGCATGCAACTTTCTCATAATGTTTAAATCGATATTTCAATTTCCCCTGAGAAATGTATGCATACGACCCACTTACATTTAACTCATTTCTGCAAACGTGTTGGATCTATTCGGATTCAGTCACATTTTCTCTTACAAACTTGCTCATAGCGAAAGAGAACATAAATATTTTTTATTTTAAATATGAGTGACTATTTCTTGAAAGAGTTTAGAAAATTAAGAATACAGGTTGTAAACGTATTTAACTTGAATCGCCCGTACTCATTGTTGTTCATTGTCTATTATTGTGTGTTTTACAGATGCAACAACTCCAAATGGCTGAACCAATGACGGCCCACAAGCGGGGTAAGTCTTGATAAAAATTATAGAAATTATTACCTCATATTAGAATGTACTATCCTCGCATTTAGGCGTGTCACCTCATTTGCATATGAGATGAATTAATTGTTTTTGTTAAAAATTTGCAGCATTGATGAGCGGTCATGATGCGATTGACAAATCAAGAGACATTCTCAATCAGAGATTCGACCTCCCACCCATGGGTGATGATCCGGTTAGTAACTACCGACTTCGCTACACTCGTGTTACGCAATTTTGTTAAGCTATCATCATGAATGACCATTTTGTCTCTTGAACGTGTCTGTAAATGTGTCTTTTAGAAACATTGCTTTATTGCATATAATGTAAATTCAATGTTGAGATCCCAATCGATTGAAATGTTTAGTTTTTTTTGCTTAACACGTCCACTTACAAATATGATTACTGACTTTGAAAAGTAACTTTGATTCATTTGATTCACTACTTGTTGATCTTATTTTAATAATCGCCGATAAACTGGCCAACCAGTCATTAACAGTATTAACAAAGACTGACTTTTTTTTTACCAATCTCTTATACTCTCATTATTATATTAGCAGTGTAATAAATTTGTCACTGAATAATAGAATATTTGGCGTTGAATTTGCATCGTTTTTCTTCATTTCATTTTGTACATTTTGTGTGTTTTCGAATGTGTGCGTCTTCTTCCTTCTTCCTTGTCTGCATTTCTTTTTTGTTTGGCTTTCACTGTTAAATATTATTTTATTGCTTTTTGTCAAATTCTTGTTTTTCATTAATTTTTTTGTGCCAAAGCAGAGCAGAGCTTTCAGAAACATTAAATTTTCAAAGAAACTCTCAACTAAATTTTGTTACTGAGAGTACTTCTGTCTTACTTGTGTAGCACACAAGGAAATGGAAGGAGACCACGATTGATACGAAGAAAGCAAATGTTCAAACACAAATCGCTGCTATGAATGCAGCCACTGCTCATGTTGTAACTCTTACATCCACGGATGAGGTAGACTCTGGGGCGATGGGGGAGGCAGTCAGTGGTAAGTTGACCAATTTCATTAGTAGGTCCAAAAAATTGGAAGAAATAAAATCCACATTTGTTTGATTTACTTTATCACAGCCATCTCCTCTGGATTACCGGAAGTGGCGAAGGATGCTCGGATGTTAGCCGCGTTGATGGGTGACGGAGGAGGTGACAAGTTGATTGATGCTACCAGGAAACTTTGCAATGCATTTTCAGACCTGCTCACAGCAGCCGAACCAGACACCAAAGAGGTACGAAATACATTTTAGATGGGTGTCTATGCTATCATTAAGGCGTCTTCATTAACTTGAGTACTAATTACTGGCGTCAATTTCAGCCACGACAGAGTCTACTAAGCGCTGCTGGACGAGTCGGGGATGCCTCGAGAGCGTTGTTGAATACAATTGGGGAAGGAGACGAGACACAAGATATGCTCCTTGCTCTGGCTAAGGCTGTAGCAAATACATCCGCAGCTTTAGTAGTGAAAGCGAGGAAATGTGCAGAAACCGTAGATGACCCACAACAGAGAGAAGAAATAATTTCATCCGCAGCCCAAACAGCTTTAGCTGCATCAGAGTAAGAGTTCAACTCCACTCGATTCATTTATAATTTGCACCGCGGAGACTTCCAGCTGTTAATCATTCTTAAATGTTTTCAGGTTGGTCGCCTGCGCCAAAGTGGTTGCCCCCACGGTGAGTCTGCTATTCTTTCCTCTGGCAATTATATGAATTTTGTTTTATAACGCCGTCTTGTATTTCGTTTTATAGATTAACAATGAAAAGTGTAGAAGCGAGCTTATGACTGCTACAAGGAAGGTGGCACAAGCAGTGGAAGCTGTTTTGTCCTCGGTTGATAAGTCTACTAAAAACCGGCCATTGAAGGATGATCTCCAAGCGGCTGCGAGGGAAGTTTCCGAGTCACTTAATCGATTAATGGATCATATCAGGTAAGCTAAATTAGAGGAGTAGACTTTTCTTTGTGAAAATATGTATGTTATAGTACAATTTGTACTAAATGTTATTATTCTCTTAGACCACAAGCGCGCGTCTCTGTCCAAGAATCGCGTCAAGAAGAAGCGGTAGACACAATTCTCGTCGCTACTGATAAAATTATCACTTCTCATGACCCCAGTGACATGGTTCGTCAAGCTCGAATACTAGCCCAAGCAACTGCTCAGGTTAGTGAATTATTTTTAGCAAATTGATCAATTTTGTATTCTTATCACTTACGTTCGAAAACTCACTTGAAGTAAATATTCTAGAAAAATACTTCTTCAAATTAATGTTTTGTCTCTTTCCACTTTACAGCTTATTCAAGCAATCAAAGGGGAGGCAGAAAAACAACCGGATTCAGATGTTCAGAAAAAGCTCATCGCAGCAGCGAAAGTATGATTATAGTTAGTCCAATTAGTTTAGAATAATCTTTAAACATAACTATTTTTACTTAGGTGCTGGCTGAGGCAACATCACGTCTGGTAGGTTAATATAAATTAAATTTATGCTTTGCAATGCTAATTACAAAAATTGATTACAATTATTAAACTACGCAGGTCGAAGCGGCTAAGGCATGTGCATCAATGCCAAACGATCCTAAAAATCAAGAACTACTAAAGAAAACCGCACAAGCCTTGAGGGAAGCGACCAATGATGCTGCAGGAGGTGCCGTTCAACGCAAGAACTTGAGAAGACTGGAAACCGCTGCAAAGAATGCTGCATCTGCTGCAGCTCAGACGATCGCTGCCGCACAATCTGCGTCTCCTCATTGCAACAATGCTACAACAAGAGATGCAATGTCTTCTGATTGCCGTGCTGTTGGTAAGGTGGATGTAGACAAGGCTGACGAGAACGAAATTTACATGCATTTATATTATATGCCATTTTGTAGCGGATACAATTCCTCAGTTGGTCAGCGCCGTAAAGTCTTCATTACAATCTGGAGATGAATCATCGCAAAGCAATCTTATCGATGCGACGGACAAATTCGTGAGACCATCAAATTCCTTAGTGTCCACTACCAAGCATGCTGTCACTTTTATCGAAGACTCGTCATCCCAACGACATTTGACTCAATGCTCAAGTAAGTTATAAAAAATTATATAACTTTTCCCTAAATTGTGCAAGCATGTGTACTGATCGAGTTGATCTAAAATTACTACAGCCAAACTTGCCATGGAACTTGTTGAACTCCGAACATCCTTAGACCGCATTAAAGCAGATTCAGGTTTGCTAGGCCCAAGCGAGCCTCGGCGACAACTTGAATCGGCTGCTGAAAAAGTTCAAGAAGTAAAAGCTGAACTTTTGGCTTGTCAGAAGGCAGCATCAAGAAATGAATTAAGGCCACTTCCTGGAGATACAATGCAAAATTCGATCCAACGGTATGCAAATCTACTTACTACTTAAAGCAATTTGATAAACATGCCCAATTAATTCCTAACGATTAACGTACATGTTGCAGATTGACGTCAAGTATTCGCAAAGTTGGAAACTCTACTGATCAACTAGTGAACTCTGTGTCAGCCTCTGATGCCAATGGTTCGTCACAATCAGCCCAAAGTATGTCATCGGGTCTTACAGACCTGGTGTCTGCATCCAGAGGAGTTGCTGCTGCGTCAAACGACTCGAGAATTTTGATAGCAACGGAAGAAGTCCTAGAACGAAGTTGGACGCTGCTTCGAGAAAGCTGTGGCTTAATCAATAGTGATGATTCCGCATATGAGAAGCAAGCTCAGATGAAACCACTGGCCAAAGGTGTTCATGATGCTCTGGATAGAGTCAGTGGATCAATTCCTGGCCAAAGGGAGGTAGATGATGCGATCATGACAATTAACAATGCTAGTCTGATTCTGGATGACGGTGTCTCCCACTTGAGAGGAATTCCTGGAAGTAGGAATTATGGGTGAGCATTACAAATTTTTTGTTTTTGGATTATAATGTGTGAGTTATTTATTTGTATTTGTTTGTATTTATTCAGCCAACTTCAAACCGAACTACAACGTCTTGCAGCCGAAGTTGGAAACTCTGCGCTGGACGTTGTTGGGGCTACCAAAAATCCTGCCAAATTGGGGACAGAATCGAGACATTTTGGTGGAAAAACTACCGAGCTTATAAACGCTGGCTCTCAGCTTGCTGCACTTCATGAGGATATTCAAATACGGGATGAAATCATCATCACGCTTAAAAGTGTGTCAATTACTACTTCCAATCTTCTTGTTCAGGCCAAGGCAGCTTCTGTTAATCCTGATGCTCCTGGTATGAGGAATCAACTTTCATCCGCTGCCAGGTAATGGCAAATTCAATGTATAAACTTGGATGCAAATATATGGACAAACTAAACTTATTGTTATTTTTGGTTTAGGGCTGTTAACGAAAGTCTAAATCAGTTGATTGACGCTTGCTCATCCGCTGCACCGGGTCAAAAAGAATGTGACAATGCTGTCAGGAAAATTCAAGCACTTAGACCACTTTTAGACAATCCTTCAGAGCCAATTAATCGTTCATCTTACTTTGACTGCCAACAAATTGTAGTTGATCAATCAAAACTATTGGGTAAATTGAATTTCTTTCTATCTTTTAAATACATAATAATGCTTCAAAAAGTATACTATTTATACCCGACTTTCGAATGTAGCATGAAATTAAATTAATATAATATAGTAGTATAAGTAGTAGCCTGAATTAGTAAGAGGCTGTACTTGAAGCAAAGCAACTCTTGTCTTTTGGGTATTGAGTTGAGTCGAGTTATTGATTATTTATTTATTTGTGTCTGTTTCTAATTAATGTGAAATGTGTTGTCTCCACAAATTTTAATTTGGTTTCGGTGGCTTGTTGGCTTTATATAGGTGATAGCATGACGGGAATAGCAAATTTTGCCAAAGAAAGTCAGCTGGATCAATTTGGGGGGTCAGTTAATGCCGCTGCTGACGCTATTTGTGGGTGAGTAAACTATAATGTCTTGATTCATAACTTAATCCATCTAAATACATTGTACAGATATTGATTACACATTTTTCATTATTTTTTAGGCTCATTGAAAGTACTGCCCAATCAGCTTATTTACTTGCAGCGTCAGAACCTACGTCCGTTGCCGGAAGGCCTGGAATGGTTGACATGCACACCATAAATCAGTCGTCACAAAGTATCAAGTCTGCCTGTCAATCCCTCTCAAGCCCAAAAGTTACTCAACAACAAGTATTAACGTCTGCAACGACCATTGCGAAGCACACTTCAGCTTTATGCACTTCATGCCGGGTCGCATCTGAACGGACGAACGATTCCACAACAAAGCGACAGTTCGTTCAAATGGCGAAAGACGTTGCGAATGCGACAGCGGGCCTTGTTAAAGAAATTAAAGGTATGCATTAATACACTACCAATTACGGGTTTTAATGTTTACCATTACTAATTTGATTAACTTATAACCAGCTTTGGACACTGACCAGTCCTCGGAGAAGAAAGAAACGTGCAAACGAGCTACCGACTCGCTAATTAGATCAGTCGATACATTGCGTTCATATGCTGGGCAACCTGAATTTGCGGGTGGTAAGAGCATCAACTATTCATTACGATATTTTAAAAAATGGAGTAGAAAATATGTGTCAAGCAAATTTACATAAAACTGTGGTATATTTTTGCAGTTCCTGCAAAAATCAGTGTGAAGGGTCGCGTAATTCAGGAACCAATTGTATCATCTGGCCGAAGTGTTATTGAAGGATCATGTAATATGCTAACAGGTAACCAATACAACATGCCCAACATGCCTAATTTTAAAAAATATAAGGAACCTGTTTGCAAAAAAAAATGTTCTTTCATATTTCTAGCTGCAAAATCGCTAGCCATTAATCCAAAAGATCCTCCAACCTGGCACCAACTTGCCCAACATAGCAAGCAAGTCTCCGATTCAATTAAACGGCTTGTAACTGCTTTAAGGTATATTTTATTATTGACTTTTGAACTTTACTTGCGAAAATTTAATTTAAATGAGTTTTGCTCTTATTTTGTAGAGAGAAAGCACCTGGTCAAAAGGAATGCGAAATTGCGATTCAGAAATTGAACAATGCCCTCCGTGAAGTTAATCAAGCCTCGCTTGCTGCCGTATCACAAAATTTACCACAGAGAAAAGACAACACGTTGCAAGGTTTTGTTCAAAATGCTGAAGGCTTATTGCGAGGTGCTGAAGAACACGTCGAACCACTTCGTATTTCGGGTAGAAGCGAAGCAGAGAATTTAGGCCATCAAGTCTCTTCCCTCACATCAATTATCGACAATTTGATCGGAAATATCGTGGGTACAGCTTCCAACATTATTGAGACAAAAGAGCAAGTCAATTTATTGGAGAGGACGCGGACCGTTCTTGAAAGCTGTGTTCAATATATTTGTGCCGCAAAAGAGTCTGGTGGAAATTCTAAGGGTAAGCAACTTTTTTCAAGACAATTATATTTATTAAGACGTAAAGACCTTGTTTATATTTTTTATTATTTTTTCAGCCATAAATCTTCATCCTGAGCTTGATCTAAGTAGTCAGGTAATTATATATTTTGAAATAACACAGTTAAATTTATATATTTTAGTGATTACTGTCAAATAACTATTTACTTATTGTACATAATAGTGTTTCCAAGAAGGATTAGACGATCTCAAATCATCGTTAGAAAGAATATCCTCTGGGGCTGGTGGACTTTTGGCCTCCATAACAGAATCTATTGCTGCTTCAATGGTGAAACTAGACCAACAAGCTGCCCCAAGTAGTGCAACCGAATCTTTCGTTGACTATCAATCCCGTATGGTTAACTCTGCCAAAGAAATTGCTCGTTTGTCTCAAGACATGGTCACAAAGGCGACTATCGATCCCTCGAAACTGCCACAATTATCTCAAGATCTATCCCATCATTATACACAGGTACATATGGGTATACGTAGAATTTGTAATATATTTGTTATCTGGTCAATGTGTTTCCAACCAAACTTGAATTGTTTGTTATCTGAGTTATTTTATTCCCATAATTAAATCCACTGTTTATTATTTTTGAAGCTGGCAAACGACGCAAGGGGTGCAATTACTACCACGATTTCTCAAGATGTCGGTGTTCGACTTCGAATTGGTGTTCAAGAATTGGGAAGAGCCTGCATTGATTTAGTTCGATGTGGAAATACAGGTTGGAACAATATTCAGGAATTTATTGAAAATTTTTACTACTCACATTTACTTGTCAACTAATTTATTCTATGTTTGCTAGCCCAATTCTCTCATGGCGATACTTTCGCCCAACGTGATTTGTCTGATGCGAATCGTGTTGTTTCTGAGAAAGTGTCTGACATCTTGGTAAGAAATTGATATGAAGCGGTTTTATTATGTTTGAATGTGTGGACGGCCTAACTAATAACGTTTGAAATTAATTTTTATTAGGCTGCACTTCAAGCAGGATCTCGTGGTACTCAGGCCTGCATCAATGCGGCCTCCACCGTTTCTGGAATAATTGGAGATCTAGATACAACCATCATGTTTGCCACAGCTGGAACTTTGCATGCAGAAGGAGAAGAAACGTTTGCAGATCACAGAGAAAATATTCTGAAAACTGCCAAAGCCCTCGTGGAAGACACCAAAACACTTGTAGCAGGTACGATTCCAGTGACATTTAGATATTTGGTTTAAAGTTCTTCACATCTAGGCTCAATTGTATAACTTCGTGTCTCTCGTCTCGTAGGAGCCGCATCCACCCAGGAACAACTGGCGTCCGCTGCCCAAAATGCTGTCGCCACAATTGTCCAACTAGCCGAAGCAGTCAAATTCGGTGCAGCCAGCTTAGGATCCAACAACCCAGAAGCACAGGTGATGTTAATAAATGCAGTTCGGGATGTTGCTGGAGCCCTGTATGATCTTATCCATTCGACTAAGTCTGCTGCTGGCAAAGGGACAAATGATCCTTCCATGTTGGCTTCCAAGGTACATACTACTTTTTAAATTATTTTTATTTCATTAATTAGTATTGTAATTGGAACTTCCATAAACATTACAATATAGGGTTTCCGTACTAAACAGATTACTTTAAAGAACAAACTAATATACTTTATTCTATATATAATTTTAATCTATATATATATATATATATATATATGGTAATTAACATGCCTAGACACTTATTTAGACGATTATTTTTTTGCAAAAATATAATCTCATCACAAATGGAGAATTCTCACCCGATTATAATCAGGAATCGATTACAATCCAATTCTGTTACTTCAATACAATCTACGAATCTATTTTAATTCATGTAGTAGTACGGACTTTGGGATAACATGCTGTAGAGTAGTTATATTATAGCAATTACAATGGGGCAAGTCCATAAATTATGTCACACGAAAATTCCATTCGAACCCTCCCCCCTCCCCCACCCTTCTGATATGTAAGCACAAATACGAATACATAAAACTTTAGATGTGGCATAATTTATAGATATCCCCATAAGAATACATATTGCTAGCCCGACCCAGGGCTTAGTAACGGACGGCTTACCAGTCCGTCCGTCTTGCGATAATTTAAAAATTAAAATTTGACACATTTAACTAAATATGAGTTCGAATCAGACTTGTAGATCAACCCCTGGGTCGGGCTTAATGAAACTGTAAAAATCACTAGAAGTATGTTCAGAAGTCCTGGCTGATTTTCGATTGGATTCCCCTTGACTAGATCCATATATCGTTTTAGGTCAACTACAACAAAAAGTTTAATATGAATTAAAATATAAAACTAAATAATTATAAATATTCGTGTCATCTATTTACCGTGAAATTCATTTTGAACAAGGTTATCTAAAGTCATATCAGGAAATAGTCTTAGCTTGCTCCAGACGTCACTTCCCTTCCTCATGGAATACTTAATCTGACCCAAATAACGTTGCAGAAGAATGTAACATTCTTTAGGGTTAAAGGAGCAAATAGATCCACTTTCTCCCCTTGCAATCCATTTCAACTGTTGTCCAGCTTCTTTACAATCTGCGATCAGTCCATCCACAAAGAAAGCTTCTTCGGCACAAAAGAAGTGACCGGCTTCAAACAGTGACCTATTTTAAAAACATTAAATTTGTTGAGAATTGCAATTCATTTTTAGTGTATTTCGTTTTAACTAAGATTTTATGTTTCATTAGTCGTGTAAGGCATTGCTGCAACAGTCGATGGTAGTTATCGGCCATTCCACCATGACCCGGAACAGCCGATGGTAGTTATCGGCCATTCCACCATGACCCGGAACAGCCGATGGTAGTTATCGGCCATTCCATATATATAGTTAATATCTCAAGTTGCCTTTTCTCTACACGTCTAGTTGATAATATTCATACGGTACATTTGTACATATCTTTCAAAATCCACAATCGCTCTTTGGAAGCCAGCATCCCCAACAAACTTTAATGAACTAAGTGGGCATTAAATATATTAAATATTTAGTTTTCTTACCTGTCCGAACAACCTTTTACTATCGTATCCTTATTATTGCCCCACTGAACTAATCTGTACCACTTAGATTTAGTTGCCTCCAGAGGAGTGAGAACGGTCAAACCAATATAGACGTCAATTATTTCATACGTAGTCCCATCCCTCCAAACGTAGCAGTATACCTTGAATTCTAAAAATACATCAATTAAAAACTGGACCGGCTTTTTTATTTTTTTCAAATCTTACCTTCACTATCAGGAATCCGTTCTTGGTATTTGTATGTCCCATCTTCCTTGTCAAAGGTAAAACAATAGTCATGTTTATGAGGTACTTCAACAACATCGTTCATGCATTTAGGTTTGAACATCTTATATAGTTCAATGCGACATTTTTGGCGAGTAGTTAACTTTAAATAATATTTTTCCGTCGTTTTATTCGTCACATCTCTTATGACTTCGTTTGGTAAATTGCAAGCCAAATATGCGTTGAGATTCCGCTGGGAAGTTGTCAATTTATCAAATTTTTCTTGTTGTCTTGTCGTAGCATCATCAGAATGTCGAGTTTTAATATGGGCTTGCAGATTTTCTTCTTGATTAAATTTTAAATCGCAAAATGTACACGTGTATTTTTTAATTGAATGTATTGTTCTCATGTGTTTTTTCATGTGGTTCCTTGTTCCGAATTTTTTCTCACAGACGGTGCACATAAATTTACCAAATTCGTTTTCATGTACACGTTTCATATGTAAAGTTAAAGCAATTTTTGAACCAAACTCTCGAGGACAATGTTTACAGTTAAAGATAATGGCTTTTCCATTCTTATCCGTCTTAATTGCACACACTTTTTTTTCCAAGTGTCTTTGCAGATCCGCTTTTGTCGTATAGTCATACTCGCAATGAGGACAAATGTACTTATTCGCAATTTTATGTTTATTTTTTATGTGAATGGAGAGACTATTTCTATTAGCATACACTTTGCGGCATATACGACACTTGTATCTATCTGTTTTAATTTCTTGTTTAACACCCCCTATAGCAAACGAAAAATCTTCCATATTTTATTTGAAATATAAAATAGTAAATGCAATAATCAGGTTCTTCTAACGTGAACACTTATTTATTCATTTCAGACTCCCGCGTATGGACCGATGGAAAATTTAAAGGAATCTGCAAAGGTATGTTGCAGACCATTTATCCAATAGCTTCTAATATTTCCTACATGCCGTTAATTTATCTCTCCCGTCAGAAGCGCAACTTGATAGATATGTATTCACTTAATATGTAACAGTACTGCATTCAGTTTTTATTACTCTTGCTGTTTCTTATTACCAACTTGCATATATTGATTCTGGTTGGTTGTTCATCCCTTTAGATTTAGCTGGGGTTGAGTTTGATATTTTTGTTGACAAAAACAAAACACTACCACATTATGACGCAAAGTGTTGCAAACAACCTTTTAAATAGAACAAAAGTGCACTTGACTTTATATGAGCATGGAATGGATTGCTTCTTTTTGAGCGACTCGTGATGTGATGATTCATGCTCAATAAAATGAATCTGGAAATAAAATAATTGATTTCTGCCGAAGGCTGGGGAGGAATATGGGTCTGCGGAGGGCCGGGCTCACTTCGTTGACCAATTCGTTCGAGCCTTAGAAGGCCATTCAGGCATAGAGGACGATGATTGGGTCACTTCGCAAGATGAAGACGATTTGATTCTTCAACTTTGTGCTACGGACTCGGCAACTGATCAGAATTAAATTATCTGTATTAGGAGGAGACATAATTGCTTGTAGATAAAATATTGTTAGCGCATTTTCTCGTCCGCTTTTCCCAATTTTTTAGTCTTTATTTTAATCGAAGAAAAGTTTCCAGCGGAATTGTGGACTTTCGTTTTTGTCTTTCTTAAAATCTAAAATCAATGCATATCACTTTTTCCTATTGATATTTATTTATCAGTCTGTGCGAAAATTTTATTGTTTCATGTTGAGTTTGAGATTTGTGAATAAATTGCTTTCAATGGGTCAATCACATAAATAATTTTACAAACGAGGCGAAGTATGTGGAAGCATTTTATAGGTTTACACAATTCTCTCCATCTTTCAATTTTTGTCACACCAGGTAAGCGATGAAAATTTGAGTTGTTGCACTTTCTTCGTTTCCGTTTTCTGTGTTGGCAATGCTCTGTATGTCAGCTATAGATGTGCAACTGCATATTTTTTAATTTGAGGATGAATGGGAAACTTGTTGGCATTTTAGCGTGTAGTGTATCGTGATTAATCAAATAACTAATGGAAAAGTGGAATGATAGCATAATGAAATGAAATGTCTCGCAGCAGTCAGTGTTTTTTAAAGCAATACATTTTATATCGCTGCACATTATTTGAAAGCTAGAAGCAATTTATTTTCAAGTTTGCATTTTACATTTATGTAGTGTTTCAAGTATTGTAATGAATATTATGTTCATGTTGTGGAGTCCGTGGCGCTGAGTGGCACATGCCTTCCTCCTCTTCAAATAATGATTAAATACTTAATAACCAATATTATATGTATGTATGATACCAGCGCATATAATCTAAACTGTAACATTAAATATAAGTGTATTTTATTGATATATGTGTTGCTGGAGTCAACTAAACAATTTAAAATATCAACTGACCCATATAATTTTTGTCATATTGTCAATTTCTGTATATTTTTGATGGTGAGCAAATTAACTGCATGTATGGATGAGTTAGTGCGGAAGATGGATGGATGAATGTGATATGTGACTATTAATTCAACGGTTATTTGCGCAGATTATGGTGACCAATGTTACGTCGTTGCTGAAGACGGTGAAAGCAGTGGAGGATGAACACACGAGGGGAACGAGAGCATTGGAAGCAACTATCGAAGCGATCGCTCAAGAAGTCAGGGTGAGTATTTTTCAATAGGAAAACAAAGCTGTGGCGATAATTATGAGATTTATATCAGATGGGTATTTTTAGGCATTTGATTCGCCCGATATTCCTAAAGGACGAACAATTGCCCCCGTAAGTTACAATTCTGCATTGTATTGGCATATCATTCTTTCATGTGAGACACCAAGAAGCATAGAGTTTAACTGCGAACAGGCAAAAATCCGCAGTTTTTACTTTCTAATAGTTAAGGGATCATCTTCATATATTTTTCTTCGTCTTTTTCACAAATATTGTCATCAATTCTTAAAAGCACAATGTCTTCAAAAAAGGTAACCACACCTTCTCCTGCAAGTGAAACTGATAAGGTAAGCCGATAAGGATAGGGTATAATACAGAAATTGCATACATATAATAATAATTTTGTGTTCATAGGCTTCGTCGTCTTCCTCGACAAAGAAGGCGAAGTATTCATGGGAGATGATTGTCCAAGAGCCACCGAAAACTGATGACGTCCCACCGCAATATAAAGATCGGACCATTGTTGCGAGGGAAGTAAGAAAGGAATGGAGTGCAATAGGGGAAATCCTGAACACGATAAAAAGAGAGCAACGTGTTTATCATTCAGATGGTGGAGTTGAGAAAATAAGAAAGCAAATCTACGCTCTTGTTCGTCCAGAAGTAAAAGAGGAGGAATTCGACTCTCCTGATTTCGACATATGCACCCCAGAAGGTTATACCAAGAAGGTGGTGGGCTCAGCATTAAGTAAAGAAGAGAAGGACGAGGCGATCAGGAAGATCAAGGCAGCCAAAGGTGGAGTAAAAGTGGATGGGACAAATTTTCATCTCGTTTGGAGAAAAATTGGAGGTTATGAGAGGCTAGTCTTGGATGATGAGACGGATGACAGGGCAGGAGGGAGAGTTGTTTGTATGTTTTATGGTGAGAAATGTGGTTCAATTTTATTTGAGACTTTTCTTAATGTGTGCTTGATTTCAGACTGTTTCAAATACCACGGGACGTCTGGTGTAGCTCCATTTTGCGACGCCCATAGGATCAAGCGTGAATTCGTCATATCGGATTATGAAGATAAAGGAAGCAGAATGCAAACATTTTTTCACGTTTTGACCCAATTTACATACGAAAGTGTGGAGAAAAAGGCTGAACGAGCTACTGCGTCTTTAAATACAAGTGCGAGTAGTGGTGGTACCACTCCCTGGTCCTCCTACATTAAAGAATTCACTGATGCGAAACTACCTCCCCCAACTTGTACTGAAATTAGTAGTCGTAGACGTTACTTTTCAACAGAGAACGAGGCCAACAAAGTTTATGCAAGCAGACAGGTACATAATTTACATGATTATGATTAGCTTATTCAGCTGGTCAATTTTTTTTATCATTTTGTAGTTTGTCACACTTTTGCGGAAATTAGTCCCAGCCACATCAACATTTCGATATTTGAATAAGAATATAGCGTTGCCAAATGGAGCAGAGAAAGAAGTATTAGAAGAGATGAAAAATTGGGGAATGAAGATCAGCATCTCCAAATACTTGGGCCGTGAATTCAGGACCCCCCTCCCATACCCCTTTGGTAAAGAACGAGAAGGAAAACAAGTTGCTGCCTCCATGGTTGTTGATAAGCAGCGTGGAGTTCTCTACGTGGTATCCAATCCGCATATAAATTACTTTGGAAAGACCCTGACTGGTATCAGTCTCCATTTGAAAACCTCTCTGAGCGACACTGTGACAAAATACATGTTAATGGAAGGGTCTGTACCCTGGGAACTTATTCCCTTGTCATCTTGTCCTGTGGATGTTTTAGAGGCCAACGAAGCTCATCTCCACGTTGCCAACTCTTTTGCCGACCTTCTTCGCCTACATCAGCATTTCGTGTCAGACCCTCCCTACACTTCTCCAAAAGGATCCACTCCTTATGATGCATATCCGATCTGTCTTAACAAATTTACTAATGCCAAGTTCTTTGATGAAACTTCTTTAGCAAAAATCAATCAGTTTATGTTAAAGTATTATGGAGTTGAGATCTACGTTGGTCCAATGTATGATTAGTCGGCCTAAAAAAGTTCCAATTAATAAATAATATTACCAAATAATAAAATATTCCCTCACCCAAACGACTGTTGATATATTTCATCTCCATCCACCCAACCTTGTCCCACGAATACTTTCATTCAATTTATTACCAAAATTTAAACTAACTGCACTGAATTTAAACTAACTCTTTTAACTTTTTCCTAACTCACCTCTTTATAGGAAGACCTTATCCGCGTGACAAAGCCTGTTACTCAAGCCACAGCAAAAGCCGTCGCAGCTGGAAGCAGTTGTCGACAAGATGATGTCATTGTTGCAGCCAACATGGGACGTAAAGCAATTTCCGACTTACTAACGACCACCAAGGCTGGCGCCTATGGCGTGGAGGGTGAAATGAGGGAGCGACTCTTAATTGCTGGACGACAGTTGGCCATCAACTACAGGGAATTGTTGCAATTCGTGTTGCACGCTATTAACCATCCTGGTGCAGACGTGAAATCGCAACTAACCAATTGTTCCAGAGAAATTGCTCAAGCAGTTACAGAGTAAGGACTCCATTGGATTTATTTACAGTTTGTACAGTAGAAATAAAATTACTACTTGCTTTAGGTTGGTCGCTGTTGCTCAATTAATGAAAGGTAAGGACTTTTACCATTTTGCCATCAAATTGAATATGGGAAGCTTTGGGGGATTATTATTCATTATTATTCTCATAATTACTTTTGAGTGAGTTCAAGTTTGAGTGATTTCAATTGTGAAATGAGTGATGAGTTTTTTTTACTAATTTATAAGTTCATAATCAAAATATTATGATTTTATATACCAATATTTATATTTTATGCAATTTAGTGAATGGCACTTTCTCCTCACAACACTTTACGCAAAAGACGCACCTAATTAATAGATAAAGCCGATTTTGGGTTTGACTGTTTGTTGATACATATATTTGTTTTGTCCATTTTTTGAAAAGTTGTACGTAACCAGCTCAGCTCAAATCCATTGCTTGGTCACACAATTCGATCCTCGACACGAGTGACGGCAGAAGGTTTGTTGTTTTAACAGTAACCGTTTTGTTAAATTCTCCAATTTTATTAATCGTAGAGTTGAGTAGGCCACAAGTTAATTACTACAATAATTTTGCCTTGTAATTATCAATTGCCTAATCACAATTGCTACTAATAATACTAACTAACCGCTTTTGACAAACTTCATGCACTCTAATGTCATCTAGTTGTACAGTAGTTTAATATGATTAAAAGTAAGTAGTTGCTGTGTTATTCCTAAGTTGTATGGTTGTGGAGTGATATTTTATGGTAATTTGTCCTTTTCTGTACTCTCGTCCCTTCTTTCTCACCTTGTATATTCGGTTAAAATTAAAATGTGCATATGTAATTCCAGGAAGTGAATACGAAGACCCTGATGATCCCACAGTCATTGCTGAGAACGAGCTATTGGGTGCTGCGAATTCTATCGGTGAGAGCCATAAATCGCATTAATTTAAATGTACTTTTGCTAGAGTGTGTTTCATTGTTATTACTATAATTTAGATGCTGCGGCGAAAAAATTGGAGAAATTGCGACCAAGGCGCTCAATCAAGGTGGGTGAAAGCATCCTGTTTCGCTCTATTTTATAGGGTACAGGAGGACCACGCACAACCTGAAGATCTAACGATCTTGCTAGAAGATATGTTTGTATTCTATTGGTTGTAATATGTATCAACCGGAAGTCAAACATATTATTATAGCGAGATTTTGGAGCAACACCGATGCGGGACAGTGGAGGATTACATTTTCCATGATTATGCTATTAGATTAGGCTTTCTAAATATTCGAACTTGTGATGTGCTTCTTGTAATTTGATTTGGACCATAGTACTTGCAATCAGATCGAACGTCCAATCACAAACACACATTTGTCTTAACGCTTAACAATTGCGTTTAAATGGACAAGAAACACATCATGAGTTCGTATAATAACAATAATTTCTTAAATATTGTCTCCTTGTTGCCTACAGGAAGCAGATGAAAGTCTGAACTTTGACGAAATGATCTTGGAAGCGGTTAGTTGTTTTACAAATAAGCTTCCATACGATAAGAAATATTCATGTAATTCATATTCCAATTTTAGGCAAAATCCATTGCGGCCGCTACGAGTGCATTGGTCAAGGCAGCATCTGCAGCACAAGTGAGATAAAAACCATCCAGCGATTCTACGATATTCCCAAACTGTCAATGACTAGTTTTAATATTTTATATTACAGCGTGAACTAGTCGATACCGGAAGAGTTAGCAGAAAGGCTGCAAGTGATTCGGATGATGGACAATGGTCGGAAGGTCTTGTATCTGCAGGTATTGTAACTTTTTCATTTATCCACACTTAAATATCTTATAATTCTATTAAACGTAAGTTTGTTTTTTGCAGCCCAATTAGTAGCAGGTTAGTTTTTATCTGTTTTCTACAACATATTCGTACAATGTATATTACTGTATGTATTTATGATATATGATTTATTGTTTCAGCGGCAACTCATAGGTACGAGTCTGATTATTATTTCAACCGATGGAAAATGGTTGGATAGAGTTCGTCCGAGTCTCATAGAGCCAGACAAATTCCAAATGTAATATGGATATGTATAATTGTCTATTCTTTTATAGTCTTGTGGAAGCTGCAAATTCACTCGTCCAAGGGCATGCAACGGAAGAAAAACTGATTTCTGCTGCCAAACAAGTTGCGTCTTCTACAGCTCAATTATTGGTTGCCTGTAAAGTCAAATCTGCGCCAGATAGTGATGCTACAAGGAGGCTGAATGTAAGTTATTATTATAATATGTGTAAGGAATATCTATTTCCAGCAAAAATAGTATAGTATAATGTATACATGTATTTTATTTTAGGCTGCGGGCCATGCTGTAAAACGAGGTAAGTAGTTGTGCAACGAGGAAAATCTGCCTTTAGTACATTTCGATCTTCTTTCTTCTTTTTAGCCACCGAGAATTTAGTCAAAGCGGGTCAACAAGCCTTGGCACAGGAAGAAGAACGACAATTGGTTCTTAACAAGAAAATGGTTGGTGGGATTGCACAAGAAATTGACGCCAGGTCGGAAGTTCTAAAAATTGAGAGACAGCTCCAAGAAGCACGATCTAAGCTAGCAGCAATTCGAAGAGCCAAGTATCATGAAAAGACTGGAGGAATGTCAGGATACACTGACGAATCGGATGTTGATTTCGAAGGGCCAGAAAATTCTAGGTAATACTTTTTAATAGTAACATCATATCTCAAATTTTATATAATTAGTTAGGATTGCTAATCACATTTTCTTTTTCCCACAGATTGGATTCTTTACTGGAATCTTCTGCCGAACGAATTCAAAGCGCAACGACCTCATTTAATCTTATGCGACAACAGCAGCAACCACAGTCCTCGTTTGGAAGCTACCCAACAACCTCAACACCACTTAAACCAGCAATTTCACCCAAGCCTGGAACTATAGATCGAGATAGGAAATTCAACAATTCATCTCCATCATACAGCACAATTTCCGAAAGTTCGATAGGAGGAGGATATCAGAGTTTTCAGCAGCAACAACAAACCCCTCCACCTCCACCTCGAAACTTTCAACAAGCCGTTTCCATCCATCCTCCATCCACATTTAAGCCACAAAATGGTACTTCTCAACAGCAGTCAACTTTTACTACCAGCCTAAACCAACCACCAACAGAAGATTTATATGCCCGTCCACGCCATCCAGACCAATATTATTCAGTTTCTACTCCTCCTCCAACCACTCCTAAAAGCACATTCATGAAAAAACCATCAGAGTTTTATGCTGACGCACAGCAACCCAAACCGTTGATAGCGCCCACGCCATTTGTACCTCCAAAAGGAGGCACTCAAGTAATGCCTGCAACGTTTGGTAAAACCTTTGGGAAAGAATCGAGTGGAGATTTTAGTGAAGAATTCAGTCATTATGATTCTGGTCCTCTGCAATCCGAGCAAGTATTTGAGACCAGGGGTGCCGATGGAAGTGTGTCGTTGCAAAGAATTTTCAAGCAAGAACAATCATCCTCCTCATCCAGTCGAGTCACAAGCTCGCGTAGAGTTTTTCAACAACAACAAGAGAACAACTCTTCGACATAATTTAAACCTAACAACTTAATTCCTATATTTATTATTTATTAAAGTTCTTGACGGTAGTATTAAGGTTTGGTAAAAAACAAGTAAAGTATTACATTCTATTTATACATGTAGATTATCCCAGTGTCTTCCGGAAAAGTAACAAGTGACCATCGTCCAAACTACATACTTTCAAGCACAAGCAGAGTATTAAATATTATTAACTACTTACCTTTAATTGGGTATGCCTTTTCGAAAGCCTTCGGTGTACAAAAAAAGAAGATTGAATGCTAACTTTTTACTACAGTATGTAAACTACCTACTTATTCTTATGATTTAACTGATTTCCTTCTCTTCCAAGTGATGACAACAAAGGAAAATTAATCTATTCGAATTATAATGCTGTGAGTGAATGTAACAAGCATGTTGACGCATGCAATTCAATTGTATAAACAGTATGTATGTATAACCAGAGACTACTACTTAACATTTCTCTCTGTCAATGACTATTCTATTCTAACCTTTTTCGAAGGGAAGAAGAACAACAACCAAGAATACTTTACGAAATATTTATTAGTGTTAGGAAATACAATAGCCAACTTATAGTATTTAAACCAGTGTCTAGCAGTTCGATATTTGCAAGATGAACACGTATATTAATATGCAGTAAAGTAATGTTCCAATTTATCTACTTATTGTAATTAAACTATACACATAGATATATATATGTATAGTTTAGTTAGGTTATTTTAATTTTGAATCTCCCAACGCACATGGGAAAATTCAATTTGTGCCATAAATATAGCCATATCAGCCTGTCCAGATAACGAAATGACCAAAAATGGATCAAAGTCTAAACACCTTTTAAAAAGCATGACCCTTGCAAACCTAATGTATTTATTTGTTTTTTACAACTGTAATTTTAATTTGTATTTTAGAACCCACATTTTAACTCTGGATGTTGCATGCCTCTAATAGAACGGACTACATAAATTGGCTATATACTAACTAATCATTTTTATATAGATTATTATATATAGATATGAATAATATTAAGAAACTGAACGTTTTATTATTACTGTCTTGTACAAATAACTATAATGAACTATAAAGTTAACTGTATTATTACGATAATATATTTACGATAAGGTGCTTGATTTATAAAGTGCAATTGAAATAATCGGTAACAAGAAACAACCCACAGAACAAACGAGATTACATCGAGATGAAATACTTTTATGCAAAGAAATTAAATGACAAAAAGGAAAACGAAACGTTATAAATATTTACATGCAGTGCTTACTTATACTGAATTGGTATTTAACAATACAATTCAGAAACCAAAACTAACTAACCATGCAGAGTGTAAAATTGTAATGTTGTGCCTAAAAAATGGGGGAGACCACCCATCGATATACTGATTATTAATTATTATTACGAGTATTGTTGAAGAAAGCGATTGTTATAAAAGTATTTAAACTCATTTATTGACAACCATGTAATTAATATTATTTGAAAACTTGAACTGTTGATAAACTGTTAACCAATCCCGGCCATAATGCAGAGTAACGTAAAATGTATACCTTTATTTAATTTTACTAGATTTTAGTTTTAATTACTTAGTGAATGAAACGATGATAAAATTTAGTAAACTTAAGTTATTAATTTATTTGAGCAAATTATAAAAATATACAAAGAGATTTGACTTTAAATAAAGATTGCTTTATTAAACGGATTTACACATGAATGATTTTTTGTGATTTACAAGGTGAAAGCAGTGCGTTCTGTCTGCGTCATCTTAAAGCATGATAAAATGACTTTCTGCACGAAATGGCGTGTAAACGTTGAGTAAAGTAAATAAGCATACCGTGAATCATGCTGCTATCGGGAATAAACTATTGATTTAGCCCTAATTGCGCATAAAACGACGGTGAAAGTTGGTGAAAGTGACTTAGCAAGCGGAACACCTGTAGACAAATCTGCCTACCTAACATTCCTCCCTCTGAGACACAGGCAATTTAGCATTACAAAATTTGCACGATTAAATAACAGACATTTTTGGCTTATAAATTTCCGAAAATTTTCAGCACATTCCCGAAAGTGAAAGATTTTAGAGGGTGAAAGCAACAAATGATTTGTTGCTCAAGTGATGGGCAACGTGCGACATTCAGCGCCGGCAACTTGCGAAAAGTTGTATTCGCCAAATTAGATTTTGTGAATCATCGAAGGAAAATCATGTCGAGAAAGCTTTAATAATTTTCAAGTCAATCTCAATTAATTTTTTTTATAAAGTGGAGTGATTAAGTAAATAATGTTTTAATTAGTCTACCACAGGAGATAGCTGTATGTCCAATTGCCGATAGTATCATTGTTATTATTAGGTTTTTAAGAAACGACGAGTAGCAAAGTGTAATTTCAAATTTTTTAAAATGTTTGAGTGATGTGGTTTGAAAACGTATATAAAAAGGATTTATTTTATCAGAAATAAGTTAGTTTGAGAAATTAAGTACACTGTGGTGAGTCGAATTTGAATAACGGAACTAAACAAAACTGAATGTTTTGAAGAGCTGAAGTCTGTAAAGTAGAGGATTTAAGGTAATTTGTCTTCTAAGCTAAATGCAATGGAAGTAAATAAATGCATTACAATTTGTAATGCCATAAATTATCATGTAAATTAATAGTGACTATTGGTTAGCATGTAACATTAACATTGTTTTCAATATTTACGTGTTGGGATATCACGTACACATTTATAAATATTGAAAATGAATTATTTTCCCAGCCAGCACACATGTAAAGTAAACCACCGACAGTTGGTATACTTTTATCAGTACAAAGTATAAGCGCATTGAACACAAGCGTAGATAAACCACTTTATTGGGGTGTCATTGTGTTTATGGGGATTAGCGCTGCATCCATCCAATTGCGATAAGAGAATATCCATGTTTGGGCGTGCGCCGGATGTGTCAGCGATATCAATTTCATGTAATTCATTCAGATACGAATACGAATGACATAATACATACGGCAGAATTACTTCCTTTACCATTAATCATATTAACAATATGCAAAATATTATGCAAACAAAAACAATCATTATGTGTGGATTTGCACTAATTTTCATGTTTTTGTTATGTTTATAGTTTGTTGGTCAACTGGTAATACGCCCTGCTTGAATCATCCATCCGTTCTGATGGAAGTTAATTCGATGCCCAATGACTTTACGAGTTGGTAATCTGTCATCTCGTCGGACCATCATTTCATTTTGTCCGTGATAATCTAACCATCGGGTCACAACAATAACACAATGGAGGAACTCGTAGTTGATTATTTCGTCGTGGCTGGACTTCCGGATGAGAATCCAAAATTGGTGGATGAAGACTTGTGCGAAGGGCTAAATCCAAACCAGCAAAATATTGAACCAATTACGGATATCACTGTCATATTTCCATCCCTGGGCGAATATGTTCCGAAAGGATTCGAATGTGTGGAACAAACGCCTTCAGGTAATAACAATTACTCTCTTCCTAGAATTCGAGTCTTCGAATTACAACATAATTTGTTTCTTTCAGGCTATCCTGCAAATTTAAATAGCGGAAGTCTACGAAGTCCAGAGGTTTATTTATGCTATCGAAGGGGTAGAGATAAACCACCACTCGTTGACATTGGGTAATAATAATAATAATTGATTTATTTTATTGTAAGCTAAACTAAAGTACTTAATTTACTAAATTAATGTATTAAAATTGGGTAATTAATTAATCAATTTTAGGGTGATGTACGATGGAAAAGAAAGACTCCTCCATGACGCGGAAGTCGTTTTATCCACTCCGTACGGAAAGAAGGCAAACGTTAATAATACCAGTGCTCAAACTCTCCTCACTTTTCGACGTGCTCCAGAAAACATGCCCTGTAATGAGTTGGTCGTCACTGATATCTGTGTTATTTTTCAAAATAAGGGTGAAAAACCTCCCCATGCGTTTTGTCTAATTCAAAAAAATTTGAATAAGGGAATGGTATGTGAATTCATTAATCGTGTCAAGTAACTATTTTGCCGATTGTTTTTCAATATTCACTGTCATTTCAGATGGGGTGTGATGTATATCTTTGCTACAAAAAATCGATGAATCGACCCCCTCTCTTATCTTTTAAACCCGAGGTGCTCTTGAGATATCCGCCAATAGATCGGAGAACATTTCCGTTTCCCAACTTGACAGCTACGTTTTGTTTACCAATGTGTGCTACGATTGAGTGCTGGCCAAAGCTTTCGCAACAACCTCGTCCCGTCTTTTCTACGTTCGTCTTAACCGTGGCGGATGCGACAGAAAAAATTTATGGAAGGTGAGTACCATGCTAATTTATTCTACTGTATATTATAAATATCAAGTATTATAATATGGTTGTAAATTATTTCAGTGCTATTACGTTTTATGAAGGTGAGTGCTTTCTACTGTTGTGTTTAATCTATAAAAACTTACAGATTGACCATTTTCTATCTCAGAGTATCCGTTTGGAGACGCGTTGACGAATGAGCAGAAAGAAACACTGGGCTTTGTGCATGCTTCAGACAAGCTCGAGAAGGCTCTTCACGTTAACAAATGTATTTGGTATGGCACCATCTATTTATGAATGTCAACCAATTATTAAATATTATGATTAACAACTAATTAATGTTTGGTAATGAATTATTGTTTACAGTTTGTTATCCCACCACCCGTTCTTTGATGCATTTAAAACTTTTTTGTACTACCTCAATTGGATGATGCGAAATGGTGCTCACGATGTACCAATTGAACGGTACGTAAGGAAGAAACTCTAACAATTGTCAAAATAAATGTTGAACACCCATGCAAATTATGTAAATAAGTAATTTATGATTGGTATTATAATTTATTTCAGATACATATCTCATCTTCTACAGGAGGTCCCATTCCCTTCCCCACAACGACCAAATATTCTTATGCAATTGTCCCACACGCAAAATATACTTTTGTCTCATCCTCACGATTCGCCACTCCCCAAAAGGTTTTTAATTCACATAAGACACTCTTTTGGAGGTTGATAATTCATATTTATTAACTGACTATAAATTTGATTGATTTCTCTGTAGTGGAGCGTCGTTTAAATCAATGTTGAACAATTTGGGGACTGAGAATTGTCTGATGGTAATCCTTTTGGTTTTGACGGAACAGAAATTGTTGATTCACTCACTCCGGCCTGATGTATTAACTGCAGTTGCTGAAGCCATATCAGTTGTAAGAAAAATAATAATATAAAAATAATAATGTTTTACATAATAAGAGTATTTTGTGAGTTAGTTAGTTGACAAAATGCTATGATTTGTTGCAGTTAATTTTTCCATTCCGCTGGCAATGTCCTTATATACCACTGTGTCCCTTGGGTCTCTGCGGTATGTAATTTATTCAATATTATTAATACAGAAAAGTAGCGGTTATGTTGTGGATCACAACTTGTGATTGTTTTTATTCTAGGTGTATTGCAAGCCCCAGTTCCATTTCTTATTGGTGTAGATTCTAGATTTTTTGATTTATACGAGCCACCCTCAGATGTTACGTGTATTGATCTGGACACGAATACTATAACTGTGTATGTGCTTCATGCCTAATTTCTACATTTCTGCATAGTGACATGAGTATATTTGATTGGAATTCTACTCTTCTGCTGCATTACAGGAGCGAAGATAAGAGATACTTCCTCAATGTAAAGTTATTTCCTAAAAAGCCGGCCAGAATCCTCAAAACTACTCTCGAGACAATAAAGTCAGTTTTAGATCGTATGATGATGACTAGAGCATCATTAAAAGGACGGAGCGATACAAGCGAAGCTATGGACATTGATTTTCAACAGAAACGCCGTGAAGTAAGTGAATTATACAGACACTCTAAAATGTATTGTTATCTTTATTCAATATTCTGAACATTATTCTTCCCTTTAGCGAGTTCTTGAGATGGAAATCCAAGAATCGTTTCTACGCTTTATGACTACAATATTAAAAGGATATCGACAATATTTACTCCCAATCACAAAAGCACCAAGTATTGGAGCTACTGATGCTACCTCGCTATTTGATTTCCAGGTATTCCATATTAACACATCATCAGTTTCAGGATCAGTTAGGGAATAAGGGAAACTCGTCTGGATATTTAACACTTCTTTGGTATTGTTGCAGGGATTTCTCCGATCACGGGATAAAAATTATCACAAATTTTACCTCAATTTTACCAGAACTCAAATGTTTATTCGCTTTATTGAAGAGAGATCTTTCGTGTCAGGTAATCAAATGATGGTGGCAATCGTGAAAAATAAAGGTTAGCATTTTAAATAGTTTTTGGTACTTTTTTTCAGAAAATGACACCAGCTTGGAATTTTTTGACGAATGTTTAGACAAGGTGAATAAATATTTAATCCAATTTGATGAGTACCAATCTCACGAACAGTTTTAATATTGCAGGTCGAGTCAGATGATTCTGAAACTGTCAAACTGTTAGAAACAAGCGAATCAAATCAAAGCGAAAGGACAGTTTTTGTAATGCCCCCTGAACCTGTCGGCCTACCTGCAAATGCAACCTACGTATACGATGGCAAACTTAAAGAAGGACTTTTTACCGGCCCAAAATTAAAATCGCGCTCTGTGGATCGCGTCTTGCAGTCGAGTGAACTCTCAACGCCTGGGAGTCCGATTGCAAGAAGAACCAAACAAGAAATTAAATCTGCACAAAAAGTAGCAAAAAAATACTCTGAAAAACCTCAACTCTGGGCAAAATATCTTTTATCCACATGTTACACGTTAGTATTCCAGTGTTAATTACTTGAGGAATGGACGCATTACTTAACAAAGCTCTTTTGTGTTTACTTATAAACTTTTCAGTATCTGGTTCATCCATTTGCCAAGTTTTGCTAGCGTCACGGCATCTAAGCACATGGCACTCTGCTTAGCTTATGAAATGCTATCTCGGATGGCAAATTATGGTCTGCAACCCGCAGATGAGATCTGCTACAGAGTAGTAATGCAACTCTGCGGACTGTACAGTCAACCTGTAATTGCTGTGAAGGTATATTGTCCATTAAAAGTCAACCTACTGCTTATTTATCAAAATGATTGCTCATTTGTAACTTGTATTTGAAGGCACTCTTAAAAATGAAACGATGTGGAATGACACCAAACGCTATGACCTATGGATATTACAACAAAGCCGTGTTAGAAGCAGAGTGGCCTTCTAATGGTATTCATTATTTATGTTTTCCGTTAGTTGGAGTACTCATTTCTCTCATATTTAAATCCAACCAATTCTGACAATATTTCAGTTTCAAACTCGAGTCAATTAATGTGGAATAAACTGAGGTATAATGGAATTTATATTTATAACTAAATATAAATAGCTTTCTAGCATTAAGTAGTTTTAATGAAGTTAATCTACATATATGATCTTGCTTAAATTGCAGAAATGTTATTATTGGCGTCGCTCAGTTCCGATCCGCTACTAGACATCGTAATGTGTGTGATACTGTGGACGAAGGTGATCGAACCTCAACTGGAAGTGGGATATCATTAGACTCACAAGTTCAGACTACTCGTTTGGCCTTGAATACCGCTGGTCGGGTACACTCTTCCCCAACAACGTTAAGCCCTCAAGGAGTTTCCCATCCAGACATTTCTGCGAATGTGAATTGTAAAAGTCAGAGTGATTCTGAAGTAGCAAATGTATCATCACCGTCTGCAATTCCCACAAGAATTAGTTCATCTTCTGACATTGGATATGGTTCCATGCAAAAAGTGTCAACCGATGATATCACCAATGCGGAGGGCCCAACTGAAACTCAAGCAAAAGCAGCCAAGTTTTGGGGTAGAATGGGTTCAAGTTTGGATCAGGTAATCATGCAAACTTTATGTGCACTTAATTTAACCTTATTACTAACTTTTTCGTTGTTTGTAGTGGGTTAAATCTGGGGTTTCTAGCCTGGCATCCATTGCTGCAGATACGAGTTATTATTCTCAGTCCCCTGGTTTATTCATGGCCGGGGGCTACGCTGGAGATTACAGTTCTAATTTGAAAAGTGATCCGTATGACGTAGACGATGATGACGAGTTGGAAGATCAGTTACCGAAAAATATTGAAGTTAAAGGGAAGAGCAGGAAAAGACTGGATTTTGGAGATGACCGGGATGAAGAAAGTAGTAAAAGTGAAAGCCAAACAATGAGATTGCTACGATCTGTGAGTTTTGGAAACGACACACAAATCATGTCCAAACTCAAATTACTAAAGGACGATTTTATATCCTCGGAAAAGAAGAACGGCAATAAAAACTCATCTCCCGACAAGACTTCTATTTCAACAAAATCCAGTGACGATGCTGGAAGTCAAAGAAGATCTGCTAGCGTAGAGTCGAGTAATTCTCTTAGTCTGGAATCAAAAATTAACCAATATTATGAACCTTTGGGCGACTCTAGGGACACGTCTGTAGAAAAAAGCGCGTCTAGTTCTAGAGAAGTTACACCTGATGACAGCCATGTGAGTAAACTATTATTATATGAAATCAAATGTAATACATGTATGTTACTTAATATGTATGGCATTTGGGTTATTTTTTTAGGAAACTTACCAAGAAACTATTCGGCCTGCAAATTCATATTTAAATGCTCCAAAATCTCCGTCTATCCAAATTCGTGCAAATGAATTATCCCGAGAAGCGACCCCATCCAGTCCTGCACGAACTCCAGTTGTCCAGAATGACCCGTTGGGAGCGTTAAGTGAACCGGCGTCACCAGAGGGTTTGAAAGACGCAATTTCTGGAAAAAATGTGAATGTAACTCAGCAAAAGAATAGAGATTCTCCAAAACGAACAAGTAGTGAAGGACAATTGGGAGGAATTCGGGAGAAAGTTGTGATGGGTCCCCCTGAAACAACACCAAAAGGGTTTCATCGTTCAAGCACTTTGCCGAGTTATGGAACTGGCATTGGAGAGAGGGTAGGAAGCAATGCTTCCATGAACTCTGCACCAAGTGATGAAAAATTATCTGGATCTGCTGGTGGTGGACCCTCAGGGTTAACTGTGTTCAGTTCAAACTTGAAAAATCCCTTCGGGTAATGAAGATATACACTCACTTTTCCATCAATTCTTGATTATGAGTATTATGACTTGAAAAATTGGCGTCATTTTATGCACTATTTTCAGCCGTTACAGTCCAGGACGACTAAGTCTAAGAAAAGCAGGAACGTCCCTTATTGAATCCACAATAGGTGGGAAGAAGGCTGAAGCATTGATGGAGGGATTTAACCAATTCAAGTCCGCTGCTACGGTCAGTGTGAAAACAAAGCTTGAAGAGTTAAAGGAGGCGGTTGGAAACAATTCAACGCCTGGAAGGAACGGACCTTTTGGACGATATGATGAACCACGTGGAATAGATCAAACGGACAATTTAGAACCGGAAGCTCCAAGCGATCAATGGGCAAGTGTTTCAGAATCTTACCTGGATCAACTTCTAACCACGACAGAGTCGGGGTCAACTAGAGCAAGTTTTGCCAGTATGGATTATGGTAGTGGGATAGGTGTTCATGGTACAATTTGAATTATTTAGTTATTATGCTATTTGTCCTGATACTGACATTATCTTATTTTATGTACAGAATCTCCTTTATCAAGCTCCAGAAACTCACTTTTGTTTGTCGAACATTTCAAAAATACTGGTGGTGCTGGCGGACCCTCATCAGCTGCAGCCGCCAGGAGTAGTTTACCTCGACCAATCTCATTAGAAATTAATATGACAACTTGTTCTCTATGCCACAATTGTTCCTCGTTGCTATTTGATGAAGAAATTATGGCAGGATGGGTGAGTAGTTGTGTTTTCAATTTTTAGTCTTGACTATAAAATAATATGTAATTTTCCGCATTTTCAGACGTCGGAAGACTCCAATCTTAACACTAGGTACGTATATCAAATTATCATGTGGTCCAATTTATGTGTGCCATTGATCACAAATAGTCAATAATTGTGGATGATGACTGATTTTTTTAAATTCAGGTGTCCTCATTGCAAAAAGTGGGAAGTGCCTTTCCTAGAAGTTACTGTAGTCGATTTTAGACACAACCCAATGCCTCAACTAGTGAATCTTACTTCTGCACCTAGTCTGGAAAGTGTGAATATATCGCGACGACCTTCTTTTATCCATCCCAATGCTGCTTATCCACAGCAGAAACCTAATGTTGAAGTAGAAATTATAAAATCAGTCCAAAAATCGGCTGCTGCGGTAGTTGCCAGTAATGACGATGCTAAGAAAATTGGTGAATCAACAAATACAGAGTTGGATGGATCATGTGTTTCAAAACAAACGACTGAACAAACGCCCCCTCCGAGTGAATTGGATCCGTTAGGAGTCTTGGAAGAGTTGCATCGAAGTAGTCGAAGAACTAGTCCTGAATCTGAAAATACTCCTCCTCCAGTCTCGAGTGCTGAAACTGTCGTAAAAAATGTGTCTGACAATAATACGGAATCCAAAAATCCTACAATATCCATTTCAACGACAAGTGGAATTAATAATGGATCCACTTGCCCAGCTAATACGACTGCTGAACCTTCTTCCAATCCCGACTGTACTTTACCATCCTTCGAATTGGAAGGAGTTTCGAGTGACCCGATTGTTGTTCCTTACTTGAGTCCATTAGTGCTTCGAAAAGAACTGGAAAATGTGCTGCATCATGAAGGAGATTCTTGTTTAGTTCAACCCGAGTTTGTTGATGAACATCCAATTATTTTCTGGAATCTCGTATGGTTTTTTAATCGCTCCAAATTACCAAGTCATATTAAGGGATTGTGTCTTCAAGCAAAGTCCATAATGCCAAATGCAATGGTGAAGAAATTAAAGACTGAGGAAACAACTGCAACCGAGGGAATTTCAGACCACAGAGAGAACAGTACAGCGTCTTCGAGGACAGAGGAAGACGAGTTGGAACCTTTCTCTGTACACCCAACTTGGGATGGAGTTGATCATCGAAGCGTTATGGTCAACTGTTTATGGGACAATCCAAAATTTCATGAGAATTTTTCTGTCCCGTTATATTTAGAATGGCAAAAAAACAAGGAACGAGAAAAGAAAGACAAACAGTTGGAAAAGGCTGATGAGGAAAAGAATGAAAGTAGTCCACAACCAGATAATAATCTGAACAAGTAATATTTTATACTCGATTTTATGACTCAAATTTTATATGTACCGTGGCATATAATGAACCAAATACTAATGAACTGTCTTTTATATGCTAGACTCATAAACAACGTACTTCGAGCAGCACAAGGAAACACGTTAGCACAAACTTGTCCCCAGCTTCTCTACCATTACCATAAACAATCTAACCCGCGACATTATCCTACATATCGAGACATATTGTTTCTTTCTCTGATTGCTGGAAAGGATACTATCGAAGCATGTAAGTACATAACTTGTGGGTGACTGTTTTTCCTTATTCCTATTACAAATGTGTGTTCTGATTATGTAATATTTCCTCAAATTTGTGTGTGGGTTGCTTTCAATCCTGGTTGCTACCATCGTTATCATCACCCGTAGCTCACAGAATAGCTCAAAATATGCAAGGTACTGAATCAATTAGTCAGTATGTCGGTATACTATGTGTAGTTTGGCTTCTTGGGCGTGGGCACATTAGTTGATCGATATTTGCTCTATGTAATTTGGATGTGGTGCCTCTGGTTTTTAGTCGCTAAAATCAGATATAAGCATTGTCATGTAAATATGTACTGTGATTAATGTATTTCTCCATTCTCGGCTGTAATAGTTTGCTGTTAGTTTTGTCATTGCTAATCAAAGCGTTTCAATATTTCAGATGGCTACGGAATGGACAAGGAGTACAGAGATGTGTACAGCAAACTCCGAAGCAATGATGACTATGAGTGCATGGACATTGGCGATTTGCCACCATCGGATACCGCCCTTTATTGTCGAAGATATTTTAAAGAGCTGCTATTATCCACCCCGAAATGAAAGAATAACGTATAGGTCTCACTAAACTGTCCCTGATTAATAGTCGTATAACTATCTAGTGCTATAATAAACGCTGGAAAGATTGACAATTTTCTAGATTTTATAAAATTGAAAAAAACTGTCACAAGCTTGGAAGCACCCTAACTCAAAAATGATATTCTTTCTTAGTCATAGATATGCATATACTTCGTAGTTCGTTATCGTAGTTGATGGTTAAAGTATAAAATACTTGTTTGTGATATATTTTGAGTTTGGGACGGAGTACCTTCCTTTTTTAGGACAACCATCGAGCCTAATAAGATAAGGGTACAAAATGTATATGCAAAATACCCAGTGGTTATGTTTTTAGGGACATTTTACTCTTGTATCTTGTCCATGCCCGCGCGATGTTCTTTAGAGTTTTTTTTTCTTACTGCATACATAGAATAATTTTTAGGTGATTGTGTTCTACAACAATTTATCAACGAATATTTTTCTTGTTATATAAGAAATTATACGATTATCATATGACTCTCGACTCTTACAGCGAACTGACAATAGGAAACCGAAAAATTTTATGCCCTTGTTCAATTATATATTAAGATAAGATTCCATTAATTTGGAACAGTTAACTTCGCGTCGTTTTCTACAACAATCACATGCTTTAGATGAGTTATTTTAGAATTATATGAATAAATTGCTGTTTACAATATATAATAAATATGAAACCAAAAAACATACTAATGCCGATGATCATTAGGTCATTAGTATACAGGTAAATTGTTAAATAGTCACAATAAAAGTGTATACAGCTTACAGTGTATTCTCACAATTATGCGTTAACTAACGCACACTAATTTCATTCACGAAATGGGGTTTTTGCTTAATCCATAGAAGTATAAACATGCCAAAATTCGTACATTTCCTCAAATTCTAGAATTATTTTTCTTTCCAAAAGTACCTCAAGCAGGAAATCTCATCTGCTTTTCCTTCCTCGTGAAGGAAGTTTTGTCTGAAATCATGAAAGTGTGCCCTCATATCATTGCATGCATGAATTAAAGCAATGGTAAATCCATCCATGCAATTAAACATTTGACATCAGCAAAAGTTGGACGCTGGTAAAAAGTTGATCAAGCCACTTGAGGAACGTGGCTGCATTTATGGCTGCATCATCCTCGCAGAACGTGATTTCAAGTTCAGAGTTCTAATTTTTACGTCATTTTCACTCACCACCCACTTGGCGAATTTTTGTAAATACCAACAAATTACAATTATCCATGCACTCGATCGTTACAATTCGATTGATTAATTGCTACATACCTAAATATAAATGTGTGCACTTTGATTTTCACATGGGTGCATTTTTAAAGGGTGCAAAGCTCTTAACACAATCGGACATTAAGTTTTTGTCCACTCGTCATCACAATAATACAACAAACTTTGAATCAGAGGAGCAAAGTGCAAAGTCCATTCGCATTCATCCTGTCTCATTGTATCCTCCGACCCGAATATGTAGGTTGTAAAACGTGAATCTATTCTGGTTGGTCAAGGAGTTGATCATGCCATAGCATGGTCAATGAGTTTACTGTTTTAGCATTTGTCCAGTCTTTCATTAAGGTGGGATGAGCTAAAAATGTGATGCACAAATGTGTAAGATGACCACGGGAAGATTGCCTAAAACAGTCGTCTCATCTTAATACTCATTCATCAATGTACAATTTTCTTAAATTACATTAAATTTGCACGAATATTTTACTCACTATTTATGTATGTATCTTTATGAGGGAAAATTTCGCATAGTATAATTCTAGTTTGCAACATTTATTTGCAAATGGCTTTATAAGTTAAAGACCACTCTGGTTCTCAGCCTGTACCACACTCAATACTTCATCGTGTATTTAGTGTGATCATGCAATGCAATTGTGTATGGAAAACATGGATGGGAAACAATGACCACGGTATGAAGCGTTACATAGCATGCAAAAGTTGAACTTGGTTGAAGTATCTACTTGGTTGATTGGATGGTATGGTCATGGTTGGTTACGTAAAATAAAATTCATGCATATGGTTGTGCCAACTTATTACACGAGCAAATCTAATGAACCGGCATTACTTCGAAGTTTGCAGTGGTACGGGAAGGAGTGTTTCGGTGTCGAGGGGTGCAAAGTAATTGGTGTGAGAAGATAGTAGAGAAATTTTGCCTGTTTCGGGTACTGAGATTGGTCACGGGATATTTTACAGGTTGGTATTTACATATCGTTTATTGGTCATTCGTGAATTTTGTAATTTATCAAAATTGCACCATAGTCGTATTTTTTAACAATGACAATTTTCAACCCTTGGCGAAATGCATACGGCGGTGAGAAAAGTGGTGATGGTTTACTGCAAAATGTCACATTTTTGTTAGGACTTGAATCCAATCTCCAGAATATGAAGGAAATTTTAAGATACATTTATTTAAGAAATGTGATATTTAGCAGATATCATGTATATAGTTTGGCTATAAAGTTACGCATGAAATTCGGTCATTGTCTTTGTGCGAAATTGCACCATACTTGTATTTTTTTAATGATGGCAATTATCAGCACCACACAATTTAACAATTCTTCGAAATTCTTATTAAGCCATGTAATATTATGTACTATAAACTATTACCTATTTTCATATACTTTTGATTATGCAAATGTACAGAGATCTTATATATCGAAATCGGAAAGTTAAATTAAGGAAGCATTTTTTGTATGAAATTATTCCCTTAATTTTTTCTGCATATAAATTATGCATACAAATTGTTGTTACAAGTTAACACGTTCCATTTACAACTACTTGAGTGAGACCACATTCTTCTTCACTTTAGCGTTTGTTATGTAATCAGACATCGAACGATTGACATTTTTTTTATTCGAGTTGTGAGATGATTGAAAATAGCAATTAATAGTTATTTAAGCGGTCATTGAATGAGCCTACGTGTTGATACGAGCTTTGACGTTTGACATTGTCCGAATCAGAAAGTACTTGACTTGGCACAAGTGTGTGTGGTGATGATCGGACCATGATGTCTCCCCGTCTCCTCTCCAATTTGTCTGGATTAGGTCAGAGTTCGGCAATCCACAAGTATCGCACCACCTCTTCGTGTCGCATGTTATTCTACGTAAAGAAAGTAAACAATTTAGGAAGTTAATGAATGAAATCTAGTGTGCGATTGACTCGAGCTTCTTCAGACTCAAAGACTTTATGTATGTAGGTGAATCCCATCATAATCGCTGTCGTACGATACTTGGAGGTTGGGCATTTTGTATGTTATCAACATAATTTTTCCCCAGTAGATGATAACCAAGTACCCATTATTTCTTTATTGCATTAAAACAATTTCATGAGAATTTCTGCTGCTGTTTATGAGGTTATCGTGCAGAATTTTTATGGATCCACAAGATTTGCATGAGTGGTACATCATTGCTATGTCACGTCAAGGAAAACCCAAAAATAGTGAAATAATCTCGGGTGGATGCACCAATTATATAATGGAAATGAAATTGTACCTCTTTCCCTGCACACTTAATTAGTTGATATGTACGTGTTTATATTTAACATATAATGATTCCAGACCTTGACACGACATGGCTCCCAACACAAAGTCTGAGGTTGCCGGACCAGGCGATGGTTATGATGAAAGTAGTGAAAGCCGTTCCGTAGTGAAGGAAATTCTTTACGAAGGTATGCATGCACGTATACAAATGTATGCATTTGCTTTACGTGGATATGTGCATATGTAGATATATAATATACAAGTATATGTTTTTGTATATATGCATTTATGCGTAAATTTTTTTGCAAAGGCAATTACTACGATGTCACAAACTTTATTAAAAGACATCCCGGAGGCTCCATTATCGAATACTATGTCGCACATGGTAAGTCAAAGAAGAGGTAAAATGGACAACCTTCATACATAAGATGCAAATATTATGTATTTTATTTGTATAATTTTTATAATAAACAGGTGAAGATGCAACCCACGCGATGCAACAGTTTCACCAACGTTCCTCCAAAAAGATTAGGTTGATGCTGCAGTCGTTTAAGAAGCGTCCAGCAACTGATAGACGCAGTATGATTATTACAACGACTTATTTCTGTATTTACATATAAAAAGTAAGGAAATTAATTACGGAATCATTTCTAATCGCAGTGATTCTTGGAGAGGAGAAGCTCAAACGACACCAAGCACTCACCGAAGACTTTAACAAACTGTACCTCGAGTTGGAAAAGGAGGGCATGTTCCGACCGTCCTATGTCCACAATATTTATCGCATTTCTGAAATTATCGCAATCGGATATGTCGGATATTTGCTCCTCTTTTCACAATCCTACTTGATCAAACTTCTTGGCTGCTTGCTACTCGGACTCGCACAAGGACGAAGTGGATGGGTTCAACAGTAAGCTATTACTAAAATGTGGTTATTTGCTAGTCGTAAAAGAATTTGTCAAATAATTTAGCATTTCTTTGCAGTGAAAGTGGACATCACTCACTTACCGGAAACCCAAAAGCGGATCGACTTATTCACGCAGTCATTTTTGGTTTGGGGCTCGGGCTTTCTTCAACTTGGTGGGCGAGAGGTTTGTACTTTTTGAAATTTATTTTGTGTTCATTGAAGTTCGAAATAATTACTGGCGAGAAGTTTTGGGAGAAAGATGTTAAAAATAAGTGCCTTATCTTTTTCAGGACATAATCGACATCACGCCATGCCCCAAAGGCTCAAACATGACGTTGATCTCGACACGATGCCATTAATTGCCTACAACGCAAGAGTGGTCAGCAAGAAGGAGAAAGGAAAATCCTTCCTTATTCAGAACCAGGTAGGCATAACTTTTACTTTTTAGTCGAATAATTTTACCAAACACCACGAATAAAACTTATGTACTTCATTCCAGATTTACTTATTTTTGACCCTGGACACCCTGTTGGGAACTCTTGCTTGGCAATTATACCTTCACCCCAAGTACGTTTTAAAGCATGGCTATTATCTGCAAGCAATATCCATCTTTGGGCATTACGTGCTTGCATATCAGTGCGGATTTCTTCCTTGGTTGATATCAACGTGGGCCTTGTCCGCCTATCTGTTCGGAAACTTTGCCCTGTCGCACACTTTTCTTCCAGTGACTGAAGGCAAGTGATATTCATCCTTCTGAATTTAAGGCAGCATTCTTATTTCAATATATTTTGGGTGCAGATGTCACTCATTGGGTCGAGTATTCACTCCTGCACACTGCAGATGTCGAACAGCGACCCTGGTGTAATTGGTGGATGGGATACTTAAATTATCAGGTCAGATCACGTGGTTACGCCTTCATTACGAATATTTAGAAAATTAATAATGTATTTAAAAAAAATCTAGATTGAGCATCACTTGTTCCCAACAATGCCACAATTTCGGCACCCTTTAATCAAGGACAGGGTTAAAGCACTGGCTGAAAAGCACAACATTAAATATTACGTGTATTCGTACAAAGAAGCAGTTTATCGGACCTTTAAAAATTTGTCAGATGTTTCAGAACAGCTTAAAGAAGCTTGAGAATGAGTATTCGAGACGTGTACTTATAAATCGGAAAGTAAAATACCATGAAGAAATTAATTGTTTGTTTTTTTAATAAAAAAATATTTAAGACGTAATTAATTAGTTTAAAACATTTATTATTATAATTGCATTTGCATACTAACGATTTTAGCTTATATAGATTATCTTTCTCTTAATGATTTTTGATGTAATTACTCATTTTTTAAATGAAGACCGAGATTTTGTTTCGATTTGTATGATTGTATTTATTTAATTTCAGTTCATTACTCATTGCCAATTAGTACATTTGATTTTCATATGGCTAAACTTCAGTACATGTAATAATTGTTAGTCAACAATTCATAAACACAAACTCGAATAACAACAGTGCGTTTTTGGGTTAATTCAACCCAAAAAATAAATTCCTATTAATATTTACAACATCAATATTATGTAATATTCCACCGAATTTCTCACTCGATTATTTTACGATGGATGTCAAGTCTTAATTATGGCTATAATTTCCTTGAATCAAAAAACTTCCGTCCTACCCTGAATTCAAACTAAAAGTATAATCTAATTGTAAATATATATGTGCATTTCAATTTACAGAGAGTACTTTGGGTTGACAGCTAGAGTTGTAATAGTCACATTATTACAGTAACACAATTCGTAATGTAATTATGTATAAGGACTCCAGTGGGTTAAAATCTAACTGGTTTGTATTCACATCATTTTTAAAGGTACTGATTACGTATTTGGAAAATTTGTAGTAGATAGAATTTCCCCTCAACCGATGGATTATCAATTAATATTAATGATAGGATGATCGATAAGTATTCGACATATTTACAAGTGAAATATACTGCGATTTTGAAAACAAAATTATTACGATTAACCTGTTACGAGCGAATTTCTTAAAATACTTTGAAGATGATTGCGATTTGCGATAAAACCGGTATACATGCGTTAAATGTCGTGCTATTGGGATCTTTTCTAAACTACACAAGGTATTCTAAATAAGTAAAATCACACCAAGATACATAATGAAATACATAACAATTATTAGAAGTCATAATTATTAAATCTTTTACCAACATAAAGCATGCGTAAACTGACTACCAAGACGAATCACAAATTTATAGAAAGCAGATTAAAGCTGGTGAAGTGAAAGACTATTGAATTTAGCACTCATCAACTTGAACATGATTTTTTAAATAACTAACTGAACATAATTATAATTATGGATTTTAAACGAAAAGTCGACCCTTAAATTGAACTGGACATTGTTGAATTGCGATTGTTTGAGCTTTGGATTTGTACCGGAGACTGCTTCCGTTCCACGTGAATCTCATCTCCGTCTTGCATGTTGTATGAATAAAGTTGCTTTTGGGGAAATCTGTAAATTTCATTAGAATTATTTTAGTCAAATCAAATTATGAATTAATTTTACATCGGTCCAAAAACTTACCGCATTTCTTCACGCCCAACTACTTCACGCATTTCTGCATCAATGTAAAACAGACGCATTTTTACCGCAGGAAAGCCAACTTCTTGTTCCAGACTTGTCTAAAAAATAAATCGAGGTTTTAAGCAAAAAAATAGTACTGTCTGCCTTGAAGTGGAGAAATTCTTACCTTTAACTCGTTTGTTGTCTGATACACGTTAATATGCCTCTCAAAAATGTTATCCGCATAGCAAACGCGGAGTTTGATACGTGTGGCCGGCTTAAATTTGACGTCCAAGAGTGGCTGTAATTCTCCATGAATTGCGACGAGCTCGTAATATCTGCAAGTAAATAAGTTAATGATAATTCCTATTGTCATGAAAAAAGTGTAACGATTATTTGTATCCATTATACCTCTCCGGTTTTTCTCCCTCTTCCTGAATATATTTCCGGATGAAGGCTCTTTCTGCATCTTCGCGTTCAGTATTGGAGATGGGGGCACCTCCATTCAATTTTCTCACATTTGGGAGAAGAGCAACCAACAATTGCCTTCGTTCGTGCGCTAAGAATACGAACATAAATTAATCAATGGCTTGGTTAAAAGGCATATTTTGACATTTTATGAAACACAACATACCGGTCATGTTGTCGAACAAAGGAATTCCTTGAAGTCTGAGATCTGCACATAAACACAAAACAAATCAACTCCAAAAAAGATCATAACAAAAAGATGGATCGTCTCACCAGTCAAGGTATTGAATTTTTTCAACCTCGCAATGTCAGTCATTTCTTTTATCGAGGTATTTGAAATGGTAAGACTTTGCAAATTTTCAAAGTTTTGATAAGCACTTTCTGGAATTGAGTCTATTTGACAGTCCGCAAGACCCAAGTGACGCAGTGATGGGAAGCATGATCCTACATAACAAGTAATCAACAGTTAAAAAATTAATTTCCTTTCATAAAAATGCATGTACACTCTCAACAACTGGGTGACAATACTACTACCGCTGTAGGTACTATGCAATTCTACCGTGTGGTAATACTCATAGCGACAAGTTGAGGACGAGGGTAACAAATTACCAGTGTCGGTGATATTTTATTACTACGAGCAGAACGTTGACATTGTGGATTTAGCAGTATTTAGCCTCTGAATATATACTACCCTTCAGTAATAAATTATTACCAAACCGGTAGAATTGCATAGTACTTCCCCAGGTAACAATCATATCCACAAATTATTGAGAATGTATGTATCTACACCACCAATTTGTACGTACCAAGTTTAGAAACTTCTCCCCAACAAGTGATCGGGTTCCCATCAAACATAAGCCTCCTCAAGTACGGGAATAAGCAACTGTCATCCTCATCACTGGACGACCCAGATCCTGAACTTCCATGCCCACTGTCAGTGCTGTCGACCCGATGTCGATGCGGTAGACCGACCTGGGCCGAGAGAAAGCGGTCAGCAGTAGCAGAAATCGGTGGGCTGCCACTGTTCGAGTCCTCCTCACCGGAAGTCATAATACTGGCGGAGATCTCAGCCTTTCGACCCTGAAACGACTTTTTCAGCTTCGAAATATCCACGCTGGAAAAGTTGTTGAGAGAAAGGTGGAATTCTTGGAGGGTGTTGGCATGTCGCAAAATGAACCATATCGCATCCCACGAAATGTTCGTTCCGATAAGGATGAGAATTGAGAGTCGGGGGAGGAGCGGGAACCGGAACGAGTTTTCGACACATGACGACATCAATGGTGAGCTGAGGTGGTTGAAGCTCAAGTTGAGGAAGGAGACGGAGGGTGAATATTGCAAAATTTTGGATATCTGCCAACAAAATTGAAACAAAAAACTGTTTCAGGCACGAGTTGAAATTATTTGTAGAAAAAAAGTTAACCCAAATACAGATTTAGATGGTATTAAGCGCATAAAAAATAGCAGGAAATGGTTTAAAAGAAAATTTTTGCTAATCTGTGCATCTTTGTTCACTTTATTCAACAAGTTTCGGAAGCAAGTCTGTAATCTTAAATGTTTTTCAAAAGTAAATCTTGTATGTCAAGCTTCTCTTCGAATCAGTCTTTTTTATGCCTGTCACTTAATCTCTCACAAGCAAAATACAACCAAGAAATTCACCATCTTCTTCCCAGATATCTAGAAATCCTGCGTTTCGCAATAATCTGATCTCGCGTGTGCGTGCGTGTGGTGTGTGAAATACGTGAAACCGTTCCACACTTCACATGATAAATAAATCCATGTTATTATTTTTGTTCTTCTGTGCCTACATTTATCTCTAAACTTTTTGGAACCATCAATCAAAATGAAATGGTAGCTTCTCCTTTCTCATCGTCATAAATGTAACCTCAAAATTGGTAAAATGTGACGAAACTTTGTGTTTCACTGACTGAATACTTTTTGAACTGTAAAGTAAAAATGTGACAGAAGATTACGCCATCGCAGTCAGTCGCACACCGTCTCAATTACTCGACGAGATTTCAACAATTTCAACAATTTCATTTCATCCCACTGACTGAAATCCAGTTCACTCACTTTTCAAGTCTAGTTAACTGCAATTTGCCAAGTAATTTAATGGTTTACCCTGTAATTTGACGCTATCAATGTACATTATTCATCGTACCAGTTCTCATCCTTTGTTCTGTTTCACATAAATAAGTATTATGACTACGTACGTATTTACATATGTGAATCTATGTCTAAGCATGCGTAAAGTGCGTATGGAGAGCTGTCGGATTCAAATTAAATCTGTAATTGGAGAGGAGATTTCCCTAAATCCACTTTCGTTAGTCCACTTTGCAGCGCAAATACGGTGGATGATTGCAAACTAGATGAGAAATAAATAAATACCCACCCAGCACAAAAGATTTCTAGATAATTTGATACTGGTTTTTTAAAGTAAAAATATTTGTTAATTATTAATCAATGGAGTGAAATACGAGTTGTATGTATGAAAACTATGCTAATGTCAGAAAGGACTTGTTAAGTCGTAAATTTTGTGTGATGATGTCTGTCAAACCCCAATTAGAGGGACAATAGAAATCTGTGATGAGATACGTAGTGCATATTTATTTACTTCGGCGTAACGCACTTTCTTGACAGGGTACATAAGTGATTGATCTTATCTTACGATTAGGCATGCAAAATTTTATGTGTAATTATTAGACTCTTGTATAATCCGTCTGTGACCATCACGCATAGAAGGATTTTAGAACGTATACATTGGTCATTGTAAGAAAATAACAAGTTTCGTTAACGCACTTTTCTATAATACTTTGTCACGTTTTTGAAAAAGTAATTGGGCAATTTTCAACTCGTGACGCCATGAAAAAGTTGAAGGACGCAAAATATCGTCAAAATAATTTCAAATGGGAAAATTTAAATTCAATTTAAGCAGTACTCACTTCACTCCATTGAGTCAACCGATTGTGGGCCAGGTCGATTTCAATCACTCCGGAGCAGTTTTTCTCCAGTGATTCCTCATCCCCGGCCGAATCCACGCCACAATCGTTCAATACCTGCGAGAAACGAATAAAATGAACGACTTCTTCAGTATTTGATTGGCTTTGCAGTGATGATTTTCATTTTACAGATATTTGACGCCTTGGATCAAGACATAATAAGTAAATAAGTAAATAATAACTTATTATTTACACTTTCGTCAACTGCGTATCTTCACAGAATTTATTCAGTGACACAAATAAACGTAATGCGAGTAAGTTAACCCAATTAAACTGGAATAAACGAAGGAATTCCACTTTTGTCAATATATACAAAACCATAAAACATTAATTTACTTTAAGATTATTTGTGTCTTGAGTACCATCCACATACGAAAATAATATACAAAAAGTATCGAAACTCCGTGCTGCCCTTTTGTCTCGTCATCCTCGTGTTTGCATTATACAATTCCACAATAAAGCCCTCTCTGCTATATAAGCAGATCATTTAATGACCAAACCAAAACCTTGCGTCGAACAAGAGAATAATTTTCGTCGTCGCACTAGTCACTCAGATTCATTCATGTACAAAAAAAACCTTATAAAACCTATTCATTTGTGCATTCACAAACCTCAAGTCGCACAATTTGCAGCACATAATCACACTTTTCATTTCATTCGGCAAGAAAAGTAAGTTTGCGAGATGCAGAATCTTTTGCAATCAAATTCTCTAGTGGCAAATTATCAATGCACGTGGCTTTTTATTATGTATTGTCCTAGTAAACCAGCCAGACAGTCAGTCAGTCAGTATAGTCAATAGTGGACCAAGAACAGAAAAAAATGGATGAAATAGAAAATAATGCTGGTAAATACTACTGCATTCTATCTGCATCATAAAAATCTAAGGACTTTGATGATGACGATGAGATGTTGCATTAGACTTGGGAATCGTCTAAATGGCCTTCCGAATATAAATAATGAATTCTATTGTCGAATCGCTAAGACTGTCACCGAGTAAAAAATATTATCAATCATTCCTCCCTCGATTCTCATCAACGTCATTTTTTACCCCTTAAAATTTAGAATTTGTAGGAAACAATGCATGATTGAACAAAGAGAGGTGATATCATATTTGATATTTAATACATATCAGTATTGATAAAGTCATCCGTGTGATGTGATATTCATTTAAGAAGCAAAATGGCTTTGGATATGTGATACTCTATTCATATAAACATGCATGTATTGTTTTTCTGCAACAATGCAGTTTTGCAACAATTGCGATTAAATTTGGCACAGTCTTTTAGATTAGATCAACTAAGTAAATCTAGAATGGGACTAAACAATGTGTACGAATTTACTTGGTGGGTTAGACAAAGAAATCGAGACGTAGGCTAACTAATCGACAATTACTTCCCATAAATTCGAGATCAAATTAATTAGCTGCATACTGTACACATCCTCCTCACTTCATTATTATTCAAGTTGCATGATATGCTTCACATGAATTAATTAAACGTGGTTAAAAATTAGCAAAAACTGTGATAAGACTAATACAACAAGATGTGCTACCTATTCATTCATTATTGACACGTGCCAATTAATTTACTATTTAACTTGCCATCCACTTAAATCAGTAAATAAAGTCTAAATTAACTTTGAGGATCTATTGATTTAATCATTGCAATAATTTGTGGGATGCATTTTTATCACGCAGTATTTATTATTATTATTATTATGGCGATGGCGGATGGGTGTTGACAATTTTTGTCAAGAACTCCCTAATTGAGGAACGACATCACATCATTTATTCGTAAATGTTGTATTACTGAACCCTTGGCACGTAGATACATATTTGTGCAGATGGATTAATTAGCACTCTTTAAAGCGTAGGTGTTTCTGCGTTGTATTCATATTTACATGTAATGTTTGGACTGTCAATTGTCAGATTATGGGATTTGGTTGATAATTTAAGCTACAAATATCACTATTTGGTTTGGACTGGACATGGACTGTATAGAAACTGCGTAAAATAATTATCCCCATGCTCCATGCAGTCAAGCAAAGCTTTAATGACTTTCCTAACTTTTTACGAAGGACAGGCCTAAAAAACATGCTTCGTTTGCCCATCAATTGTGTACTTTGTGATAAGTGTGTCAAGTAAAAATGAGTAAAAATAAGACATGAAACAGTTCCAGGTTCAGGCCCCACCCTTGACATCACCACACTTTCATATTCAAGACTAAGAATAGCAGTGTTATGCTACCGCATCGATTCAACTGATGACCTCGGTTTCATGTTTGCAGACTTTTTTTAAAAGAGTATCTCCGTATGTACATACAAATTTTGAGTTTAAACAGACTGCACGGTAAAAATTGTTTAAATTGTTAATGGATTTATGTATGTACATAAATTGGTCCAGAAATGTTTTTTTTTCTGCCACCACGTGGAAAGCACATGCATCATCATCATCCCATTTAACGTATACCAATCTGACCTAGTCTACAATTTTATGATGATGCTAAGCTAATCCAAACGAAAATGTAAACATTGACCAATTTTTATCTAATCTGACACTGACCAAGACCACGCCAAACATTCCCTTAAAAGTTAACAAGCTCATTAACACAATAATTATTAATCTACTATTCCTTTTACAAATATGCACAATGGACAACCGCATCTTTCCTCAATTTACCGAATGACTGTCCATTTAATTGCTACTTATCTTCCATTTTCTTTCGCAAAGGTGAAATGTAATATAATAAATATGCAAATAATTTGCCTGTCCTTCCAAATAAGATGGATTGTTTCGTCTGGTTCTCAAAAGTCGAGCTGGCTGATTAATGTACACGACAAGCATAGATAACATGGGAAATCTTGTTGTAAACCTAGCCAAGAAATGGTGGAACGTATCGTAAATGTACTTGACCGTGGCCTATAGCATAGATATTCTTTGTAAATACGTATGCATATATTTACCAACTGACAGACTGTGATAACTGGTAAGGAATATATGTAATAAGACACCCAACCAACATCATTAACCTTATTCATGCCTCCAATACGACAAAGGTACATGCTCACGAAAAGAATAGAACTACTACGCAGGTATCAAAGTCTGCATGCAATTAGCGTTACCAAGTTTAGCAAATCTCTATTTATTTCTATTTGACGAACTTCACTCACTGGAGAGATAATTGTTTATGCACATTTTTAGATGCCAGAGTCAAATGAGCAAAAAACTGTGGTAGGATTTTGCACATGTTAATCGTGGAGCTGCAAAACGGTTGCACAACCAAATAATTGAAACTTTTTGTTAACCATATTATATTAGCGTTGCCCTAATTGAAACCGTCGTGATATTGCATCTCTCGCCACGTGGTACCAATTAAAATTGGATTTATGTAGATAAACTGACATGTACATGGAAAATATGTGCATAAAACTCACCAGCAACCTCGGGATGGATTTCCGTGGTCCATATCTCGGAACGTAGATTCCTACAAGAGAAAAATACAAACGTTTAAGAAGACTGAAGTTAAGAGGACGAAATTTCATCATTTATGATCCACAACATTAGATTCAGTCGCCTTGATTTTACTCCCAATGGTTTCGTGGACTAATTAAGACCATCATTTTGGTCAGAAGCCACTTACACCGGGTGAAAGATAAGTAGATATTTGGATTAAGCAAATAAATAGCTCGACATTTAAAGTTGTGGCGTGGATAAGACTGCTTACTAACCTATCGGAGCTTCGCAATCACTCCCGTCCTGTCCGTACTTGGCCTCGATCGCATCTAGCAGAGAGGGCATCTTGCTAGATTATCTTGTGTATTTCTTGGCTCGGTGTTCCGTACTGTGTAAATAGGTTGATGTTCGTGTTACGGTGAGGCGACGGATCATTAAAGATGAAGTCGAAGCCGGAATTGTGTCAAGGATGATGTCTCCACAAATGAAACCGGAAAAGTGGCATTTAAACCACTTTCAAAAAAAAATCTTGCAATTGATCTGCTAAAACTTGGAGAAGGAATTATTTCTGGGAAGTCTCTCTTCTTCTCCGGTCCAGGTTCAGATTGGAAATGACTTTTATTTGTAAATAATGTGCAGAAACGAGAGAGAGACGCGTGGCTGGGCTTGGCGTGGCGTCTCCTGCAAACAAAGAGTTGGAGTTCCCGTTATCTTCTTAAGCGTTCTTTGAGTCCAGTCAGTAAGCCATCAACGAGGAAAATGAGAACAAATCTGCATTCTTGAAGTTCCCAGGATGAAGGTGACATTCAAATTTTTGAGAGATGCATAACTCCGTACCCTGTAAAAATATGGGTCATATAAATTTTCTCATAAGTATGTAGGTGTCTGATAACCCAAACTTTCACCAACTTTGCAAAATCGCAATTCATTTTACAAGATGAAACGATAAAAATTCAAGATGATATTTTTACGTGATTAACTCGACAAAGTTGTGGCTACTACAAAGGCGAAAGGAGATGCACTTCCTCCACACTCTAAATTTAACACCCACACCGTCATCATTTGTATAATATTATAAAAGAAAATGCACTATAAATTATACACGCGCGAGTCAAGCCACTTTTCTACGTTCGATGTCATACGTACGAACTGACTGACCTTTTTAAACCATTCTTTATTGTTCCTCCTCGCACCATCCACCAAACTCAATAACCGTTACTGTATGTGTATCGCACTTTGAAAGTGCATGCAAAATATTCCATAAGCATTCCACGCTATGTAATGCAATTTTTGGCAATAGCCTGATTTTTTTTTCAGTTCTACAATCAAACTGTGATATTAAGTTGAATATTTATACCTGAGGCATCATACCACAACCTTTTACTGATAAATGCATAATGCTTGGCATACACGACAAAACGACGCAAAACGTCCCACATAACGACAAATGTAGACCTGGCATTGTAATTTTCCTTAATTTTGTATTTAATATCCTGATCCACATCCTGATATATAGGGTGTAAAAAGTGCGGTGCCATACTGCATTATTAGTATTTATTTATTATTGTTGGCTGGCAGGACGGAGGGTAAATAAATAGTATAAACATGCCGACTCCCCCACAATGTTTGAGGTGCGCAATAATAATGGAAGGAGAAAAGATAACAGAATAAAGTGCGTGTTAAAATGAAATGTGGTAAATAAATGCACAAATCGGATGCTGTCTTACTTTTTTTGAGTAGTGTCGTGGTTTCAGATTGGGATCGGATGGATGGTTAAATATGGTTGACGACAGAACTACTTACCACATGAATGGTATGGAAAAGTTATTATCGACAGTATTCACTGAGCTTTAAAATATCTTCGTACAAGACATTTTAAAGCTCAATGTGGTGTAGTGTTCAACTTGTAAATATTTTGCCTTTGTAGGTTTTCGTATGAAATGGGTTTTCCTTTTCGGTTCGATTTATCGATACTTCGATTCCCCATAACACCAGGAAGAAATTACTCCTGGGAACCTGACAATTTGTGAGTAATTTCCAATACTCAACTTGTGTTATGTACGATGATATGCATACAATTACGAAATTCGGAAGCGAATTGTTCGGTATCGGCTCACCTAATTGATGTAAAACACTCCAAGTTGTCAACCCCGAGAGAATAATGCGTCTTGCGTTTGTTTGTATTGTAAATTACAATTTGTAATAAATCGTTGAACAACTTGGGCATAATGCGCCACGAGGCTGCCACTGCAGTGTGAAAACCACTAATTGACGCTATTTTTCCTACATCAACGCAAAAATAATTTCCCGAATGGACTATGACAACTCTACTGCATACATATTTCCACACTTGTAATGATTTATTGTAATCTACGTCACTTTTGTAAAATGCGACTTTGCTCATGTTTTACAATTGTCGTAATAATGCAAATTTTACTATCATTCTTGATGCAATTGTTGAACCACAAACCAAAATTTATTATCATAACCAGAAGGAAAGAGACAGTCTGAAACAATAAAATGATAAAGTGACAAAACTTAACACTTTTAAATGTGCATTACACAAGCCCAGGAGGAGGCTGGATGAGGACACGAAAATAATAAGAATAAGCTTGAAAAATCTTATTCATAATTTTATTTTGAACTTATTGCATTAATTTTCCCATTCATCGTGCCGATGATGATAACATTGCTCCACGTGCAGTCTCAGGCTGAGACTCTCCGCGTCTCTGTCCGTGTAGCTCGTCCTCATTCAGTGCACAAGGCAAAGAAGTGTTAAAACTCGCAAAAATATATAAAGTGAGACATGCATGTCATGGCTAAAACTCAGCCAGTGATAAAGGTATCACTGAAAATGTATACATTCTGCAAAAATACATGTGCGAATACAAAAAGGATGATTAATGAATGAAGGGAATTATGCAATTTAATTTTAATTAGTGTGAAAATTATCTGTAACTGCGTTGCAATTAATATGCGAGACATGTGTAAAGTATGAAAAATTCTATCGATTATACACGAAAAAACAGGGTCTTGGGTTTATAAAGATAATATTTTTTCTTACTTTTCTTTTTAGTGGAGATATTTTTTTAGCTCAATCCCTCAGAAAATTTCAACTTGGCCAATCTCCAATATTGAGAACTCTTTTCACACATTTTCATTCAATTCGAATGAAATATTTAACTCGTTGACAATTTCCTGTGCAGAAATCACTCAATTTTTTACACCGTCACATCCAATAAAATTGCACGATTAATGTGGTGACACAAATAAATAGTGTGTACTTTAATCTCGCTATGCTTAAATCGATTTTAAAGCTCTTTGTTAACTCGACTCGAGTATTGATTTTTTAATACTTTATTCTTCCTTTTCATGTCGTATCATAAATTAAAATTATGTCGACATTGACTTTTTTGCATGCGCAGCAGATGCAGAAAAACTACGACTCTTTCTTTCTTCAGTCTTATTGTGGCGACCTTCAACTTGCGTTTTGCAAGAAGATCAGATCACGCTTTCGTAAAAGATTTTTGAAAACAATTGATTTTTTAAAATAAAAATGCACAAAATAAGGCCGAGCAGTTCCGTTTAAAAGCTGCTAAATTGCAAGTAGTGAGCACACGCAAATGGCAAAATGATAACTAAAACTGGATAGATACACACTAAAACGAGTTGGTTGGATTGACTCGGGCTTAAAAAGTGTGTAACTTTAGGTACACCGTGTTTGTAAACAGTTCTATAGAGTCGCATGTGCTGTGTGAACAGCACAAAATGTTGTAATGCAATACGGCCAGATTCTCATCTGTTCTGTTTGAAGCTGGCAAATAGGTTTTGCTGTTTCACGCAACGCAAGCAAAACTGCGAGCCTTTCTTTGTGCATGCATCGAGCAATGGTAAAAATGTAAGTAAAGGGTTGAGGTGGATGGATGGCTGTAATGAAAACGAAGAATGCAAAAAATAAAAAGCACTGAATACACTTTGGACTCTGCAGTTTAGTTCTTTTTACTATTTAGTTGCTGGGCTGGGTTGGATGGATGGGTATAATATTTAGTTGAGCAAGTATAGTTTTGCATGGGTGATCTTGAGCTTGAGTTTTACATACTTACACAGATAGTTAATGATATGCCGCGTTTTCTGCATAGCAGCAACATAGGACACTTATGAACTGTAGGATTAATGGGGATGGAACAGGATTTAATGTTTAGCACTTATTATTATGCTAGAAGTTTTTCTTGAGTGTGTATGTAACTTGGATATTTTGAGGTCTCGAACTTTTTTAGAGTGTGGTTTGGTTTAAACATTTTTTGGGGTTTGGTTTTGACTGATAAGTAGTGAGCTTTGTCTTGTTTTTATGGTATGTCATTGTTACAGAATTAGTTATGATGAGAGGTTGCATTAAAGCATTGCATGCAAAACTTTATGAGACGAAGTTTTAATGGTTCAATAGCAAATCGTACGAAATTTGTGGTTTTATCTGTGTTGAAGTTACCAATGTCAGGATAGTGATTGATATTTAGTCGTATTTATAAAGTGGGGAATTTTTTAAAAATTATAAAAATGACAAATCTACGATGAGAAAATACAGTCTATGTACATAAGTAAATGCCATCATGGTTCATCTAACTTCATGAGTGTGTGGTATTGTACAAGGCCTTTTAAACCTCAACCAGATTATGCAGGCTACAGGATTATGTTTTACTCATGATGAAACTTTTTAGTTTGGCCTTATGTTTGTTATTTCACGGAGGATTTTTTAAGCACCAGGCTCAATTTCAATTCCGGCTGATATAGATTTCTTAATAAATCCTGTGAGAAAAATATTCCTAGTGTAAATACATACACTTTTTTTTTGTGTTCGTGAACGATAATTCATAGAATATCATATTAATTTAGTAAGTAAGACAAGTTGTAAGTAAAGTGTTTCCTAAAAATAATTACAGATCAATAGATAAGCTTTACGTTTAAAATGCATGAAAATATTTTGCATGCAAAATAAGTTTTGGGAGACGTGCTAGTAGACATGTAAAATAGATTCGATAAAGTTGTACTTCATCGGACAAGGTTAACTATTTTTTTGCACTGCGGAGTTTTATACGTATGACAATAGTATTGGTCAAACATTCGGTGTGGCATAACTAACAGGAGGAACAGACACATATTGTTCATCGTTATTAGAAGTGTACAGTTGAAAATCACTGGACAAATTGTTCTACGTTGGTTTTTTTGCTGGATAATTTTATACATAATTGCATGTAAGCTACATACATAGATAATTACATATTTTCAAATATAATCGTGACTGCATGGATTTCATGGCTGTGCAATTTATTGGAATTCGTGCAAATATTTACAACAATGCTTTGTTACAGCAACAGAAAATACTGGATTACGTTTCTGAGATCGATAATTTGCTGAGATTTATGTACTTCTACGAAGTTAGACTTTTGTAATATTTGAGGACGTGAATCGAAAAACAACTTGTAAACAAATTTAAATTAATTTAAATTTTTTTTTTGAAAATTGTATTATTTATTATTAACATAAACATTGATAAACTATGAAATACACTTAGTTGGCTTGGGGAGTAGAGGAAAAACCCGATGTTGGTGGGTTGGGAAAACCTTTACTTGATCCGGATAGGCGTCCGAGATCACCATTCGGCCCCTTACATGATTTTTGTAAATAAAACGACCTATCATTTAAAATATAAAATAATTCTTCTAATCCTCGTTGACTGGGGACAGCTCCCATGATTGATGCCGCATTCCCGCGTTGAACTGCCAAACTAATCCGTTGAATGAGAAAAGTTGTCGACATTGGTCCAGTGACATCCTTCATCCTCCTCCCAACATCTTGGATGAACTTCAACCCTTCCGTCCCCCATACTCCTGATGTCTCGATAGCCACCGGAACAAAGATATAGTTTGTTTTAAGTTCAGAGTACAGTTTGTGTTTTTTGGTCTCGGCTAGTTTTGCTGCTGTGCCAGCATGTCTAAGTGTGTGAGAGAGATAAGAGGGGGCAAAAGTGTCTGTACATGTAAAGTCCCATATTAGTGAGCGTCCCTGTTTGTAAGGTATTAGTGTTAGACCATCCGGTCTTTTTCCATCTGTCCTACAACACCCTAATGGTTCCCTAATGCTTGGTATGTCTGCAGAAATTAAGGCTCTCTTTATAATGTCATTGGCTTGCGTATGTCTAGAGTGCCTGCCAGCACTTTTTTTACATGAAAGACCATGTAAGCCTAGTTCATCTACTTGTGCGCCGCAAACACATCTATGAGGGAAACATAAATTTAACCCTAACCTCAAACCTATTGCAATCCTGAAGGAATTATCGTCTAAAAGTGTGCCTAAATTCCTCGATGGTAAAGCTTGCAACCATGCACCTGATTCTTTTGACCTTGATGCCAAAATCCTAGCAGTATTTATTGGGGTGGTGGATGATTCCAGGATACGTGAAGATACGTAATTGAAAATTGGACTTTCCCAGGATGATTGAAAAGAAGTAATTGTACTGCGAGGTAGTTCTTCACAACTAATTGACTTCCACAAGTCCTGCGCCTCGGTCACAAGTGAATCGGACAAAGCAGTGACATACGAGGGCAAAATTAAAGAAACCAAGTCAGTGGTGGCAAATGAAGATGCAAGGAAACATGGAGTTGCTAATGTTTTAGATTGTCTAATTCCTAAACCACCTAATTTAATTGGTAATGCAATTTCTTCTAAAGACTGAGATAAGTATTTTTATCTAAGGATTCCAAAATAGATAAATTATTTCTAATTTTGTTGTTAAGACTTTGACCATTCTTTATATTTGCCCTTGAATCACATTGTAATGTTACATATGGAAAAGTCAAAAGAAGGTGCCATGCCTCTGGTGTGTTTTCAGTTATGCATTTATCTATGGCTGACTTGATTGATTGTGCTACCGGAATTCTACAGGCCTTGGGGCATTGTTTGAGAGTTGGACAATTTTGCCTAAGAGAGGAAATAGTAGATTTGAAATCAAAAACAGTTTCTGGAACTTGTTCTGATTTTAACTGGATCCCTACGTAATGATATTTCGAAGCGCCATGAAATTCTGTCCTAAGTCTTTTGGTCCTAATGTTTGAAAATGAATTTTTTATCAATTTCCCAATTTCTGCATCGTTTAAGGGTTTGAAAATGCCTAACGAGTCCTGTCTATACGCTTCATGTAACAGATTTTTCTCAATTATACCTCCTGGGACTATATTGTTATTTAGCCACTCTAATGTGAGAGATGTACATGTTGCCTTGCTAGATATAAAATTTGAAAGTGGTGTACTTAATGTAGAAATTGGTTGTGATGCACGTGGATTTGTACAGGGGCTTGACTGTGTAATTTGACTATGTGTGCCTAGAGTAGACTGATTTGCAGGCGACGGTGTGTTTGAGTTTACTTGGGGGCCTATTTGTGTATGTATTTGGGGACAGTTTGCGCAGAACCAGTCATCTTCAGGAATGGCCTGCAAAAGAAGACAAGAGGTGTGATACCACAAAAGACATGCAGAACATTCTATCCACTCATCTGTTGCTGAAGATGATGGTCCTGGGCAGCCCGACACCGGACAGAAAAGGTCATCGGAAACGGGATTTAAACCCTCGGTGGTATGGGGGAGCGGTCGGGAGGATGTGGGAGGAGGACATTTTCTTGGTCCTGTCCTCTTCTTTTGCTTATTCCTCTTCTTTCTTGGTCCTGGATGTGGTCTTAGTGAGGATGATGATGGCGGCGGCAGCGGGGACGATGACGGCGGCAGCGGGGACGATGACGGCGGCAGCGGGGACGATGACAGCGGCAGCGGGGGTGATGACGATGATGGCGGGAGGGGAGGAAGTAGCGTCAAGTTTACATATTTCCATATATCTAGTGACTTGAAGAGCGGCATCGTGGTCTGACGACTTGTATCCAACAATACTGGCAACTGTGATGATAACGCCAATGAAGCATAAAATTGATTTGTATAAGTTGAAAATCAATTTTTCGCCAAAACGGTAAATCCACCAACTAAAAGTTGCATGGCGAAAATGTTAATTTTAATTAATTTAAATTAGTATAGTCATGCAATTTGCACCATGGATATCAAAAAAGGTACAGAAATTTGTAATATTCAATATTAAAAAAACTCATTTTTCATTATTTTTTGCACTTTATCGCTTATCGCTTATCAAACTTAAAATGGCCGTAAATCAAACTCTGATAATCTCCATATCCGAGAAAAAAGTTATCAATATTAACCAGAACAGAAAACGTCAATTTCGTCCAGAGACTTGGAAAGATAATGTAGCAAAACGTCGCCGTAATCGAGGTGAACCTTACGTGTCTCGCAATAACATTCCCAGGGCTGGCAAAAATGCGCCGACAATGGTATGAACTCAAGTGTTGTTTAAAGTGACATATTAATAATAAGTGCACTGTTCAGGTTAAAGTTTGCTCTGCTCGATGCCCACATAATGGTTGCGTCCTTCTCACCCTGCCAGAAAAATTGCAGCTATTCCAAGAGTATTATAATATGGGGACTTACGAATTGCAGAGAACCTATCTCTTAGGTTTGATGGATAACCTAGGCCACAACGGGAATGGGAACATATTCGAGTGAGCATGCATATAAACTGCACAATTTCATAACGAAAGACAATAATGTAACTGTTACACAGGTATCACATAAAGATTGGTGGAATACGGCGAACGGTTTGCAAGAGGACGTGGCAAGATACTTTCCAAATTTCAGAGGCAGTTGTAAAATCAATGCAGGAAAAATGTGAGCGTGGTCACAACAGTGGGGGACGCCATACAAACCACACAGTTAATCCAGCCGCCCTTAATGTCGCAATTATGGCGCACATTAACACATACCCAAGATATGAGCATCACTATTGCACTGCAAAGCTTGGACAATTCTACTTGTCGCCGGACCTAACTTTGGATGCTATGTTTGCCGATTTTGTTATCAAGCATCCTATGATTGCCGACGCCCACAGAAAGGAACAAGTCTATAGAAGATGTTTTCGGGATAGTAACTTGACCATTGGACACACGTACACTGATACTTGCCGAAAATGTGACATTCTTGATGTGGAACTTAAAATAGCTCGGAGAAATAATAACGTGCGTCAGATTGATGTGGCGGTGGACGCAAGGCGTGTACATCTCGATTTCGCTGCTATTGCCAGAAATCAGCTTATTCAGGACGAATTGCGAAGCCAGAATGACCCTGAATTTGTCATGATATGTGGTGATATGCAGAAGTTTTCTATAAGCGACAGTTAAGCACATACAACTACTGCTTGTATCTTGGAAGAACAGGTCATGGAACAATGGCAGTTTGGAACGAATCTGTGGGAAATCGGGGAGTTGATGAGGTTTGTTCTACTGGAGTATATAGCCACAAATTTTATTCGGCTGCAGCCTGGTCAGGAAAGGACACTTATCTTCTGGTGTGACCGATGTCGTGGCCAAACAAACAATTACCAGATACTATGTTTTTTCAAATTTCTCATTCAAGAAGGATATTTCACTGCGGCTGAACAGAAACTCGCTCCCACGGGCCACTCGTACATGCCAGCAGACCGGTTATTTGGCTTGATAGAGCAGAAAAAGAAGAACGCTTCCGTTATGGTCCCAGACGAATGGATTAATATTATCCGTTCAACCTGTCCATTTAATATACAACGAATGACACAAATGAACATTTACAATTTCAAGGGGATGGAGGAGTTTATTCCAAGGCCAGCCAGTTTAAAAATCAGTGAAAGTTGCTGGTTTCGGGTGACAGCAGCAAGTCCTTCATTGATTCTTACAAGAGAACATTTCGCCCCTGGATTTTGGACGGAGCACATAATAAGACAACCTCATATCAGTGGACCAATTGGTCGTCGCCCGCATTGGAACGGTCAATGTTTAGCTCCCTTTGTTCTTGTAGTTAAATACAATCATCCTATTCCTATTTCAAGAGAAAAACATGACGACCTCATGTCTATGCTCCCATTACTTATGCCAGAGTATCGCCAATTTTACAGGAATTTGCCTCGCGCATGAGGAAGTTCAAGTATTTATATTTTTTAAGCTTGTCCTTGCGTTACATACATCATTTCCACCTGTTACCTCGTAAATGTATGATTATTTAAAAAGATGCGAGTAAACTTTAAACCATGTTAAAGAAAAGTTATAATAATTTAGAGTTTCTGTACCGTATTTGATATCCATGGTGCAAATTGCATGACTACACTAAATTTAAATTTGTTTACAAGTTGTTTTTCGATTCACGTCCTCATTTATAGATTTCATATCAAAATTCCAAATTAATAGTGACCTTTACTTTAAATAATAATTAATAATAATTAGAATTTCCAAAATTGACGGGCCGAATACAATGTAAGTGATATGTTTTTGGTACCGAAATAGCACTTCTAAGGTGAAATCACATAATGCAGATAGTCGAACTTCCTCGGTATTTGGTTAATTTTCCCAAGAGGTAGAATACCTTAATTGAAGTGGAATTCGGGCTCTGTTTTCTCAGGAGTATTTACATCCAATAACTTTTACCGATCAATACATTATCATTACTACTTATCAAGCGAGAAGCGAATATTTCCTCGAGTTTTCTCTCCTGCCAATTAATTAAGCATGACTCCTGCACTTTATGGCTTGGGAATGCGGTGGACGTATTATTATCTCTTTATCTTGCCGTCCAGGTATCACTGACTATGTACACAAAAGAACATTCGTGATTATGTACACAAATCATTTGATTTATGACGATGATTGATAATACTCTCAGCTGAATTCACTTTACAAAATACATAGAATCACCCTCGTCACACTATAATTAAGCTTATGTAATTATATTGCAGGGGTATATGTAATTACTAAATAATTCATCTCATGGTTGACATTTCGTTTTCTAGACGAATTGTATATACCACTCCACTGCACACTCTTTCTCTAAATGTTGTCTGGCGTTGGACATCAATTAAGAAGGATGGCGAGTTCTGTGAGTAGCGATGCCCGGTTTATTTTTCGACAGGTATTTTTTTACAAAAGTTAAATAGTTTGAAGTACCATTTTTTACAGCATTTTTTATATTGTTTTGCAGTGGTTCGACAGGGAAAGCTGCACTTACACGTACCTCTTGGGCGATGCTGATACAAAGGTAACAGTATTTCGAATGGCAATTAACTAACCACCGTTTAGCCAAATTTGTTCAAAGGATCTGAACGTGTTCAAGCTGACTTATATTTTTTCGTTCTAAGGAAGCGTTGATAATTGACCCAGTGATTCAGTTGGCTGAAAGGGACGCTCAACAAGTTCAAGACATGGGACTGAATTTGAAATATGTCATGAATACGCACGTCCACGCTGACCATATCACGGGGACCGGCCTACTAAAGAAATTGTTGGCTTGTACCAATGTGAAAAGTGTGATTTCGAAAGAGTCTGGAGCAGAGGCGGATGTCTACGTGTCGGGTGGGGATGAAATCACGTTTGGGGACATGGTAGTTGAAGTGGGTTTTTTAAAAATAATAAACTATAATGATTGAAATATTGTATGATATTGCATTGGTTTATATGTATTTATCTATAAATTTCAGGTGAGAAGTACTCCAGGACACACAAACGGTTGCATCAGCTATGTATTTCATGCGGGGAGAAGGGTATTTACGGGCGACGCGCTGCTTATTCGGTACAATAAAATTTTATAATCACTTAAGGTGAAGGTCTCCCAGCATATGTCCTTCGATTCGGTTACAAAAATTAATATGAAATGTGTAAAAGACACAAGCGTCCAATGCTTAGGTTTGGCAGATATATTTGCATCTGAAGAGTAGAAAACACGCAGTGGAAGGTGTAAAATTTGTCAAGTTCTAGGTGCACCTTGGATGCAAATATTTCCGCCAAACCTTGCCAGGTAGTGCCTTTTGCAAATGGCATGTTAATTAAATTTGTCACTATTCACACTAATTTGGTCAAAATTGGAGCGCATATGCTGGGAGACCTCCTTTGTTAACTCCACATAAGCCATGTACTAATTTGACTGTGTATTTCGCAGTGGGTGTGGCAGAACTGATTTTCAGGAAGGGAATTCTGAAACTTTGTATAACTCGGTAAACTCGCAAATTTTTAGTTTGCCAGACGATTACTTTGTCTACCCAGCTCATGACTATAAAGGTACCAAAAACAATTACATGAAAATGTTTCACTTTAGTTATGTATTAGTATGAACTAATAAACTATAATATTCCATGCAGGTCTTACTGTCTCGACAGTTGGAGAGGAGAAGAAATACAATCCACGTCTTAGCAAACCTTTGGATGAGTTCAAAACGATAATGTCAAATTTGAATCTGGATTATCCAAAGCAAATCGATGTCGCACTCCCAGCCAATCGAGTTTGTGGATTATACAATCTTCCAGCCGCTTTAACGGAAAAATATGGCGACAAACTTGTTGCAAAATAAAACCAATCTCGCTCACAACATTTTGTCACTTGTCATTGTCACTTGAAGCCTATGTATCAACATCCGCGAAACATTTAGAAAAATTGTATATTCAACAACTATTTACTCAAAATTCTTGTACCTCCAAAACTATCTGTGTTATTTCGTACATTGCAATAAACTATCTACACTATTTCGGTTTGGCTGGATTGTTCCCAATATTATTTATCACCTCATAAAAGAATGAAATTTTAGTAACACAAAAACATAAATAGAGAAAATACGAAGTACGCTTGGCTTGGGGAGTAGAGGAAAAATCCGATGTTAGTGGATTGAGAAAACCTCTAGGCGTCCGAGGTCACCACACGGCCCTCTCTTACACTACTTAGCATTTTATTCTATGGGGGCACCGCGGCATAGAAACGGTGCCAATTTCATTCAACGACATTTCTGGTTCAAAAGACTCTAATATCACGATTCCTTGACCTTAAGTATCTAGGTAACCAGTCTCCCTTTATAGACTGATAAAGTGTCAAATAATCTTGCTCTAATATAAATACGTAACATTGCGCCAACAATCTCATCTAAAGTCAACACTGCAACAAAAAAGATGGAGTCCCGGTCAGAATCAGAGTCATCACGCGACGCCATTTTAGGAGACCATGTAGAAAATTCGCTTCAAAAATACGAGAAAGTCCTTTCTTGCTCGCCCCTCAGCACAGAAACATACATCTTGAAAAGTGATCGTGACTCTGTATGCGATGAAGTCCGACCCTGGGTTCTGTTGAAAAACAGAATGGCAGACTTTGACGAATTTGATGAATACCCATCTGATCTCGATTGCCAAAAACAGGAAGGACTCTTTGACATTTCCGAACCCAAATTTTACTCCTCCTCCTCCGATGAAGATACAGAAAATGAGGGTGAACCATACTGTCCTTTGTTCGAGTTTAGTCCTGTGCCAATGAGCAATAATGGGATCGCCAAATTGGACCTACTGCAACACCAAGACTTCAATGCTAGCGGAGATTCTTGTCACACGGATAAAAAGTTCGGGTAAGATCCAATGTTTGCATTTGTTGAAAAATATGCCGTTACTTATGTATCCATTTATATTACTTATGCAGAAATTTTGGCGGATTGAACGTTACAAACAACGTCGCTAATAAAATGGGTTCAAATAGTGCCACTACCTTATCCTCCAATAAAACCCAACGATCGCGAAAGTCTTTAATGCCAAAAATGAGATCAGCCCTGGGAGGATTTTCTTTCTTTAAGAAGTAATGAGGATGATGACGACAATAACTTTCACCTTCATACATATATAAAACAAAACTAATAAATAACAATTAAGTGACACGCATAATACATATTAACCAAATATTTGTAAAACTATGATGTATGTGTATTTTAAAAAGATTTATTAACACTCAATTCAACCTGGAGTGCAACAATTATTACATACATAAACATTCATACTTTTCAGAATCGTAATCACAACATTTGTCTGTAGTCGATTATTCTTACATTTACTGGACTTGTATGTAAATCAGTGCGTTTATCCTGAATGCTTAACAAAATTAATACATATTTTGTTTTGTATATAGATAATCCTACAACAGTAAATTATTATTTAGTCCTAGCTCTGGTTTTTGAACACTGTAAATATTTTCGAGATTCGAATATTTGAAAGTGAATACAAAGCTCTGTATACTTTTTTTAGAACAGAGCACATTGTACAAATTTTGTATAATTTCAGAAAATTTCTCCCACCCGAGCTGCATTAAGAAATTAAATTATATGGTTAGGACGAAGAAAAATGGAATCAGTCAATGCACTAAATAATATAAATCAATCATTGTACATAATACAAGCTACACAATCCCTTCAAAATAGAAAACTAAATATACTTAATTAAACAAATAAATCTCAGATAACAGATTCTCATAGTTCGTCAACTTCTTTTTGTGCCGTCAACTGTATATAATACTCTTTTTCTAATCTCTGCAACAACCACAACAGCAAATACAGCAAATCAGTTCTTTGACACATTCGCAAAGGCAGTATCCAATACAACAAGGCAGAACCAACAGCAGTATCACAGCCGCCGCGACAATGGCACCTATTTCAAGGGGAGTTAGTTTTTCTTCCCTAGAAAATTTAAAAAAACTGTGTTCAGCTAATTTGCCACAATTTATTACAAATTAGTGAATCTGCTTCAGACCAAATGGTTTATTGCAGTGACTTACTTCTTGACATCCTTTCCAGTGAACGTGTTCTGTGCTCGGTCAATGAAGTTCTTGGCTGAATTTACAGAGTCCTTAATGTTTTCACCGACGCTTTCTGAGTCAGGGATCGGATTTCCTGATATGCTGACAGCCATTGCGAGCAGGACGAGTCCGAGAAGGACCAGGCTGGGTCTCGATACCATTTTTGAGATTGTTGAGCAAGCCATTGTTTGTACCACGGTGTTTTTCAAATTCTTCTTGGAAAAATGGAATGAATTGGAAAAATCTCTTCAATCTGAAATAAAGTTAAAATTTTCGATTACGTAATGACTGCAAACTAACATCAGTATGAAATGACTCGTAATACGCCAAATGTTTCACAAAAATTTTGAAGTTTGTTTTACAAAAAAAACAAGGTAAAATTATTAACAATGTATAATACCCAATGACGATGTGCTGATGAATGAATGAAATTAGAAACTCTGCTGCTGCTGCGGTTACAAAACTAACTTTCTAGTTCCAGGTTCAAGAATTGATTGAAGTGAGTTACACAACCGACAAGCAATAATATACGCGTTCGTTCTCAATGAGCTATCTTAAACCAGGGAAAACGATAAATACATAGTTTGCTTGCCTTCGTTCATAATCAGTTTGAACTGAATTGGATATCATGAACAAAGAACAGAACTGAACAAACAACAAGTGTTCCCTTTTCCCCAATACCAGAACCAAATGACGTGTTGCCTCTGTCCTCTCTTTCTTTATTCTTTTCTTGGCAATCAATTTAACGTGTGTCAATTATGTGTCACTAAATATGACTCACAATTAGTGCATGCATTGGCTAAATACTCACAATTTTCAAAGTTGTATTGTGCATTAAGAATTTTTACACATTCCAAGTTTTAAACACAATGTAAGGACGAGTAGTAAGAAGTAATAATAATAAGAATAGAAATGTGAGAAGCCTCGTCACGTTGTTTGTGACAATAATCGTGGCACGTTAAAAATTTGGAGTGGCGTCGTGTCGTGTATAGATTCTTAATAACAAGAGAATAAACTGAAAACCAACCTTTTTTTACGTATCTATGTAGCACGCAAGGAGAGAGGCTTATAAAAGCTCCAGAAATAAGCAATAATAGGTCGTAAAGACTAACAAATGACAATCATTTCCGTCGCCGTTCAATGCTTGTCACCAAATGATTTGCTTTGCTCTCCAGCACCAGATTTTTACTGCTCAACAAGTGGATTATGTTTACAGAATGTTATGAAACGTCGATATTTGCCATGAGTCGCGTTGTCGGAATCACTAATCTCAAAGCGTCATCCGCTCCTACTTACTCTAATCTGTGTACTGTGTACATAAACGAACGGATCGAGGTGTGGATATAATAAGGAAACAATATGAGCGATAAAGTAAGAATCTGCTTAAAAATAAATAGTAGCATAACAGTGCATTATTATGCATGCGAGTACGTGAGTCATTCAAAACTAGGGTGCAGATTTTGTATTCAAAAAGTAGTGACGAATGATCTCGTGCAAAAGTATCTCGGCTACAATTTGTACCTCGTTAATTACTAACTACTGAAAAATCGAACTCTACCACGTCATGACATGACATTGCAAACACACATACTTAACATTACATACGTCACATGGCAATGACGTGGCGAACGAAATGAGTTATAAAATAAATGTTTGAGAAGAAGATACCTTGAGCTTTCTTATATGGCATGCATGCATTATTATTTATTAAGTCAAAAGTCAACTCGACCCAAAACTGAACGATCTACAGATAATTGAATTGCCTTGGAAGGCGAATGGCTATTTAAATGGCCACTCTGAATAAATCACGCAAGTCTAGCTGATATATTGATAAAATTATGTATGTATGGTGCATTTCTATGAATTCTAATCCCAATAAAAATCTAATTCGATACAATATCCTACATAAATAGTCAGGCGAATAAAATATATTTTATTGTAAAACACGACTCACCTTTTACAATTTCCTGGCGAATGTGGTCAACAAAGTTTAAAATATTCTGCAATTTAGAAAAAGATCACGAGTTATTAAAGAACGTCCACCTCTTGATCAATGGAAGGGCAACTGACTGACTGAAATGCAGTATCTCAATGTCGTTGGCTTGTTGTCCCAAGATCAGTTCTTCTCATGAGAAACCATAATTGCCCATCAGACTCAAATGTCTGTTGCACAATTACTAATACATAATATCTAACACAACTCGTTGGTTAAGCTCTTCTTCTACTATTTACCAAGAAGTGGTACCTCTGCATCTGTACGTCATATATACGAGGAGAGATAGATTCCATGAACTGCCCACATGTATAAAATCAGAGCAGGACATTAACTATGTTTGCATAAGAAGAGAACGAAAACTGATAAAAACTAAACCAGTTTTGACTCCAGATAGGCAGATGCTTACAATATTGTGAAGTTTGGTCATACTGAAAAATTCATATCGCTATTCACTATTAGAAGAACTGTGGTTGTACTACGTAGAAAAAATACTCATGGAGGTTTAAATTTTAAACTCAGTCCATCCTAATTGGTGAGACACATCATTATTAAGGGGTGAAAACCCCTTTATGGAAATGTCGTGTCTGTCTGTCCGTCTGTATCCACGATAACTTTAGAATGGTTTCGTATTTCGGGATGCGGTTTACGTCAACGTGTTTCTAATTTTTGAAGTATGGATGAGTTCGAAGATGGGCGTCGTAGGTGATAAGGTCACGGCGCCACGGAGATGAGATAAACGGTCAAATGTGTCGAATTTTTTCTTTCGACCGTTTTAGACGTAGTTTTTGGCGAGGATATCGAAAATCGACATAGTTTTGACGTGCCGTGGCTGTGTGACCGCGTAGACGACGCCAAAGTCGGAAATTGTCGAATTTTTTGTTTCCACCGTTTTAAACGTATTTTTGGACGGGGATTTCAGAAATCGCCATCATTTCGACGTACGATGACCCCGTGACCGTGTGGGAGGTGTCGAATGTCGAAAATATGACTTTTGTCATGTGGGGTGTCTATTGAAAGGTATTGTCGTGTACGTTTGAAGTACGCGGGTGGGGGTGTCAAAACGGGGCAAAATGAGACGTGGGGTAATGTGAGACAATGACGGGAAAGTGCAGAAAGACGTTGTGGGCGTGCCACAAAGACAATTCCGTGTGTTTTCACCCCTTTGCTACATTTCGTTTGCAACGGTTTATTTATTCATGCAAATATGTTGTGCTGTACGTACATACAACTGTCTAACAAGTTCTCTCTATGAAATGATGGGAGTCTATTCGATTTCCCATGTATATTTTCCATGATATAATTCCAGGAAAATAATTTTTACAGAAAGTTATAGTGCAGTTTTTTACCTTTTTTTCTCGTTTCTCCTGAGTTGCAGGTCACTTGATGGTACATGAACCGGATGATTTTTCTCAGACAGAAATGGTTATCCGAATCCGTTCTCAACCTTGAATTTCTTGGCAAAAGTGTTCAATATGAAATTTGTCTGTCTCGAGTGTCACTACACTTGGAACAAATTCAAAACCCTAAACGAGTTGCAGGCAGGTTTTTGTTATACTATTTCATTTCAAGTGGTTTTAAGCTAATGGGAATGATAACCGGGGAGTTTTCATGAATGCGAATGTTTTATGTTGTAGATCCTCGTGAAAATGTCTTGTCCCAAGTGTTTTGCAGGCGTTTCTTTTGGAGTGTGTGTTGCTACTGCTGGATGGATTGTGACTGAAGTATCCGAGTTGGATTGGTCACAGTCAAAATCACAATGGAATGGTTACTATGTATGAATCGTGACCTTAATATGCCACACAGTAAAAAAACAAACAAAAAGGCGTAGGTAGTTATCTAGTCGCAATAAGTTTTGCTGCCCTTGTTAATAATGACTAAAGAGACCATGACTTAGCAGAACTCGGGCTTTTTGGTGGCTTCCTTTCGTTGTATTACGTACTTAACTATTAATTGAGCTTCATCAAAAATGTCGGCAGTCCACTTCTCGACAATAACCACTCGGTTCGGTTAGTTGAAACTGGAATTGGGCTTGATAGCTTAATAATAGCAAAATAAACGATTTGATACAATGTCAGGTAGATAATTCAGGCCAAGTTGTACAGAAACTCTGGTGGAATCCAGTATTTCTTTGTTAAAAATAACAGGTCACATCGATTACAGGAGAGCTGAATAGTGACAGATTGTCGCAGTATTGACGATATTAAATATTGATGTGACCCTTTTAGCTGTACAATACTAATTCAAAGTAAACCTCCAAGATTGTGGTGGGATTGGTGTCAATTATTGTAGCTTGGCTGGATTGGTTCAAAGGGTTCCAACAAATTGCTTGATTTTCTTGTGACAAGTCTAGAATTTGTGACACTTTACGCTTTTGAATATGATTAGACATTCATTGAATATTAGGGTGATCAATTCACGTATCAAAACAACTTCACCCTCACCACAAATAGAATCGAATTATAATCGACACAATTAATTTCCTGGTATTAAGTAAGAAACGAAATTGTTGATTGTCACTTCACTAAATACAATTTCTCAGTCGATAATACTTGAGTAAAGTTAACAATTGATTATATCTTGTAAGTAAAATATGTTTCCACTTTGAATTTGTTTCTGAAAAATAGGAACAATTTGAGAAAAATAAGAATCAGGTGTTTTTAAGCTAGCTGTTCTGTGGACTGTTTTGACAGCGTACTGCATAACAAATCGCAATCCTTTCACTTTTTAGGCGAACCCATGTTAAATCATGTACGTCGTATGTAAACAGTTTGTATGTAAATAACGCTCAACTACATTCTGCATAACTCTATAACAAAATATACATAAATAGGAAGGTGCTAAAAGTATATTGCTAATTGTAAGTGTCCTTATTTTTGACAGATTTTCTATCACGGTAAATACACCACAAACTTTCACTTGAGTATATATTTCATTGTCTGCAGTAAGTAAGGCAAGTAAAATTTACAAGTATCAATATCTTTATAAGGTGAGAATGGAAATCACCAGTGCCCAAAATTATAAATAATTATAAAATGTCACTTAAGTAAGCAGGAAAGAACGAAATGCATCCTACCTATGCAATTTAGGATTAGTACATATTAGGGGAGATCCATAAATTATGTCACGCAAAAAAGCCCTTTTTTAGGACCCCCCCCCCCCACCCCTGTTGTCACGCCTTTGTCACGCTCGTCGTGACCCCTCCCCCCCTCTTGTCACGTCACGCCTGAAAATCTGAATTTTTCCAATAGCAAGAATAAGATATATATTATGAACCTTATTTTAGCTATTGGAAAAATTCGTATAAAAGAGGAGCGAGTAGTAGGGAATAATATCAGGACTAACAAGGGAATCTTATGTAAATACTGTGTCACCTGGATTTTGCACGAATTGACTTTACTTGGCCGATAATTTCATGAAGCCACGCCTTTGTCATAGAAGATGTAGTGTCGATTACGGTTGAAACGAAATATTTCGCAATAACTATGTGAAACCCGTGTAATTTTACAGGATAGGAACAATTCTTAGCTCTATTCATACTCATATAACATCCTTTATTGAGTGAAAAGTCATAGCTTTATAGATTTGTAGACAATAATTTTTTCCAAAACTCGTGTTAATTTTTTATTATTTTTAGTGTTTAAAAGTTTCAAATAAGTTGAAAAAAATCCGCCAAATTTTTCAGTTTTGTTATATGTTATTGCGATACATTATTTAATTGTTAACATTTTTGAATCACGCAGTTGTCTTCAATTAGTACACATTTTTGAAACTACGATGAATAGAGTGCTTTCGAACGAATTTTTTAAATTGTACACATCTTTGGAGATTTAGTAATGTTTTTAGTTGTAGAATTTTTTGTAAAATTATGACGATTTCTTGAAATTATGCAAACTTTATGGCATCGTGAATTTTTTTAAATTTAATTTTTTTAAATTTACAAACAATTGGATATTGTGTAAATTATTTGAAGGTTTGAACAAAATTTAGAAACTTGATTGAAAATCTAAAAATCTAAAACTTGGTTTTTAATACTTTGGATCAAAGGTTTGATATTTGGCTGGACATATTTATATTTCTAAATATTTGCGAAACTGTAGTTTGGTTATAGTCGGAGAATTAAAATGTGAGTTAAAGTTTGTATTAGTTAGGCCTGGAAAACGTGATGTCACGGATCGGCCGAACCCCCCCTCCCCATATGTCACACTTTGTCACGGATTCCTGGAACCCCCCCATCTTCAGCGTGACATAATTTATGGATCACCCCTTACGAAAAATGCAAAAGCAAAACAGTTTAGCGATTTTTATGTAAATTAAGAATTGCAATGCAACTACAGCCTAAAATTTTACCGGCGTCAAACTCTGATTTCTTTAAATCTTTTATTATCACAAAAAGTAAGTACCTATGTACACACATATACAGCAAGCGATGGGATGTAATATAATTAGTCATAATATCATGGTGTTATAATCTAAAATATGAGTTTGATAGGATTTAGTTAAATTTTTCACTAGACATACAACCAGACTAATCTTCATGTTCCAAGGCCGAATTTTCCTTCCCTTCATCTTTCTCGTCCTCCAAGGCTTTCACTTCGTCTTTCTCCTTTTCTTCGTCATCTCTGAGCCAGAATCTGTCGGCGGGCACATACTTGTACGCCATGTAACTAACAAAGAGAAATCATGATAAAGAACTCACATAGAAATATTTATGCAATTGATTCAGAAGCTTACGAGAAGATCAACATATCGGCAAACATGAGGCCGGCAAAGAGGAAGAACTCTTTCCACTACAACATTTAATTATTTAATTAGTATTTTTTAATTAATGCCTTTCAGTACAGCTTAGCACAGCCCGAACCAGGATTTATCTATTAGTAAACCAGTTACCAATTCCCGAAATACATGTTCCTACTAGTACCAAATTTGGCCAAAATCTTTCAACGCGTTCGAGGGTTATCGAAAAATAGATGGACGGACATGACGATTACACTGGTTCGGGCTAAAAATTTATCTGAAGACGGACCTGTTTGTCAAAGATTTGAGCCTCGGCAATGATAATGACGATAAGATTTCCAAAAGCCACTGTCAAAAGCCACGTGGACTGCATCACAGACTTCATGCTTGGGGGTCCCTATTATTTCGAATAATTATTTGAAGGGGAAAAATTTCTCAAGAACAATTAAGCTTGCACATACCTCAGCGTATGAGAAATCCATAATTGTAATCGAGAACATAATTTCTCCCATGGTCATGATTATGTATTGAGGAATTAGGAGCAACATGTGAACGTCGTTAGCCTTTGTAATTTGGTGCATCACAATGTCGTAACTTTCTTTACTTTCTCCGAATTTATCCTCATTCCTTGTAATCAGAGTTAGATTATTGATATGATAATTAAATCGGTTCTCCGAGTTGGTTTTACACAATGTGCAATTAATTTAACTAAAGACTTACCTGACGACAGACATTAGATATACCGCACCCAGTTTTAAGTCTAGACTATCTAATTGGAAGCCAGTGGGATTTTCAGCATTGGACATGTAAAAATCATATCTGAAATTGATAAATTATTTTAAACTACATTATCTCAAATTGAATATTTCCATAATTGTAAGCAGTGCGTTCTTACTTTGTGGGTTCAACCTCGCCGAAGGACGTCCATCCAAGTCTATTCAGTTCAAAGTGAAACGATTGTTTTTCGGTGAACCCTTGGACAGTTGTATTTTCCTTAATGTTCGCCGGGTCATAAATTACTCTGATGAATGGACATTTGAAATTAATTATGGTTTTGGCAATAGTTTAAACATTTAATGTATTTTTTAACCTACCGAATTCTCGGATTTCCACTTTTTGCTTTTTCCATATCGTCCTCGTCCAAAACATGATGAAATTTTAAATCATCTCCGTGCCAAAGCATCATAAAACTTTTAGCCTGAAATTTTGTGGGTGCATTATTTACATATCTATATAGGATCATAAAAAAGGTACTTATAAAGATGTGTCGCTTTGTACCACTTCACTTTCACCGGTAAGAACAGGCTCAGTGTGGACCCTCGTTCTCCTGCAAGTTCCTTCCCCGGAGAAAGTCTCAAACTAGACAAACAAAAATGAAATTGACGCAATTATACCGGGTTCAGTCTAAGATAAGACCATAATGAGATAAGGAGATAAAAATAGACGAGACAAGGAGTAGCGTCTGGCGTTAGCGTGGCGTCCCTTCCTCAAACATCACTAAAATTCTCCCAACTCGGGTCATTCGTACGAGAAATCAATCTTACCTTAACATTTGGATAATCTCTGGCATTAATTGCTTCAAAAATCTCCATCTGATTGGGAGGAATGACGACTTTTCGATTTGCATCCAGGGTCATATGAAGTGGACAGTCGGGAAGTCCATTAACCATGTGAAAGTTGGATTCACCCTTTTTCAGTATGGTGGCATATGTGTTCTGAATCAAATATCAGAAGTTTTATTAACATTTGCATTTCAATTCGAAATTTTCGAATTAGAAACCAACCTCCAAACTCAATTCGACCAATCCAGACACAACGAAAGCAACACCGGCAAATATGCCACCCATTACGAGCCGTTGAAGTGGTTTCTTCAAAACTCCGAATTTGCTAAGAAGTGGATAAATTCCTCGATCAAAGATGGGAATAAAAATCAAGACCAAAGCTGGATTGAGGACTTGAAGTTGATCCGGCTTGATGACCCAGCCCCACGTGTCTCCATCCATTCTTGTAGCTTGGAGCGTCCACCGAGATCCTTGCTGATCGAAGAGCGCTATTTTTTTAAGTAACATTTGCATATTAGAAATTTCTGTGAAAGTAAATTCCTTGAAGGTTGTCCTAATTTCACGCACCCCAGAAGAAGGGGACAGGAATGTACAAGAAGAGGACTTTCATCAACACCTTTGCCTCAGCAATGAACCGTTTCCCGTATTTATCTTCGGCATAATCCAACCAATGGTCACGAGCACGTCCAGCTTTTACTTCTGATCCTCGTCGGCTCAATGAATGCTGGACATGGTAACAATTTTAATCGCTGGAGAAAGTAGGCGCACGCATTACCTCATTAAATTTATTTACCTTAATAGCACCAAGAACTTGAACAACGACATTGCCCTCTGGCTTGTTCACGATGTATCCCGGACGCCCAACGACGAACACGACTACATGGTAACATTTCTCATTTACATTTATTGTTAATCAAAGAGTTCGACCGTGTTTTGAAGTACAACTTACTCAACGCAAAAATCATGAGACCACCCGGAATCGCAAAGGCCAGAGAGTAGCAGTGATCATCATCGAAGCATTTGACATCCTCACGAAGAATGGGCGTCAAGACGGTGGAAACCAAACTGCCAGAGTTAATTGCGGCATAAAATATGGCAAAATAACTGGCGACTGGTGAATACATAAATGGGGAACAAGTATTGAATATTTAGTAAGTAGTGAGTGTGAGTGCATCTGTATTTATGGAAGTCTCGTCCATATCCCAATTAATTTCTGGCTCAAACATTATCATAATTCTTGACGAAAACAAAGACGAGACTCCCTTTTGAAATTTCTGTCTTTTTCATTACCGTAAACTTCCTGTTCTGGGAGCTTGAACTGATCAGCACCGAACGCAGACACGCAAGGCTTGATACCTCCAGTTCCTAGAGAAATCAAGGCCAGGCCTACCAAACTGATAGCTCTGTAAAAAAGCATGAAATCCAAAGTTCAGCCATTTTGTACATACACAAACTTGGTTCGAAATTCGATTTTTTCAAGATTGTTTTTCTTTAATAATGAAGACCTACATGACAGGGAAGTTCAGAGGTGGTGTTGCAGCCAAGGCTAAAGTAGGTTAAAAATAAATTACAGATTGTTAATATGTTCCATTTAAAAATTATATATTATTTTGATATTGTTTACCCAAAACAACGCATCCAGCGCAGTACACGATTCCGAGGTAAAGTATAGTCCTTTAAATTTCCGAAAAATTCCTCATTTTACAAATGCATTATAATGCAATTCAATTCTAATTGTTTACGTACTGGAACTTTCCCAACAATGAATCTGCTAGCATTGCTCCTATTAACGGTGTGAAGTATGAAACCATAACCCACGCGTGGTCTAGAAAAATAAAATAACTTTCACGACAATGCATACAAAATATGATCTTGAATAAAGAAAAACATACAAACAACGGTAGCCTGGTTGTCTGACCATTTCAAAACCTGGACAAAGTACAGCGTTAGGATAGCTGTAAATTAAAATTATTGTCATCATTGTAATGTCCTGTTCCAAAACAACATCGTTGAAATTTTTGTAAGCCTTACTTCGCATTCCATAGTAGCAGAACCGCTCGCAAAATTCGCAGATGATAACTAAACGACACCACAAGGTAAAGTATAAAAAATATAGGTCAAGTATTAAACAACAAAATAATTTTAAAAAAGTTGTATTAATATTAAAATAATTACTGAAAAAGACAGCCTTGGGATACGGCAATTTCTGAAATTATAGGAATTTATGTTACAAATTAGTTGTGTAAATGTATATACAGTTCATTTCGATAACGCCAGAATTTTCAGGTATGCCATTTCAATCATGGATATGGGCTCAGCTTTCTCACATTTTGGAGAGGAGCAACCAACGCTATTCAGCAGCAATGATAAGAATATAAATTACGCATTGAATAGTTAATCATTACTGTGAATAAAAATGTTTAAGGATTTTAGCCGAAAAAATTCATTGAATGAGATGAATTAAAAAATGAAAAAGACAAATTTTGGATACGGCAAATTTCTGAAATAGTTTCAAACATATCCTCATTCCTCATTTAAAGTTTCAATGAACCACGTTATCACTTATTGATTCATAGCATTTTTATGCAAATTTTAAACAAACTTGAAACGTGGGATGGACATTGCACATTGTGATGATGGATTGATTGAGGAGTGTAAAACACATCGATTGTGCAACAAATTAATTATGTTTGTTGGAGAATCTGCTAATGGAATGCATTTCCAAGAGCAAAATGCTGACATCAACCATAATCAATTGATTACTTTCGATAAAAGCTACATACATACACTCAAAAGGCATTTAATATTATGAAATGAAAAGGAATATCATGGATGATTTATGTAAAATATTATCATTCTCGTCATAATCATTACCTTCGCCGTCCCCTCCAAATCTTTGTCTCCCGACATCCTTCCAGCAGCAGTGCCTCAGACCTTCATATGTTTCATGGGAATTTTAGATTAGTGTTGTTCTCATTGACATGTTGTAATGAGAAAATAAATTGTGTATGACAATGGAAAAGTAATAAATATGCTGTCGATTGGGCTAAAAATGTAATTCGAAATTATATAGCTCCAACTTGTATGTGAAAAAATCATAATAATAATAAGATAATGTCTAGACAGGTATTGGGGGGATTCATGAGAGCTTCGTACATTTCGCAAATGTCCCATTGCAACACAGGGAGGTTTGTGAATGGTGTGAATTTTTAGATAGAAAATATATAGGATTTTGTATGCGAAGGTTACGCAAACTCCGCATTTTATTTAAGCAATAACTTTCAAATTCCATTGTTTGTGCCTTTCTCACCAAAAAATATCAAAATTTTGAGGGTTTCAAAATTATTTCCGGATTTGCGAACCACCACCACTATCCAAACCCACCTGAATAAATCAACATGGCCTGCTTGAGTAGTGACAAAAATAAAATAGTAATACAAATACAGATTTTAAAATTCAAGAGAGAGACAAAGGAATGCTGAGTTTGCGAGAAATTTGAAATTAGGTCGTTCACGTGGACAATTTAAGTTGCGAAGCGACGAGCCTCATGAATCCCTTCATTTGAGGGGGCTGGCGTCAGATTAGACACGAAATAACTGCCGGCTTTTAGGAAGATATGCAAATTTCTGATGTCGCTAAAAACGTATAAACTCTAAATTTCCTTACCTGACTACTCCTTTTTAAAAACTCTCAGATTCACGCCTCTCAGTAACAGATTTCGCAGATTGTCGAAATGCCACTACACAGCCACAACTGCTTTCAACAATCCAATCGAATCTGACACTGAACCTAGTGATCAACTCTCCATGAATTCTCGATTTCCAGTTATCCATCGATATCGATATGATGAATGCTATCAGACAACCAATTAAATAATTTGAACATCAACAGCAGCATACTTGAACAATTACCAAGAAATTATGCTCACTTATGTTTTAATATTCGGGGAACAAGATAATGCTAAATGCCAATTCTATTCGAATATTGGTATCAATGTTCACGTCATCAGATTAATTTATGCATTGAAAATCATTCATCGGCTGGATATATTTTTCATTAATAATGTGATTTAAGCTAAATACCTACCACTGTTATATTTTACCATTGATTTTCTCACGAATATATTCATATCCACACATTTAATTAAATTTGGTCATTATCATGTTTCAATATTATTCATAAAATCAACGAAATTGTGTACATTTTCACCTGATAAATGTGATAAGGTTGGAATTGGAACATGGTGCTCTTATCCACCCTTGGCCGCTTCCCAGGATTTGGTCGCATTCGCATTCCTCTCCTTTTACTAGGTTTAGGTCAATCTCAACTTGTGTGGGCGTGATAATTCAATGTTTTAAATATAATAAATGAAATACGTACATCAAAATTAATTACTTACTTTATTAGTTTTGGGACAATAATTTAAATCTGTTGTACTATTATTTTCCTGTAACAATTATTATATATTTCTCAAATTTTGAGTAGTTGCATATCTGGATTTTGAGCCTTGACGTCATTGTATTGTTTAATTGTTTGCAAAAAGAGACAGAATGATGAAACTCTAAATGTTATAAAATACAAATAGATTGCATTTATTGTTACAGCAGAACACTTTTAACTCTATTGCATCATCGTAATAATGTAAATTGATAATATTGTTAATATTATGTAGGTATGTACATATTCATATCATTTGCAGAGGCAGGTACAAAATATGTGTGGAACTGGCAAAGTCTCTCCACATATTTTGGAGGGTCGTTGATACACTTGGGCGCAGTACTCGGAACAATGGTCGTGATCCATGGAGTTTATCCAGGTCGTGCAAGGAGCTGGAATTGGATTTGATTCAGTTTCTCCTTCCTAAAAATGAAATAATTTAGGAATTTATAACTGAGAAATTGTTAAATTGTTCTTAATTGAAAGTTATTAATTGACATGCATTGGAACAATCGCAAACACAGGTTCCATTTCGGTCGCAGAGTGGTTGTGACAGGTCACCAAATTTCCAGCCGCAAACATGTTGACACTGTTGAGGTTGATCAGGTTCGCATTTATTGACTGAATAGTATTCGTCTTTAAGACCCTGAGACATTGTCCTCTGAAACTACGGAATATTAAATATTGAAAATGTTTATGATAATTAAATGTTAACATTTTAATAAATAAGTACTCATAATTACATTCAAAACCATCTGCACGGCTAGAAAACTGATAAATATCCGAAATCCCCACAATGCATATTCAGATTCTCGTAACATGATAACCATTAAGTGCAATCAAGAACCTAAATTTTTCAAATAAATTAATATGTTTTATGTACAAATGCTTGCACGACTGAAAGTGCAATACTGTAAGCATAGAAAATATGCAGGTAATCCTGAATGAGACTACCTTAACCTTAAAGCACATTAAAAACATTTTCTATATAAGGATCCATGTATTTTTACTTTTTAGTACTGTGGAAAACCCCAAATACCCTTCACCCTTAAATAAAGTTGCATGCAGCTCAACTTCCCATCCCATCCCACACATGCACTTGATGCATTTTCATTGTTACGCTAAAAATACCGCATGTGCATTTTATCATTATTTCGTGTGCATAAAGTGTGACCATTGTCCCCCGACGTTCGCAGAGTTGAGACACATAACATGTAAAATATCAGTAATGCTCATTTAACATGGTATTTAGTTAAGTCATCAAAAGTGGTATGATAAATGTGTTAAATAATGTTTTTATTAAATATATTCCAACCTATATATAGTACAGCGTCTATGATTCCAGCATATGCTTAGCTTATTATGCAACACAATCTGCCTGACCTTCAACTAACTGGCTGATAGAACTCGGTTCAACTCAACGTTTTGTATTTATCACATTCATCGATTTATCTCATCTTTACTGCTGTCTTGTGCTTCCTTCCAGTATATAAACCGGCTATTTGGTTAGTACTTTCCAGTCAGAACTCTTGTCATCATCACCTCGGTCTTCCATAAAAATCATCTCTAATTAAAATGGCTTCAACCGTTCGTAAAATTATTACCAGTGCAAAATTGCCAAAGAGCACTCTTCCCTACAGGTACCGATCGATACCATAATAATAATGATCATATTTTAGAATGTCCTAAAATTGTCAAAATTTGTGAAACTATTTTTGGATTTTTTCAGCCCCGGTGTGCTGGTGGACAAGACCTTGTACATTGCTGGGCAGATAGGATGGGACTCTACAGGCAAGGTCGCAGAGGGCATCGAGGCTCAAACCAAATTGGCCTTGGAAAACATGGGCCATGTTCTCGCTGCGGCTGGAGCTACTCACAAAAATGGTACTAAATAGTATCCAATACTAAAATGTGACATGCAAATGATTCAAATTTTCTGAAGAAGGTATTTTGTTTGGTCATTTCCAGTCGTGAAAGTCACGGTGCTTTTGAAGGACATCACTCAATCTGCAGCAATGAATTCAGTCTATACTACTTGTAAGAAAGCGAAATTATGATTGGGTCAGTTCACACGATTTAATAATATGATCTATTTTTAGTCTTTACTGAAAACTACCCAGCCCGAGCTGCTTACGAGGTGGCGAATTTGCCTGTAGTACGTTTCACACAATTATGGATTTTTACATGTATGTGTGCCATAAATTTGAATTTCTATCTAAAAAAATGATCTGTTAATTGCAGGGAGCACTCGTTGAAATCGAAGCTATTGCAATTGTGGGGGACATCGTTGACTCCAAGCTGTAAATTGTCAAAGACCGGTGAAAGTGGAAATACTTTGGAATATTCTCAAATAAAAAAATAAAGCTTTGATTCGAATAAAAAATGTATAGAATGCATTAGATAATAAAATTCTCTGGCTAAAAGAACTCTAAATTCTGTGGGGAGATCAAATTATTAGGGCGCAGGTGGTGGGGCCTCTGTTCCACCACCACCCCCACCTCGGCGAGCTTCTAGTTCTTTCTCCACATTTTCCTTAGCTTTTGCACTGTCCTCTTTCGTGTAGGCGCTGCAAAGGAGTAATCCTTTCATTTGTTTGAAACACTTGTCCTCCAATTTTTCAGGTTTGATGTTACGATGAAGGTTTTGTAAATGGTCTACAAACAAAAATTCAGCAAAACGATTAGAATTATTTGGCATAATATATACTTATCATGCATTGTAGTGAACAAACCCATGCAGAACACGTAGATCAGATCACAATGCGATTTTTCTATCGCGACAATGTCCTCCTGAATTTTTGGGTCTTCTGTGACATCCTCCTCAGGAGAAAGGAGGATTGAATTATTAGCTTTATTTCTGGGGTTGTCCCAGCCCTTAAGGACCAGAGGATTCACTGAGGACCCGTTTCCTCCACCGTTTCCTGCAGACGGTGAAGGTGCATCTGCGGGAGGTGCGGGGGGTGGGTCATCGCCATAAGCTATATTTCGTAGTATTAGATCAAATCTGTGTTTAAAAATTTAGGTGCAACTTGTAACAGAAGAATTTTACCTTGCTGTAAATTTGATACTGAAATCACCACTAAAAATAGTTGAAAAAATCTGCTACACATTTTACAAAAACTTATTACGTGAAAAAACGTATTTGTTTTATGAATAAGATACACTCTAACAGCGTAATAAATGAAACAAAGCATTCTGCTCTGACGTGTTGCATAATACCTGAAAAATGACATTGGAATTAATTTAAATGCATTGCGACAGTGGCCAACTTTCTATTTTTGAATGTTTTGTTTTCCACTATCCATTCACAAACGCGAATCCTAGAAATTTTGGTTTTAGGAATCAAATGCGAAATCATAACTTTTTCAGGCAAAGATTTATTACGAGGGCCAATTGTTGTAGTTGTTTTTATGCGAAATAATAAAGTAATAGCCAATCCCCTTTCAAAGAATTAATTTACCCAATAATGGTTTTACAAAATTCAGAGTTAACCAAAATTGACAATTTTCCGTCATGATTTTTTTAAAGGGCAATGTTGTCCTCGCTCCTGTAGGCTGGCAGTCCTTGACAAACTTCCAACGCACGCACCTATTTTTAATATGTTAAGAGTTCGATTTACAAGAATCCGGCTACAAGTCTGGACTTTTCGAAATAAAATTAATTGTCATGCACCTGTGCTCTGCAGGTCTTGGCGACGGTTTGCATTCCCATCGGGTTGGACTCGTTCTCACGATCTGTGACGAAGAATCAAATCGTTCAAATATGTCCTGACTTTGAAATATGGTTAGAAAATCATCTTTCGTTTTCATTTTGGTTTCGGTTTCGTTTTCGAAAATGGTCATCTTTCGTTACAAAATATGCAAATCTTACCAACGCAGCTCATGTATTCTCCAGCACAATCCACATTGGACACCTGCATGGGTTTGGCATCTGCTCCTGTAAATGAATTGAGGGCAGAAAGGGTTATTTATTTTTAAAGTAATGACGCCCCCCACGACTCTGAATCTCCTTACCTTGGAAGTAGAGACAGACGAGGGGGAGGATGACGGCGAAAATTTGGAAGACTTTCATTTTTCTGCGTATTAGCAAAAAGCTATCGATGAGCTATCGTAAAGTGATGCGATTATTGTGTGTGACCTCTCCTTTCGAGCTCTAAATCGAATGACCGAGTTACTTCCACAAGTATAAACAAGGAACCATTTTGCCAGTGCATTTCAAACAGTTGATTGTACCACGTACGTAGTCGGTAATAAAGCAGTAATTTTTACACTTGAGTATGCATTACATTGGAATTGTTGTACAAAGTGTAGAGTCAAATATAATACCCGGAAGTCTATGAACATAACCAGGAGTAGTTGCGACGTTGAGAGAAATGTGTGTCGATGGTGTAGGCATTCTAATGATGTAAGGGACCTCGATGTGTATGCAGTCGTGATAAAATGTGAGTAAGTACATGAGAGTGATTAGTCACTAAATAATTAGGTGGTGAAAGTTTGCAGGATGCTCATATTACGGAAAAGTTTTGATTTTTAATGCATGAATTTTTTTATTAGTAAGAATTTGTCACTGTGTAACTATTAAAATCCAATCAGAAAAGGTACATTTATAGTATCACGATCGTTTACGAAAAAAAGATGATCTGACCAGCAGACATCAATATCAGTAGGTGTACGGCGATTATTGCGTTTAATATCCAGATGAGACGACTCGGATGGCCGGGGCGGAGTAGGAGGACTTGACCATTGGGGCTTCATAGCTGGCATAGCTGCTTCGGATCAAAGGGGCCTCGTAGGATGGGTAAGCCGCAGCCTCGGCGTGGGCTCGGATAAGCTCGACTGGGACTGGTGGTGGGGTGGGGAGGTGGTCACCGACGGCACGGAATCCATTCTCTGAAAAATATTTAGATAACCCACGATAAGACACGATACAGAGTCAAAGAAGGGTCGTAGTTTTTTACCATCAGCGGTCCAGGTGACCTTGTAGGTGACACCATCGTCTCCGAGGAAGCTGTAGGCTCCGCTCATGACGGAAACTGGTCCTTCCAGATCTCCGGGGAGGCTCTTGAGGTGACCTTCCTCGGTGACGGAGGTACCATCTCCGGAAAGGTGGTCGAAGTTGAAGGTTCCGTAGTTGTCGTCGTTCAAGTTGAATCGGACGATGGGGATGGGAGCCTTCTTCAATTCTGGGACGGCGGCGTATCCGTAGGAGGCGGTCTTGACCTCGGGGGCAGCATAGCTCGAGTAGGAAGCAGTCTTCACGGCTGGGGCTTCGTAGCTCGTGACCTTGATTTCCGGGGTGGAGTATCCACCATAGCTGGCAGCGCAAGCACTGGCGACGCAGACGGCCAAGACGACAAACTGTAAAAATTTTTAAGGGATTTATGAAAATTTTGAAATTTTGAAAAGTTTTCAGAAATTTTTTTTTTTGAAATTTGGTTTACCAATTTCATGATGAGGTAGGAGTTGGTTTAGTTGGTGGGTTGAGGTTGTTGTTGTTGTAGTGAGAGAAGATTGACTTGTGATGCTCTGGACAAGATTTGCTCCCTCTTTTATACCAATTCGAATTCTGGAAAAATGTATGCATTTCGAGGACTGGGAGCAGCAGAGATGAAATATTTAGGTACTTTTGCATTGCATGGCATTGTATACCGAGATAGGATTTGGTATTTGTTGAATAATATTGCCAAGGTCGGTCATTATGATGTTTTCTGTGTACAAGAAGAATTAGGACCTTTATTTTCAGCCTGGTCAGATAAAGGGTTGACCAGTTGAGACTGACAGTGAAGGTGAACCAGATCCAGATTTGAGAGAAGGGTTAGTAACCCTTAGCACGATTCAAGGGTAGGTTTCGTCAACAAGGGATCAACCAAACCACTCGCATAGAGATGATACAAAAACAATTTGAAATGACACCTTGGAAAATCGACGAGTAATCTATTCTTCCATATCCAGGGAATGGCCGTCCTTGTCCTTCATACCAAAGTCAAGCCTCCACAACCCTTATCATGTGGCCAACACGTGATGAGTCTTACAAAGCAAGAGCTTATGGAATTAGTGATAAAAATGTAAAAACGTTTTCTGGAAATTTAAAACTTCGAATAATTAAAATAGTAGACCTAAAACCGAAGGCATTTCAAGGCGTTCAAATTAATATTTATTGAAGAGAAAATCATTTAATTGCAACAATTTGATATAAATAAATTAAATTCTGAATCCTTCCTCCTCCAAATTACTCTGTTTTTGAAGAGCAATCCCATCCTCCTCGCTTTCCTCATCGTCGCCCCCCTCCGTTCCCCCCAAACTGGCCACTTTTCTCCTCAAGCTTTTAATCTGGTTATTTTTCTGAACTAGAATTTTCTTCATATTCATGTAAGCAGACGTTGCTTGGAACTTTTTGTCCAGTTCTTTCTCCGCAAGCAGAAGGTTGGACTGAATTTGTCTCAATTTGTCCTCTCGCGATTCCAAATCTCTTTTTAGTTTCTCCGTCTCTTCAGCAGCTTTGGTCTGACTTACTTCCAATTCTTTGCTTAAAGTGTCCACGGCTTGTTGCACGATTTGAAGCTTTTCCATTGAATCAGACTCATTTTCTTGAAGGAGACTATGCAGCTGAGATTTCAAACGATTGATTTCACCCTGCGCTAAGGAAAGTTCAGATTCGAGCTGTTGTACATCTACTGATTGTGGAGGAGGATTTTTCGAATCCTGAGAAATCAACAAGAGAAATTATTATGAAATTAAGTTAATGGATGAATTATTTAGTGGTAAAATCATTTGTAATTGTGGCACCTGATCTTGGTTTGCAACGTGTGTCCTCAACGAATCATTTTCCATTGTCAACCTTGCAATTTCGGTTTTCAAAGCGGTCGCTACATTCATGTCCTCAACGGGAATAACTTGCTTAGTTTGGGTAACAGTTATGCTCATCTTTTGCGATTCAGATTTTCGTTGCTGTTCTTCCTCAAAAAGTTTTACACAATTCAACAATTCTCTAAATAGTAGATAATTGCAAATAAAAGACTTGTTCATATTATTTATTTATAAACAATTACGAGTAACAAAAAAAATTACCTATTTTCCAACTCTGAAATATTTGCTGATAACGTCAAATGCCATTCTTCCGCTTGGGCTAAAAGCTGCTGGACAAATAAGGTGTTCGTATGAACTCCGTCGGTCAATTCGGTGTCGACCTCGCCACGTACGACATCCTCCAAGTCTGTCAGCAGTGATTTTACTTCATCTCCGGTGTAGGTTTCCGTGCTTCGAACCCTAAATAATTTCAACTATTTGTAAATATTGTAGATTTCTTGGTTCTAAAAATATGTATAATTAATTGCTTGCCTGCAGTTTAATATGCTGCTAAAACAGTAGTCAATCGACTTTAGCCTTTGACCCGTTTGGTATTTACAGAAACGCAAATACTCGGAAATTAGATCACAATGAATCTCGTTTAATTTTATGTGCTTATTGTTCTCCATCGTATAGTTTCTATTTAAGCAATGCGACAATAATTAAAATTATGCGGTAGAGACTAAAAAAGGTAACAAGCTTATGAACAAGTTGGCAGTATGGGCTTGATGTGCGAGTAAATATTGGATTTGCTCTCGTTGCAAAAATCCAATCAACAACCCGTCGCCAGGAAAAACAGAGCGTTGCTACATTTCAATTTAGAGTTGCATAGTACGTATGCACTCAAAAATCATCACATATTTGGAGCATTTCGCAGTTTCATGAGATGTTTTGAGATAAATTACATAACTCTCGATCTGATTTTCATTTGCTTTAATGACACATAAAGATTGGAATCACACTACAATTACGATTACATGTTATTCCCGTTGGTTAGCTGTACTTTCATTCACTTTCAGCATTTCTTCTCAGATATAAAGCTTATTTGAGGGTAGTTGTCACTTTTTGCATTCTTTTTCCATCCGCATTGCAGGTCTAGTACATAAATAAGACTAAAATAATTAAAAATCTGGACAACATTTGGCATCATTTCTTCTTACAGAATGACATGCATGATTACAAACATTATTTGTGGAGTTACATACCTTGGAAAGTAACCCGTGAGCCAACTTGACACAATAACAACACCAATGAGAACCAGGGGGGCTGGTGAAAGCAAAAAGTCACTCGTCTGTGGAATCTATTTTAAATCAGAGTATGTATTATGTCGGTCTCAATTTAAGTTATCATTCAAAAAGCGATTTAGTATGTACATAGCCCACTGCCAATAGTTTTGAATCGCCAAAGTTCGTAACCGTCCCCAATGTTCTAGTCCACAAAACGTTAGCAAAATAGCCGCACGAACTTCCGAGAAATATCTGGAATAGATTAAAACAAGACTTTCTCCTCATAAATACATGCTACAAATTCGAAATCTGTATACGCATTTTTACATCAATGACAAAGTGATGAACGTATTCTTGTTTCAGCAATTGCCTACTCTTCGCCACATATCCAACCATAAGATTTGTTGCTGACCAAGAAAATGAAAAGACGAAGAGAATGTAGATAATTTCCAGAAAGACGGGTAAATTCAGAACTTGAAACTGTCTGACGTTTTCGTAACCGGCATCATTGCTTATTCTGTACTGGAATAATAAGGAGGATAACGCCGCTCCAAGAATTATTCGGGTAGCGAGCCCAGTGGATGATAAGCCTTGGATTCTGTAAAATACAGGAAAATAGCATAGTTGCGCATATATTAAAGAATTAAAAAAAAAGTCTAATTTACAGTAGAATCATCTTTGGGAGGATAAATTTCATGAATTCACAGGATGACGAGAATGTTGATGCTGCAAATTCTTCTATCTGTGCAGTAAGTTCTTCCACGGCAAACTTAAGGGTAAACGGACCCATCCCGTAATTTTAGCAGTAACGAAAAAAAATGAATGAATAAGAATAGTTTTGTGAACGGTCAATTTGTGTAGCAATATACTTGCATATTTCGCTGCCACAGAAATTTGTACCAAACCGTAATACTCAAGAAAATCATCCCTGTACCCTCCAAATCAACATCAAAAAGTGTCCATTTGATTGCTTTATTGGTTAAATACAAATGAAAACACACCAATTACATGTTTACGTACTACATGCAGTTCAATTTAGGTATGTAAAATTAACAGAGTGAATAAAATTGTAGTAAATACGACTGATCATCATAAAGCACACATTCGAATTGGTAAATGACTCCAATGGTACAAAAAATTAAGTAAAATCGACCCCTGCTACACAAGTACATAATTTCACATTGAGTAATATGTATGTAAGAAGCATTTAATTAAACATTCTGCGGCATATTCCATTCCACCTGTCTCTGCTCAGTCAGAGGCATCATCTGCCCCCCACTTCCGCCCACGTCGTAGTACTTTTGCCCAGTTTGTGGCGTTTGGAAAGTTTTTAACTCTCGAATGTAAAGAGAAACTAGAATAATTCCGATGACGCGAAAAAGTACGTTGGCACCTCCCACCACAATGCTCTCCAAATTGGTTTGACCAGCTCCCCCAAAAAAGTTAAGGACAAAGAGGACTGTCAAAATGGCAGAACAAATTCTCCAACAATTCGCAGATCTTAAAGCGTCACTTGGATGTTTTCCCTGAATTGAGAAAATCGTCATCATTTGCATAATTTGCATAATTGGTTAATGCATTTTACAAATCATTATTATTTTTTTTACAAACCTCTTTTGTGCTGATAAGGAGGCGTATGGCTGCAACGAGCATAACAATTTCGAGAATCGCCGCAATTGCAAAGAAAATCCAAAATACGATAACTGTGAGGAATTAAGTATTATAGATTAATTAATTAAAATAATTTTATGCCGTTTGCTTAATAATCATGACATGATAACTACGAACCAATGACTATGAAGAGGACACGCATGGCACCCGTGAATTTTCCATCATCTTTTTCTTGACCTCCAGCAGCCTGAATTTGGAGAAAGTCAGCTTTCGGTTCTTGAGATATGAACCATTCAAATCCGGAAGGTTTCTGATTTTGATTTCGAGTCCTTCCAAAACTATCATGATTTCTTTCCGAATTTCGATTACTTCCAAAATTTAGATCGACTTCTTTCGTCTGTCCTGGATTCCGATTCCTATTGTCAAATCCGAACTCTTCAAAGGGTTTTCTAAACTCGTCCACGTTGTTATTGTCTTCTTTACTCTCGTCATCCTCAAAAGAATCAGCGTTATCGCTATTAGGATAACCCGAATTAATCACTGCATGAGAGTAAGACGAGGAAGACGACTTTCTAAAAGTAAGCCCAAATTTGGCCAGACCACCCCCACCCATTTCCACGAAGGAGGAACAGTCGTCCTTCGTGGAGAGACAAGAGCTGAGAGCCACCGTGAGAAAGAAGAACATGACGAGGAGGTAAATTGAGACGATGGTCATAACCTGTGTGGATGGACATACATACGCAAAAAAATGAGAAATTCATATCAAAATAGTGATCGGTTCGGTAGTTGCTTCAATTTACCAGATCAATTATGGCCACGACTTGCACAGGAAATCTGAACTTGTAATCGGCCATTCTAAAGGTGCGTGCAAATATCCCTGCAACCAAAAAGTACAACATGTATATTACGAGTTGTATGATGTGGGTACATAGGTGGGTATGTATATGCAAATTATCGCCGTAAAATCTGCACACTTGTACCCCAATAGTTTTCCAAAGGTATGTATGAAAAAAGTTACCTGCTGTTGATTGATTAACCTGGAAAAGTGGTCCCGTTTAATACTACGTTCCAAAGTTTGTTACGTACGTGTTTTGTTGTGCCAAGTTTTGTTTGTCATTCTCCCCTTCGTAACAACCAAATGGGAATCAATGAAATGCTGCTCTGTTCTCTCAAACCATTTTCGCCTGGATATAATCAAGCTAATAAAAGTGTAAGGAAGGAGCAGTCTAATAAGGACAACGTTGGGCGTGGGTTCGGACTGTCTCAAAACGCTAAAACTAGCGAAAATGTAATAATGTTTGCATGTTTGACTTTGTTCCACTCGATTCATTCACTACTGACACAGTTTGCTTGCTTGATAAGAGGTCTCCATTACTGTACCATCAAACTATGACTCTTCTGGCGTTATCGATTTGTTGGTAAACTTGTAAAAGTGATGCATCTGCTGCTGCTGCAAATATCTACTTTCTCCGGTATTTGCAGCAGTAATGGTGGTACAGAGTCCGTCCTTGATCTTTTAAGCTGCCAAAATTACATCGTGGTGCCAGAAAGTCGGCCGGAAATGCTGGTCTTGTCGGAGACAGTATTAAAGTGAAAGCAATATTTCTCGTGCTGGAAATGCGGTTCGAGGCAGAAAGAATGTCTCGCGTATAAATAAATTATCCGGTCTATGTGTGTCGTACAAATTAAAGTTGACATTGGGTGGAGGCCTGAGACTGATTGTCCACGAGGCAAAATAATAAGGGAGGCAATTAAACGGAATAATGTTGTCGGATCTGAGACTGATAGGAATTATGTTATGTATTGGGAAACATTTATTTGACACCCAGAATCCACCACAAATAATGAATATTTACAACTCAACTGTCAGTAGTTTAGTAATAAATTTAAGCTTAAGGTACAAAATAATTTTAGAGTAAAATATTTGTAAATATTTTGTGTGGATAACTTTCTTTTTAGATTAATTTTCATTAGTGGGTCTAATACTGCTGTCCAGGAGGCATCATTGGGGCACTTGGCCATGTTTCGTTCGTTGGATGTTTTTGGTTCATTGGTGTATTACCATAATTAATCGGATATTGTCCCGTATTCATCGGGTATCCAGGCTGTTCCACCATCGGATATTGTCCCGCAGAATTGGAAGGATCAGGTTGCTGACTGACCACGTAGCCATCATATTGCGTGTCTCCTGGAAGCTTTTCCCTCATGATTTGGCACAGGAATATGGACACGAGGAGTATTGCAGCCGTGCGAAAACCAATGTTCACCATTCCCAATTGAAATAAGAAATCGGAATAAAGTGCCTGTCGAGTAAAGAAATCTACGACGAATAAAGAGATGAAGATGATGCTGACAATTATCCAGAACTTTAAGGTTCTACTGACGTCGTTACGATGTGCTTCCTGCATTTAGATTAGATGTGAAATATTGAACAAAATACTGTATTTGTGTACAAATATCTGCTAAATATTATGAGTTCAACCTTGTTCGTAGATAGAAACAATCGAACCCCCATAATCAGTACGGCACACTCAATGACCAAGAGTAAAACGGAAAAAATAACCCACAGAATGAGAACTGCAACACATAATAATCGTAATTTGCATAAGTATGTGCAATATTTGTACATATTAAAATTTGTAACGTACAGAAAATCGCAGAGAAAAAAGATGACGGCGATCTACTCTCTTTTTCATGCCTCTCATTAACTTCTTTCCACCATTTCTCGTGATCTTGATGCATGAGTCGTGACCTTTCTTCAAAAGTTAAGGTTTCGCTTGTCATCCAAGTCGTGTCCCTTTCTCGCCCCACGTCAGTCTCCGCTATGCTGCTGGACTCTGACTTTTCAAACGGCCCCATGACGAGTGGGGGCGTAATGTTGTACACGTCCCGAATTATGACCAGGATCACGACGATTGAGACGATGGTCAAAATCTAGTGTGCGAAAGCTATGTAATTTAGTGACATAAGTGATTTAAGGTTAAGTTGTAAGTTAATCTTTACCACGTCAAAAACGGCAACAAGTTTCACCGGAATTCTTAAACAGGCCGTCATCCTGACTTTGGATCGTTATTTGCTTATACTAAACCAGTAATTTATAGAAATTGAAGAGTTTGCTAATACAAGAGATGCAATGTTTACCCAGCGCCGGAGAACTGTGCAGTGTAGTTTGGGATTAGTTCACGTTGTAAAAAAACCTGTCTTTTGGTTCGGGGAATTTTCGGTAAATGCTCCGTTTGCGAACCGAAGTCGTGGTGCATTTAAAAATCGTATCATGTTATAAGACTGAGGAGATTGCATGCGTACAGATTTCATACATCGTTTTATTTATATTTATTGCTGGTTTTGTACAGCATAAAATTACTCAGTCATTATTTACGTAGATTATTAGACACTTATTACGATGAGTCAATGTACATTTCGAAATTCGTAGGATTCTACGACTGACGATGAGTTAGCTTAATGGGTCAATCACTTGCTACATATAAACTTATTAAACCTCTGCTTGGATGAAAAATTAGTCCTGTTAGCTCACAGAATTTTCAGGTCTGGTCCACTCTTCCAACATGTATATTAACTTGTTGTAAACTAAGGTATCTGCATCCTTTGCGTAAAGAAAGTCCGTGTGCGAAAACTTGTCACAGTCAACTCTGTGGTACCCAACGACATTTGGTAATTCTTTGGAAAGCTGTTCCACGGCCTGTAAAAATTAAAATTGAGTTACAAATTTTGCCAATAATTATTACTGGATTTTTATTCGTTATCAAACCTGAGGTCTGCACAGGAGGTCATTTTCGCCATAAAATATGACAGTTGGACAAGTAACTTTGGTCAAGTCATACTTTAACGGGGTGGGTTGCCCGTAAGCTTGCAAATTAGCGTCAGCACTGCCATAGTCGTACTGCTGGAATTCTGAATTGATAAAATACTGGAGGCAATGGATATAAGTTCGGACAGAGGACGAAGAAGGGGTGTGACCAGCCACGACGGGAAGTCCAGGCTAAATAAATAGGTTACGAAAATAATTGTTATGATCAAGTTTAACGGTACATAATTAAAATTAAAGTACTTACCCAGTGAATTTGATCGGGGTTGTAGCCACCCATCAAATACATGCTCATGGTCACAACCTTCGCCGCAAAATACTCTGGATAGGGAAGGAATTTTTTAAACTGTTGAACAAACGGTTTACTCATCAGCTCTCCACCCGTAAAATAGTCTAGAATCGCCTGTTTATAGAGAAAAGTCAATGTAAGTTAACAATAACTAATATAATTGTTCTTCTACTTAATTACGTACTTTCTGCAGTTTGAAGAAGGGGGCGTTAAGGCTGAGAAGTCTGGCCGTAGTCATGTACAAGTAGACCGCAGGGGCGAAGCAGACCAACAGTTTGACCTTTCCGACCAGATTCTCATCCTCATTTATAGCAATCATAAGCTTCGTATTTCCTAAAGAGTGGCCAACATAGTAAAGATTTGGATGACCAGTGGTCGCCAGAATGTGATCGATCACGGCAGGCACGTCCATGGTGCCCATTTCATGGAAGCTGTACGATAAGAAATAAATTATAAACTAATAAGCAGAAACAGTAACATTATTGATTCAGATTAATTTTAAAATCACCTAAAATCCCAAAATTCCTTATCCTGTGCGGACAGCGTTTCATGACCCTTGGAATACGTACAACCTCGACTATTCAGCATCCAAGTGTCATAACCCCGGTCAGCCAACATGTATGCTAAGAAATAGAAAATAATCATGTATGGTACGTGGAGGAAAATTATCACAAAATTTCATAATTCGCAATTACTGAAGCTGGGCTCGGATCTGCTTCCCCTAAAAAGTCCTGTTTTGATGGGTTTTGAGCGTGCACGCACTCTCACCTACTTCTGCACGTAGACATGTGAAATTTTAAACTTTGTCCTAGAGATGCGAAATTTGGCATGCACATGCACCAACATATGCTGCATCATAATCTAACATCAATTCCCGTTCCGTTCGCTATAAATTTTTCAGGAAAAATCAAAAACCAAATGTCACCTCTATTCCGTTTGGTTTTTGATTTTTCCTGAAAAATTTATAGCGAACGGAACGGGAATTGATGTTAGATTATGATGCAGCATATGTTGGTGCATGTGCATGCCAAATTTCGCATCTCTAGGACAAAGTTTAAAATTTCACATGTCTACGTGCAAAAGTAGGTGAGAGTGCGTGCACGCTCAAAACCCATCAAAACAGGACTTTTTAGGGGAAGCAGATCCGAGCCCAGCTTCAGTATGTATGCGAATTTGAATTTAATCCTAGTGGTACCTAAAGCTTTGTCTGGCTCGTGAATAACCCACGCTCCGGCCGAATTTAAGAGTCCATGCGCCAAAAGGACTGGGGGTTTGTCCCCTCGAGAATGGGGGCCTTGACGCCCATGTGGAATTCGAAACAAGTTCAGAATGTATTTATCTTTCGTGACGACCTCGTGAGACTCGAATGGAAATCCATACTTTTGAATGAGCTCGGACTAAAAAAATTGTGTGTTCTTTAATTAGTTGGCATGTTTTAGTAGTTTGTAAAATATATATGCAGTTCACTCTAAAAAATATAGTTAAACGTTTGGAAGGTTTGAACGGCACCCTAAATTCTATATTAAATGCACTATGCTAAATCAGGGCGCATTATAGCAAAAAAGCTTATGTACCCGACGCTAAATCCCGAGTAAACTTTACTTTTTATCGAGTTAATGTTCCTCTGGATTTAGTACAGAACTTGCTTAATACAGAATTTGGAGTGCATTTACTTTTCAAAAGGGTAACACTATTTTTAAGAGTGTTGCACAATTGTTATGCTAAACTCACGCACCACACAGAGCCCAATGTCAGGATTCTTGTAAATGCTGTTGGTCTGATTCTCTTCAGCCGCTTTTGGTTTTTTCTTTGTATTGTTGTTAATACTAGAAGAAGCACATGTGCTCGCTTCCATCACAATTCCGTTGCATGATCCTTGCAGCAACGCTTTCTGGACCGTGGTGGACTTCATGACCATTTTTCGATCACCTGTCACGGCCCCCACAAGTTCGGCGAGAGAGGAGAGAAGGTTCCCTGAAAGTATTTAAAACGATTACAGTAACAAATAAATATGAAAAATATTTCAGAAATTTATTTTACCCAGGGATGAAATCAATCCTTCAGGAAGTCCCATCTTGATTCTGTTTCTTTGTGTGTATCGTTCAAATTTCTATGTCAAAATTGACTGAAACTTATTTTCGTTGCAGATTTTTAGCCCGAGTCAGGGCTTATGGAACCGTCATGTCCGTCCGTCTGTCTGTCCGGCACGATAGAGCCAAAACGGCTGAACCGATTGACTTGAAATTTTTACCATATCCGTATTGGACAAAGTTAGGAAACGAGTTCGAAGATGGGCGAAATCGGTCAAGTGGTTGACCGGTGGGGGTCATCGGAGTGGGTGGGGTATTATGCACCAAAATTTCAAAATTGTCGTAGAAAGCTGAAATTTGGTACAGAGGTTGCTAATGGCTGCTAATAGATAAAAATGACTTCAAGTTGGAAAAATTTTCATCTTGAGTGACCCTAGGGGGTGACCCATACTGATTTTTAAAAATCGTCATATCGAGCTGAAATTTGGTATACGGGTTGTGTGTGGGTCTTAATGGAAGAATATGAAATGAAATTGGTAAAATTTTTATCTGGAGCGACCCTATGGGGTAACCCATACCGATTTTTAGAAAGTGGTTTAAAAAGATGAAATCCAGCACGGTGATACTTAATGGCTTCTCATGAAATAATATGAAGTTAAAAGTTTGCAAAATGCAACCAGAGTGACCCTGGGGGACCCATACCGTTTTAAAAAGTTGTTATTCTCGTCTGAAATTTGGTATGAAGACTAAAAACCACTTCTGGACTATATGCAGCTTTAGTATGTAGGTTAATTCGGACAAGAATTTAGAAGAGGACTGGGACTTATCGAGTCACGGACTCTGTCTCTGACTCGGGCTATATGGAGTCTGCACTGTAGGTTTTTTAATTAGAAAAATCCTTATATTAACTTCATTTCGACAAACCATCAATGAATTTGCAACACACTGCAAGTCCCAATTGCAAAATTTCCGTTGACGACTCCTCCACAATAACAATGCAGTAATTAGCGAACGGTTCCTCGCTCAATTTACAGTGCACACTGCCTTTGCTACCAAACTTTAACTTTTAACTGGCATGAAGTCAAAGGAAGCGAAATCATTGCAATCAAAAGCCGTCGCTTGCTACATATTTACATCTCAACGAGGTGCATAGTACAAGACACGGCTAGATCATGGGTAGATAAACCTTCATGCGAGGGGGTGTCGAGTTGGGGGATGAAAATCGCCAAATGAGGAGCGGGGGGACTGAATTTCTATTTTGGCAGAGATTGGTAGTGGATATCCATGTAATTCATGTATAGGTATTGGCACTGTTATTCTGCAAGTGCGAATTCATACCTAAATAACTGTGTTAAGGATGCATATGCATGCATTGTTGTGGGGATTGGAGGGGTACTTGCTTTACTTTAACTTTTCATTTTAAAATTTATTAGAGCCACTAATGACCATAGGATATCCGTCAGCTTATGGTTGCATAGGTGGCTGTAATTACGCGTACATAAGGTTACAATTTAGACAGGGTAGAAATTGCAAGTATTACTATACGTAGGCGATTAGTGTAACAGGTTTTCGCAGTGTGAGAGTTGATTTTTTTGCATGTTTGACACATGCACATTATGCACTTTTCTTGCATTTTAAGATGCAAGTTAATTCGTTATAGGTATGTACTCTCGTGTTGGTTATCTTTTTCTGTAATAATTGTGAATTTTTGCAAGTCCATCAAGCCGCCAACTTACTTCCTCTCTATCAAAAAATATACAGAAAGTAGATAAAATTCTTGCAATTGTTTACATTTCCTGTTGCCGAATATTTTTTTCGATAGCGATGCAAAATATGAACCCTATTTCACTGGAACTCTTCGTGATTCGAATATTTGCATGTGCCGCAAACAAGCACGCAAAAATAAGTAGGACATTTCAACACGCTTTGTTTGTGGGACAATTGTGGTGGCACAGTCACTGCACTATGTAGAATCACGCTCAATTGCATTGTTGCTGCAATTTTTAAGCCGCATCTAACAAGATACAGAGAAGTCTATCCCGTCGATGCCTATTTTTAGAGAATCTGTATGCATGCACATCGAATAAGCTCACTACAACAATGCAACGAGTAGCTGTGGATTGTGTATCTATGTCCTAGACATGTGATAAGAATATATTACTGTAGTAGTAAGTACATGGATTGACAATGCATTGATACCGTTGGATTGAATGGGGGATGAAAATAATTATGCATGCTAGCTGACAGAGTTTCTGGCTGGTCCACTTTTCCAAGTTGGTATTACAGCCGATTTACTGTAATACAACACGCTGCATAATGATGACGATTCGTTCTTGATAATCTTTTACACTACAACTGAGAAGATAGCACATATTTGCATACAATCAGAATAAAGTGCTATATTAGTTACTTATTTATAGGAAATCAGACAGGATTACACAAGACGTAATTTGCAATTTCAGTCAGTATGCGCTATGCACTATCCGTCCGTGTGCATATGGAATTTCGATATGTAGTTTGCTGCTGGTAATTTTTGTGCTAATTACGGTATTGTCTTTGTTCTTATGCATCCATTCATTCAAGTGTTGGATTTATTAAATATTTCTTGAGCTTTATGTTATGGATATTAGAATGTATGTACAGCATTATGATAAGAAAAAATCACAAATATTTTAAAATCACATCCATCAGATGAACATTGAGCAATTTATCGACATCCTTTGCGCAAATGAAGTCAATATGATTAAAATCTGGCCAATCCACTCGGTGCACCAAAACTACATTCGGCAACTCTTTAGCTAATCGTTCAATGTCCTAAAACACGATAATGTAGAAATTAACTAATTAAATACTATTCATAATTGTAATTATATAATTCTCACTTTGGGTTGGACGCAGTAATCATTATCTCCATAAAATATGGCAACTGGAAAAGTAGCGTTTTCGAATCCGTATTTTGGTGGCTTAGGCTGTCCATACTTTTTCATGTTTTTTGCTCTTCCAAAATCGAATCTTTGAAATTCCTTTGATTTGTAAGCCTGCATGAAGTGATCATACGTCCGAACGGAAATAGACGAGGGAACATTTGCCGCAATGAGTGGAACCATTGGCTATAATATTATTAAACAGGCACTTGTTTGATTGACTTACTAAAAATCTATCTCAATCAGTCAATTCGATAAATAAGTTACCCAGTAGATTTGATCGTGATCCTTGCCGTTGACAATGTCCACCCCAAACCGACTGAACCACGAAGCGTCTCTCACACTCCTTTTGGGACGAAGCCAAACCAAGGGTGAAATTGTCTTTATAAGTTTTATCGAATTTTTCTTCGTGTAAAACTCCCCGTGATAAAGAAATGCCAAAAGTGACTGTGTGCAAAATTATTGTTTTTAAAGTCTAAATGGCGGAAATGTAGTTTTCAAATGTGCAAATAACTACAGTCGTATTGGCTATAACCTTTCTGTCCAAAAAGTCCTGTTTTGATAGGAATCGAGCGTGCACGCGCTCTTCCCAACTTTTGCACGAAATTTTAAACTTTGTCCTAGAGATGCGAAATTTGGCATGCACATGCACCAACATATGCTGCATCATAATATAACATCAATTCCCGTTCCGTTCGCTATAAATTTTTCAGGAAAAATCAAAAACCAAATGTCACCTCTATTCCGTTTGGTTTTTGATTTTTCCTGAAAAATTTATAGCGAACGGAACGGGAATTGATGTTAGATTATGATGCAGCATATGTTGGTGCATGTGCATGCCAAATTTCGCATCTCTACGACAAAGTTTAAAATTTCGTGCAAAAGTTGGGAAGAGCGCATGCACGCTCGATTCCTATCAAAACAGGACTTTTTGGGCAGAAAGGTTATAGCCAATACAACTGTACCATTGGCAAAATTTTCGGCGCCACTGTCAGAACGAGGGTTTTCGCATGACTAATGAATACCGCGGGGGCATAGGCAATCATTAATTTAATTTTAGACGCGATTTCTGGATGGTAAGAAGCAGCCACGAATAGCACGACACATCCCATAGAATGACTACATAAAACATTTGCATACATATTTATTTGCATAATAATACATTAATTAAACTTGAAGGAAAGAACATACCCAAAATAAAATAGTTGATCTTGTCCACTAATTTTCAAAACATAGTTGATAATGGCAGGGATGTCGAACTGGCCCATTTCATTGTAACTGCGCACGTTGCCCATTAATTAATTTAGTAAATCAAGTCATTCGAAGGACTAAATACATGCATAATTATGTTTCTGGTACCTGTACGCCCAAAATTTTTTAGAGGACGCTGACAACTTTACATGTTTCCGAGACGAGGCAGTTCCTCTGGGATTAACGAGGAAACAATCGAACCCTTTGTCGGCGAGTTGATAAGCTGTAAGTCGTTCAAATAAAGATGCATAACATTAATTCTGTTAAATTCAAAATCCGTCGAATTTTTGTAGGATACAAATTACCAAGAACATTTTCGTCCTTATTTAAAAGCCATGGCATAGCACCCATAAAAATTCCCGAGACAAAAAGAGCTACAGGTCTTTTTTGAGATCCATTTTTACAATTTTCTGCAGTTTCCCCTTTTCCATACCGAATTCGAATGACGGATAAAAGATAGCCGTCTTCAGTCTCCACTTCATGGAATTCAGGCTGATAGCCATGGTTGAGCAGAAATTCCTCCTGGAAAATAGCGCAAAGTTAGTTTTAATCAATTTGGGTAATTTGCATATATTATTACACATGATTAGTACTTGGGTTTGTCTTACATGCGTCATGAAAATTTCTGGATTGGTCCATATGGGGTCGCTAGATTTCGGAAATTTATTGGATTTTTTTTTCGTAACTTCCTCAGTAGGTTTTGAATCATTTGGCTGTTTCTTAAAAAGTGATAACTTTGACTTCTTTCGTTCTTTCGCAACTTTTCCATTCGAAACTTCTTCCTCAGAAATGGAAATTATGTTTTCTCCCTTTTTAGCGTCCTCCATTGTATTAGTTGAAAATAAACTTGTAGCACTTGTATATTTACATATGCATAATATGCTTAATTTAGCATGATCTATATATGCATGTTTTCACAAAAATACTCCTAAACTTCTTTCTGGTTAGATTGCACAGTGGTTCAGTTCAGTTTTATTACTATCGGCAATTCATTCGTCTCGAACTAATGTTATACTCGTAATATTAAGTTTCTATGCTTATACTTGACCCCGAACTGAGTAAGTAGTTTATATGTTTATGGAGAAAAAACCATTGATGGCGAATTTTGGCAGATGTACGAAGATGTAAGAAGATACACAGATTTACAACTGAAGAACCTTATGTATTTGTACCAATATTGCGTAACCCGGCTGACAGAATCAGCATCAGTGTTAAATATTCGCCGAGTATAAAGTCTTCGGTTCATCAGCAATGAATGCCGACTAAAATCCCAAGCACTCACAAATGTCCACAATGAAAATCTACACTTTACACTCCACTACATACAACTTTGTAGATACTACTTCGAGCAAAATGGACAAAGTTGCATACCTAAAGGTGCTTATGAAATGAAGCAAATTTTTGCAAATCGCTAATTCACATCGAAATCTCAAGGTGAGTTAGGTTTAAGTTTTACGACGTCAATCAGGCTGCACAAGTGCTTAGCACCTACATATTTGTAGGAAGGTAATTGGCTTGTGTAACAATGTCCAGTCCATCTGCGAGATGTACGCTGACAAGTAAAGACTAAATATTCTATTAACATTTCGTAGCGCAGGTTGTACATATCTACCTGTCGTACCATAAAACCTGTTCCACCATTACAGTACAAACCAACCTATTACCTGGTAGCCTGCAGAAGATTATGAGATTGTTTATACCGGAAGTAAGTGAAAAAAAGCTCCTTGGTCGGGATTAAATTAAATTACTAACGAGACATGAAAGTATGAAAACAATGCTTGCATTTCTTGAGGAGGAAAAATGAGCGAATTCACCACCACAAAAAAAACCTGCTTTTTCGCAAAAAGCAGGTTTAACCTTTAAAGTTTTAAGACACGCAATACAATAGCTCAAAATCCATAATCTGATTCATTATTTAAGCTTTGACTGCCATTCATTAGGGTAAATTCATTAGCTCTAAAAGCCAGGAAAATAAGAATATAAATAAATAACAAGGTTTACAATCTGTTTTACTTTATACGCAAAACATGACGAGTTTCGATGAATATAATGAAATGACGCAGGAAAATTGTATTTACCAAGTTATCTAGTTCAAGTGCAGGTTACACTGACGCTTTTGCTTGTTTGTTGTGATTTGAACTTGTTTTACATATGTATGTACATACGCAAGAATAAAAATACACAATTTGCATGATGTTATATTGTGAATAACCTCGTGCCAATACTTCCTATTTTTTTGGAATGCCAGCAACAAAGTTATCCAGCTTGATTGCTTTATAAAGAATTTCCTTTTCCACGCTTATTTCTATGTACTTACGTGTGCCTAAGAGTTTAAGTTCATGGTACCTCTGGCCAGCAATCGTGCCCTTGTCGATACTCAACAAAAAAATCCACTCCACCTTGAATCACTTTTATCCTTCATTATGCAATTTCCATTTTTTCTCCAAATCTCACCAGCCTTAATTAATTGCAGTATAGGTAACTTCTAACGAGTAATGGGAACAAAAAATGGGCACTGGGAAATTGTAGGTAAGATATGCACGCATTGCGAATTTGAAATTCAAATGGTAAATTGGTCAACACTGTTTTTTTGCAATCTCATCAAACAATACTTGACAAATGTTTGTGTGAGCAAATATTTGGACACTCTTAAAGACTGACAACTTTATTTTTAGCGTCTTTGATTGAATATATGTAATACTTGGGATTAATTGCAACATCTGCCACCTCCTCCTGGTAGGCGATGTTTATTTAAATGCAATGCAATCCGAAGGTCAAGCAGTGATATGAAACTGAGCGTTCTGTTTCCAAGATGGAGATATTTATAAATAAGTATTCAAATTAAATCAGGTTTTTATTCGTGTCTATAATTGATTGATGAGCGTGCATAGTTGTGCAGCCAAAAAAAGGTATTTTATTCAAGAATGGACATTGGACCTCAAATATCGAAATGCATACTTAAATGTATACCTGCATAAATTAAGATAGATGTGCACGTGCATTAAATAATCGACATATTACATATCAAATGCGGTAATATTTAGTAAGTGCATGATTAGATTACCATTGTCTTGATCATCACGGTACTCCTCCTTCATGGATATTTATGTAATTTGCAGAAGGAGAATTTAATGACACGGAGAATTCCAATTAAAAAATAATAACGACAAGGAAAATATGAAAAAATATCTTTGGACAACTCTTCTCTCTCATTTATTAAATAAAAGCTCGCTTAAGTAATTACAAAAATGCGTTCTTTCCATTCACATGAAAAGGTAATAAATTCAACATAAAATAACTTAATTACAACATAAATAATTTACTCTTTAATTTTCGAATCTCTCAAAATCTGAATCACTCTTTTGAACACAATTTCGTGTGCACGTTTTCCCAGCATAAAATCGACATGGGAAAAGTCGTCGTCATTGATGTAATACTGTCCGACCAGGTTGGGCAGTTGTTTACTCAGGGTCAGCACGTCCTAATTGATTGGTAAAATATTGTGGGTATAATAACTCTGGAGAATAATACATATTCATAAATGGCTGATCAGTTACCAATGGACGACACAGTTCGTCACCCTCCGAGCAGAAAGTTGCCACTGGGACGTTAATTTTTGAAAAGTCATAAATTGGTGGCTTCGGTTGGCCGTACGCCTTCATGTTTCCAGCCCTTCCGTAATTATACTGTCTGGCCTTGTTCGTATGATAACATTGGAGCCCGTGACAAAATAGCTTCAGCGAAGTGGGACAGGGCCACTCACGGGACAAGATACGAAGACGTTCCTGTACGAGAAGAGGAATAAAGAGTGATGGACTTACTGGAATTAATTTGATAATAAATAAATCAGAGTTACTTACCTTCTCAATCCCAGATTTTCCAAAGGCTCCAGTAAAACCCCCAAAAAATTTGATAGCCCAAGCCCCCAAACGGTCCCTTTTGGATTTTAGGACAATGTATTTCACCGACTTTGCTGCAGGTTCATTTGCAATCTCCCTTCTTCTGATGAATTTGCTGGACCCCTGTGTAATAAATGCATACATATTTGCAAATTGTCTATTTTACTTTTGATTTCCTCTTATTAGTCAGATAGGATTTTCACTTACCACGAAATTGCCAAGTAGTATGATCGGTCTGAACCCCATATTTCGAATATGTTTCCCATAGACTGCCGGAGCGAGGGCTATCATGGTGTCGACTTTTGAGCAATATTCAGGTTTGGTGGACATTAGGACAAGGAATACAGAGCAACCCATAGAATGACCAATGTACGTCAGAGATGTGTTGTCCGTTGTTGTCAGGATGTAATCAATGATTGTTGGTAGATCAATTACTGCAATTTCATGAAATCTGGAACCAAACAGCGTCTTTGTCAATTGGGAAAATAATGTTGGCATTCATAATTTGCATAATCGATAAATTAATTTATGTAGCTTACGAAAAATCCCAATAACTTTTTGAACTGGTTGATAACGAGACATGTTTTCTGGACGAAGCTGTCCCTCGAAGATTTGGGAGCCAGCAGTCATATCCTTCCTCCAACAATTTATAGGCTGAAAAAAATATCATAAATTTTAACGACTATTTATTTCATGAAAATGTACAACTTTTCACACTTACGTAAACCAGCTTCTGAAGAAATCATACACCAGTTTTCTGCCTGACAGAGTAAGCCGTGTACTAAAAGTGCTACAGGCTTTTTCTCAGGTACTGGAAGTTTGACCGTGTGACCCTCAATCTCATTATTCCTTTTGAATAGTCGACACAAATTCAAAATATATCCGTCCGACGTGACTATTTCATGGTTTTCTGTGTAATATCCTTGCTCCTCTAAGAAATGAGTGCTTTCCTTCCTCTTTTCTTTTTTGACATGTTTTTCAGCCATTTCGAGTGCATCCGGTGGATCAAAAAATGAAAACAGTTGATCGAAAAATGACGAACTTTTCAGAACCAGAACTGCTCCCGACGAAACCAGAATAGCACTGATTTATTCAGATTGTAGAATTTAGATATTGTAATTCGTGGCCTGGGAATTCTTTCAGCATTAATTTTAATAATCTGTTTAGAATATTGCGAAATTATTGTATGTATGCATGCAGCCGATCCTCCGATGAAAGAATGCGCATAAAATTGAAAATTTTCTGGTTTTATATTTATAAATATTATCCAGCCAGAGCACATCCTTGATCCTAGGTTACTATTTATCACAGAAGAACAACCATGAGAGCTTGATATCCGCTTGTGTAAAACCATAAATCTGATCCAAATAATTCGCACAATAATATCACAACACAACGCACTTATAAAAATATCTCATCCTCCCAGGATCCAGACCAACATACAAACACAAAGCTGTAGTTATTATTGCAGAAATAGCGAAACAGGTATTTTCCGTATTCATGTAATCTTCATTACGAAGACAAACATCGCTTTATTACTCGGTATTGAGATCTGCATAACCAAGATAGTGACGCTCTTACAAAGAAAAATACCTGCAAGTTCACTTCATGCTCAACAATGCAACAACACGACCACTTTACTTTAATAAGATTTCTACCTGACCACAATGCATGCTCGTATCTGTAACAATCTTCTTCCCAGAATAACGTCCGTCCGTCCGCTAATTACCAACAGTCCACTGGATAAAAACTCTCGTATGAAAAGCCAACGTATTCGTGTTTGCTAAACTAGCTCACCTTTTACACTCTGTATAAATATCTTTGTCTTATGGTATTGTTTGTTTTGTGGGGAAGCTTATTTGCACAGTTAAAGGTGGCGTCTATCACGTAGGTAAAAGGTTTCTTGAGAGATTAATTGGTTGCTTGATAACTTTTATAGCCTCGCTGAGAATACGTAGACGAACGTGTCGGACAATTATTAGATATGCATATGTACGTATAGCACTACTGGCTGGAGTTATTATTACACTTGGTTCGTCTCACGAACTCTGGGATGAGAATTGCATGGTATTTCAGCAAAGTGAGATTCGTATGGGCGTAAGAAAGTGGAGATTGGTAGCAGATGACCTTTCCGTCCATCATTCGTTGCTATGTACATACGAAAGGAAGGGTTGACTACGAGACTTTTTGGGAAGGTGAGACTGATGAATGCAGTATTATGCAATTGCACATAGTGACCTTTAACGTGGAATTAATGGAGGTAGGCGAAATTGCAGATAGAGAAGATCTTCTACGTATGCAGTGGTGGACCTATGTCGCAGTTATTGTATTTACATATACACAAAGGATGACCATTAAGATACAGCACCTGATAATGACATTCTTTGGCAGTACTTAAAGAATTATGAGTTATGCAATGCATTAATTTATGTGTCTTTGTAACTGATGATGAATTAAAGAATTGCCCGGCTTATGAAGGTTTATGTAGTATAAGGCGATTATGTCCTGAACAATGCAATCTGTACACATTTATAAGGAACGGGGAAAGATTTATTGTGTATTTCACACAATTTTACCCAATCGCTCAATGGACATATATATCCATACGTATGTATATCCATCCATCCCAATTGATAAGCTGGATTATTATATAAGATTTTGCAAGTCAGCCAACCAACCTAATTAAGTAATGAACACACTTCAAAGTTTAAGAGTGACAAGTACATTGCACCACCACAAGGCAAGGGTAAGGTCAGTTAACGTTATGATGATTATCAGTCTGCCATCATCTACATACATTATAAATAAATGCATTAATGACTAATCGTAAGTTTAAGGTTAAATTAGGTATCTTGCTGGATAACTAATTTCCCAGTACACGTACTAATTTCGTGCAATTTAGTTTAAGTACTGCAGATATTATTCATACATAAATGGTGCACCCAGCATATTTTCTAGTTCAAGGGGTTATCAGAAGCATTGCTATTGATAAGATGCTTGAATCACAGGATCCGTTTCATACATATTTATTTACTGGAACAAGCAACATATTTACTGGAAATACAGTACTGGCAACATCATAAAGCTAAAATTTGTGAATAAGATCTAAGTAACTTGGTCAGTAGGATTCAAGAATGTATGTCCATAAAAGCTGGAGTATCTAACTTTTACAGAAATAGTTACATCTGACATTTACTACGCAATAACAGGAATATTTTTGAGCAAAGGGCTGAGCACTTTGTTGACTACGACCCTATTTATGTCCGTAACCTTCAGAGCACTTGAACAAATCAGGCAGTATTTGGTTACCATTAGTCGGATGTAAATACATGCAGAAATAAATGAGATCCTACAGTTTCATGGTCACCTATCAGTTCAACTACCCAGTGTCAATCAGCTCTCTGTAAATATCCATGTACATACGTTCATATTTCCACTATCGCACTTCTCGCTTCACCTACTTTTAGGTTAAAATTCGGTCTCTCGAGTGGTAAGCAATTAAGTAATTAAGAAAAACAAATGTATCCAAAAATGCGCAGAGGGTGGGTGGGTGATTCGCCACACAAATATATTTATGAGCTTTGCGCTGAACTCAATAATAATTATTATCTATTTCTGTATCTTCGTTCCTGCTTAATTACTCACTTACAGCACTACACATCGACATTCTCTTCTTATTACGAGACAAACAGCTTATCGAGGTTTATCGTCCACACGAGGCTGCTAGTTCATCTCGGCACCTTGCGCTTACAACATGCAATTTCCTCCCTTGATAAGTGGTTTATTAGTTTTGTTTTGCCCGTGCTGAAAATTGTCCTCGATCAGTTCAACGTAAAAATTAGGTTTGACTTGACATCCTCCTCCGACTGGGTTGGTCATAAACTTGGATTTCGTGCTAGAGCGGTGTCATTGTTTAAAAAATGTAGGTTTAAAATAGGCTTGGAAATATAAAAATCTAGATTTAATACGTATACATATATTTGTGCGTTAAAAATATTTAGAAAGTTTCATCATCCTCTACGAACACTAACTAATGAATTGAGCAGTTCTTCTGTTAGGAGGAATATTTGACAGGTGGAATTTTAAAGTTGGCCCAGCACCAATATTAATTTCAATAAGACGACTTATGCCAATGAAAAATTATTAGTATGCACGTCATACTCCTCCCTTAAGAAAAGTTAACGAGTGCAACCCTTTACTTATAAATTCTTACCTGCACCGACCGACCCCGTGTACTAATACTAATTCTCACACAAAAGCATTGATTTTTATGGGATTTTTTAAATCAAAGAGATTTTGAAACTTTGCCATGATTTAATCACCTCTGGGTCTGGCGAGCAGTCCGTCCAGTGTTTTTTTTTGTGCATCAAAAGCATTGTTTGTTACATATATAATTATTGATGCATTCATTCAGCGCATAGATAAATCTGCATTTTATTATGTAGAAGATCTCTCACATATTATTTCTTTTTTTACGATCTCTAACAAAAGAGCAGTGAGGAGAATTGCATTGTAGTAAATCTCATCTCAACAAGTATGTCTGTATCGGCATCAGACAGGTATTAATATTTTTATTGTTTGATTTTGTTGCGTTGCAAGTAACAACAATTGGCAACTTCAAAAATGCCAGGATGTCAGAAAGCGTATTAACTTAACGTGAGCCTGTCGGTGGTGAAGGGTTTCATTGAAATTTACTTGCTAAACATAATCAAAGTGCAGATAGATATTCTTCTTGACACCTTACTTTTCCACGAAAAAAATCTGCATGCATGTACACACAGATATTAATGTACATGCACACACGTACATATATTTAAATCATTTTGTGACTTGCTAAGCAATCGACAGAGAAGAATAAGCCATTAGCATTTAATATATTAATTGTTGTTCTGCCATAGGTTGTTCGTTATTCATTCATTCATTCATAAAATATCTTCAACTTCTTAATTTATTTGGTGATCCACCTTCACTTTTTTGACGGAGTGAGAAAGGCCTCAAGATTAATAGGATCAAGAAAAAGGAATGAATAAATTTTGTGTCAACCAAGAACAAAAGTCAACACTGATAAATATTTAGTCGTAAATAGTACGTCACACGGTTAGAGAATCATAGTACATTTTTTAGAAAAATGAAACTGTACATAATCCCAGGAGACGCTTCCTAATTTGGGGTACGTGCGATTATAATAACATTCGCGTGATCCTCTGCATTGTATTTACTTTACATTTCCCTTTTGTTTGCGTCTCATGTAAGTATTTACGGTAATCAATCTTAGCTTAATGGTAGTAGTTACACATAAGCATACCTCTGATCAACCGTGTACTTATTACTTCTTCGAGTACAAATAAAGTACTGTTCATGTCGAGCCAAGTCAATGACCAATCTTCCCATACAGCGAGTGATGTGATGTGATTTGATTGATTTTTATTTGAAGACGACGACGACGACGGTGTAAGGAAGAAAGTCAATTTATTCCGAAACTGTCGATTCATTCAAGGCGAGTGAGCAGTTTAAGGTGGGTGAGGCTTGGTTAAGAAATTAATTTGTTACAGTGTCGCATATATACGAACGGGTCGGTATAGGGAGTGAGTGGTACTTAATAAAATACGTGATAATATCTTGACTTATTATTCAAGTAGATATCAATAACTCAATCTCTTCTTAACCAACGGTTTTTGTTTGGCTGACACTTTTCTGGTCTGCACAGTGGTTGAATGAATTGTCAGTGAAGAGACAGGTGGACCAAGAGACGACCGACTCTCGGAGGAAAAGTCTGTACCGTTTTATGGGGCAGTGTGTGTATTTTGAATTAGTGAGGATTTTTTTTAACTTGCATTGTTGAGACTAATTAGTCCTGTACTACTGAATCCTCCAGGGTAACTTTTGATTACTTACTGAAAGTGGTAGAAAGTTGGTGCTATAACGATAACAAATATTTTGATTGTGATTGTGATTGACTGCTTTGTTTTTAATCCTGGTGTGTCAAAATGTTGCCTAAATTCCTGAGTAAAAAGGACATTTTTCAGGATGGGAAGTTTGTGCAGATTCTCATTCTCAGTTTTTCTTTCATGCTTTTGTTCACTGCTTTCCAGACGACTTGGTAAGAAATTTATATTTATGATTCTCTAGAACAGTAGACATAATTTCATAAATTTATTTTTTTCTAGTTTCATTGAGGTGAGGTTTTTAATAATTATTTCAGATAATTTATATATTTACATAAATCAGTATTCTACAAACTCGATAACTCGGCATATGAAATTATAGCAAACAGTGTTGAACAGCGTGAAAGCAGAAGATCCCAATTTTTCCGGAAATGGTTATGTCTCACTGTGCATCATTTACGCCGTGTTTTCACTCGGCTCTTGGGTTGCCCCTTCCATCGTTGCGGTCATTAGGTCAAAATGGAGCATGGTAATTAAGTAGACCCTTATGCAATTTACGCAAATGCATGCATAAATTTACATGAAAATAGCACACACACATAATAGTAAATTTGTCGTGTCCATTGTGTTAGGTCTGTTCCGCAGCCATTTACTTGCTCTTCATCGTCCAGTTTACATACCCCGCGACCTGGCTGCTTTACCTGACCTCGGCCCTGCTGGGGGGAGCAGCATCGCTTTTGTGGTGTGCCCAAGGAAATTTCTTAACGCTCGGGTCTGACTCTAAAACCATTTCGAGAAATTCTGGCGTCTTTTGGGCAATCAATCAGTGCAGGTGGGGTAACAGCGTGGAAAAACTTTTGCATTATTTTTCTGAATAAAACAGGAACAAATAATTACAACTAATGTTATTCTTGCATATTTCAGCTTGTTTTTTGGAAACCTTTTCGTATTTTTCCAATTTCATGGAAAAACAACGATTGACGCAGAAACCCGAATTTTTGTCTTTATCGTCCTAACAGTTGTTTCCGCTTGTGGAGTCGGGTCATTGTTTCTGCTGAGAGATCTCAAGTAAGAAATTAGCATAACTTTCAAGTACAGCTTTGAGCATCATTATTACATAAACCGCTTATGCATAAAGGGAGACACCTTCATCGTCATTGGAAGAGACTAAAAATCCTTCCGAGATTTCACTTCCGGTCGAAGATAAACCATCCTCTGCTGGAGAAAACAATTCTCCAACTCCGCCACCCACGAAGACGGCTGGACTCCCAAAATCCTCTCTGACCCTGGCAACTGACGCCTTCTTCCAAGCCATCAAACTATTTATCACGCCGTACATGCTGCTACTTTCACTGGCCTCGATCTACACTGGGTGGGGACAGTGTTTCTATTTTGGCGTGTATTCCACATCGGTTGGTGCCACGCTGAAGTTTGAAGACCCCAAGAGGCTGGTCGGCTTGATCGGTATTTTCACTGGAATTGGAGAAGTTGCGGGTGGAACGGTTTTCGGGCTTTTGGGGTCCAAAACTACTAAGAAGGGTAGGCAAATTTATTTATTGGTATAATGTACACAGTCTAATATTGTGTTATTGGATTATATGCAGGTCGTAGTCCAGTAGTTTTCTTGGGACTTTTGATCCACACTTTGTGCTACGTTCTGATTTATCTTAATCTTCCGGACGGATCACCTGTGGGTGAAACGGAGGACGTTTCTGTGATTAATCCTCCCCAACCTTGGTTGGCTTTATTGTGTGCCCTGTTTCTTGGTAAGACTTAAAAAAATGCAAGTAAATATGTTTCCCCAAATCTTATTCTTGACTAATTTCCCACCCACAGGATTTGGCGACGCGTGCTACCAAACCCAACTATTTTCCATCTTCGGCTCCGTCTACTCCGACAAATCTGCCGCAGCCTTTGCCATCTTCAAATTCACACAATCTGCCGCAGCAGCCATCGCTTTCTTCAGCAGTTCGTACATTGGCATATTTTCTCAAATGATGATCCTCCTGGTGACCGCGATACTTGGCTTTTTTGGCATTTTTATTGTCGAATTCGACACCAAACGGAAGTCCAAGGGGGAAGAAATGTCATCTTCTGGCATGGAAAGTGGAGAAAGTGGGGGAGGTGGAGAAGATGATAACACTGGTGATAAGAACGACAACAACACCAAGTCATCGCCACCAAGCATTATGGAAAAACCAGCCAACAACGGTGACACAGTTTCATAAGTCTACTAAATATATGTATAATTCTTCCTCTTGTAACATATGAGTGTGCCAAAGGATATTAACTTTTTTAGTGTAATTAAGAGTGAATCTAATCTCAGCTTTTTAGCAAATATTTTACCTTACCTGTGTAATATTTACTTGCGTATGTTCCACTTTACTTGCACACACGTGCGTACATGACTAGATTCATTAACCATGTATGTAATCCTATCTCTCCTCTCTGCCTCTGGAATGAACTTAAAGTGTGACAGAACTTTTACTTTTTCCCATTTTAAATGTTTACCCTAATTTAAAGTTCGTTGACCTTTTGGATTATCCAGACTGTCTGTCTGCGCATCCAGTTCCGGCAAAATTCTTCATTACAATTTGAAAACAAGTGAAAGTTTTCTTTGTCTCCCTTAAAGAGATTACAAAAAAAACCTTGTGTTTCCATTGTTGATGTTGAAATGCCAATTTTAAATTTACATGATTACATTATATGTATTTACATAGATAGATAGCAGAGTGTGGGTGTTATATAAAAAATAATGAGTAACAAAAAAAAACAAATTGCACATAATAATACAAAATATAAACACAATGGTGTGTAAGCAGACGACCAGAAGAAGAGGAGGCGTAACGTAATGGATTGCATTGTTATAAATAAAAATAATTTTGCACATGTGTAAAGTGAAGTGATCAATGTTTTGGCTGAGGTGAAGAAATAAATTAGTTTTGAATGCAGTATAGAATTATAAATATGTAGATCTATCTCTGACATAAATCTGACAATGATGCGGCTGAAAATGTTGAAATGTTATTTATATAATATCATATTTATATCATCATTTATTCATTTCCGCTGATAATGCGATTGTGTAATTATGTGATGCACTGCTTTATTTAGGGATTCTCATCCTGATAAATTTCACTTTTTTCGGTCTTGACAAAACTTTCCATGAAATTAATTAAAAACAAAATTAAATTGGGGAATTCCAGCCAATTCTAATCTTTCTAGAGTCAATGATCCTATTATTCTCGAGTACAATGCGTATATTCTTACAACAATTCTATATCTCATTATCAATTTTTTTAAAGAAAAGTCGTGAGTTATCTCAAATAAAGATGTTCAAACGAGCAAGATCAAGACTTAAATTCGACAGGGTGTAGTTATTGTCTTACATATTTCCATCTCATTAAGCACTTATTAGTCGTTGTTTTTTTACAATAAATCATAATTAATTAACAAAAGTGAACTCACACACACATTGTGAAGTTCAATGATACATATGAATATAATCAAAGTCCACAATCACTTTAATAATGTGCGGGGACAGGATAAATATATTTAGCCCTCATCATCCCAAAAGAAACTTTCACATTTTCCCAAATTCATTATGTATAAACGTAATTTCCAGTGAATACTCCTCTAATGAGGAGTGTGTGTGGGTCATCAAACCATGTTAATTGCAACAATGCATGCCCATCATCATCTCTCCATTCATCCATCCGTTCGTATGTACTTCCGTCGTCGTCATGAGGTCAGTAGTCGCCTTTTTATCGACCAACGCATAGAGCACACCTACCGACAGATTGCTTTCATGCTCTCACTTACTTATTAACTGGAACGATGACTGGAAGTAGTTGGACTATGTTATGCGGCTAAAACAAGAAAAAGTGGTAGTAGCAGCATTCATGCCATGAATCACAATTAGATGACTTGGACGGATTGTGCCGTATGTGAATTTATTTAATGCACTTATTATTATTATACCACAACCACCCCCTTGCGTACGTACGTAACGTATGGCTGCATACACTTTAGGGGAGATATCAACATAATAAAATTAATCGTACAACTTGTAATGGACGGATGCATGGGATGTAGTTAGTAAGTAAGTAATGCATATATTGCATATCATCCAACATGTGGATCGCTACTCTCTCTGAGATTCGATATCGTATTCAAATTAGAGAGGATTAGAGACCATTGTTATGTGGGTGATGAAGGAGAAAACGTGGAATTTTCATATAAAAGGAATTATTTTTGCGAAACTGGCAAAGTTTTTGATTTGCGACACATTCCGTTCAAGTGGTGCTTGAAAGTTCTTCTGAAACTTCTTTGCAGCTCATTCATTCCTTTTCCTGTTCCCACAATCATGAAAGTTTTATTTGGCTGCCTGTTGGTCGTCGTTGGGACGCTGCTTCATACGGTGAGAAAAAATGGGATTATTCGAGCAATGAATTCAAATTGGGATATTTGTTTCAGAATGCCGTCGTGATTTCTGAAGAGGAACAAATGGCGCTGGAAATTTCCGGAGTGATGTTGCCACCAAAGAAACTTACAAAAACGATTGGTGAGCATCTCCGAGCCATAAGAAAGTTCTACCCACAAATGGAGAGGATTCAACACAGGCCGAAATGGATTCCTGGAGAATTGCTCCTCGCAGCGGACGCCAGTGCGGTGCAGAAGCTCAATTCCAGTCGGTATGGACCTGTCAAGACTGCGGAGAAAGTTACTGGAGAGGAGGACTCTTCGTCGACTTTTCACGTTATCTTTGATAAGCCATACCATCCGGCAAGACTCGTAGAACGGGTCCAATCCGAACTGGCGATTCAGGAGGTTGAGGGCAACTTGATTTTTGGGGATGGGAATGACATCACGTACCACCCGACAGCCCCGACCTATGCGACCTACACGTTCAAAATGGGATGGGGGGATTGTAGCTCGGGCTGTATTTATAAACACTTTTGGGAATTTTCCGTCGCCCCGTCAGAGGAAACTGTGACCGTCAAGCTGGAGAAGGAGTATGGAAGTGATTTGAATAATAGGGAATTTGTCAAGCCGTAATAATTGACACAGTCAGAGAGATCGAGGTTTAATTTATTTTGCTATTACATTTATACACTATTGTTTGATTGGCGAATTACTAAAATGTCATGCGAAATGTATGTATGAAATCGTCTATTGGAGAGGAATATGTATTTAAATAAATTTGGTGAATTTCTAAAGACATGAAACCACTGATACTTTCTCAATTTGCTAATAACTCATTATAATCAGACGACGACCGCAGGATGATTGATGCTAAAGTTTGGTTGCTTTGCTTTTGTTTCTGACAAACCATGCATGTCTAAGCACTTTTTGATATTATTACTAGTCCCAACAAAAAGATTGCAGCTTTCATATTGTGCATGGCTTCTTTTACGTCACCATCCTTACCTTTGCTCTTTTTGTGTATATGCATACATCCAACAAAAGAATTAACGATGATGTATTCGCTCACGGACGGTGGGGCTTATGACTTCACGACTGCTTAATCATAATAATAATAATAAACCACGCTGCGAAGAACATCTTACCTCAAAACCAAACAAAACGAACAAGCATCAGCCGTTCTGTCCTCGTATCAGGCATGACGACAATCATTTCTCTCCTTGACTTTTAGACGAAAGAACAATCTGATCCTTTCCGTGCATCGGAGTCGTTTGTTACTAAAACAAAGAACAACTGCACAACATAAAAGTCGGAGAAAGAGCATTTTCAACAACAGTTGCCAACCGGGGAAACACGAAGGGGTCCTTTATTCAAATCGAATAATGTTTATCGACATGAACCATGTACTTTAACATCCGTTAACCATTGATGTATGTGGATATCTCCTCCCGAGAGAGAGGATACGGTACATAAATTACCATCGGAAATATTATTGAACAGGAAACAAGGAGAAATTATGTTCCATTTATTTAGGTCAGATCATGGCAAATGGCAATAATTAAATGAGAAATTAATGGGTTCAATATTCAATTCATCACATAAATATGTAATAAAGCATGTTCCAATTCAATTGGCATAATGTTTCGCACATCCGTACACGAGTCTCTCCTCATCCGCCCAGTTTTTGGTCCATCTGCATCTGCCAACCCCACAAATCACCCCGACAAACTTTCTTGCTTGTGACACCAATGCATACATTCTGCAAATCTCGTCTGGCGCCGGGCTATGCAAGTATCATTATGATGGCATTTATTTTCTTCTTAATCGACTCTCTCCCACCCTGCATTTCTCGAACCGCAGAAGCAGCATCAGTATGGAGAAATTGCATAAAATGGTAAGACATGTATGTATATGCGAATACACAAGATTGTATTGCATACTTTTCGTACATCCATAGCGTACCATCGCAAAAATAATTGAATACTTGATATTCCTTTGTATGAACCTTGGATGTCCTTTTATGAAATGAAATGAAATGAACATTCTGCTGCTGCTGCTGCGGCTTCCTTCATCATACAAAAACTATAAACATTGCATAACCAGCGTATATGTAGACCGAGAGAGACATTTGGTTTGTCGGACAAATGGGAATGTCCCATTTAGATAAATGCCAGAATGCCTGTAATAGTGGCCAAAAGTTCGTGATACGCCTCAGTTTGGCTCTTCTGGAAGAAAGATGTAGTCGACAGATTGTAATGTAAGCAATGGTTGATTTTACTTGCGGTGGTGGTTTGCCTTTGCTTGCTTATGTGCAATGTGGATATGCTAGGCGTGCAAAAATTCTGCAATACCCGACTCTCTCAAGATTCGCGTTGCCTGGTTGATTATAACTCTTTATCATCATCCTCTCCTCTCTCCTCTGTGTGCTGTACATGTACGAAATGTGGACCTACATCTCAATATCCTAGCTAAATATTATGTACCCGGAGGATCGTTGGAAGTCGTCGTGTGATTCGGGACGTAGAGTATTTACAACAAAAACGCTTCGATATATGCCATGACCTGCTAAGACGAAGTTGTTTTACTTCCAGTCCGACTTTGGCCTTGCTTCCTAACAGAACAGAAAAACTTTCTCTTTCTCCAGAACGCAGCCTTGAACCGTTGTCAGAGAAAAGACGCCATTCGTCTACCACTCATATTTCTACGGATAAAATCATAATTTTTCCACGGGTAAGTTTAATTTAAGAGGTGGGAATCACTTATTATTGATCCGGTTAAATTAGACCTTGGCAAAACCGAGGCAGGTTTTTAAATCTGTTTTGCACATGTTTATGTATGTGACATTGATTGATCCCGTGAGTTGATCCGTGGATTGAACACGAAATAAATACGTTAATTGGCCCACTAAAAAAAGTACTGCAATCACTGTCACCACATAAGTTAGTAACATCTGCACAATTTTGGCAATTGAAGCCCAATTTTTCCAACTTATCTGGCTTTGTCCTAAATTAAGCGATCAAGTAAAAAGCATATAAATTCAAGATAAGGAATGGAACGACCTAACAAGCCAGCGATTTTATTTCAGTTTCATTGTTCTTCTCTGTTTTATTTTTATTTTTCATGAATAGGTTATTTGATACGTATGTACATGTGAAACAACAAGTTTAAGTAGGCGTTACTCATTTGCATTAAATCACTCCGTGTGGAATACTGCTAATTTGAGACGTTATATTTTAAATGGTGACTCATAACTATATGCAGAAAACTTCAATGAGATAATAATGACGCAAAAAACGAAGGAGTAAACTGCAAGCATTGCGGATGCACATATATTTTATAAGCGTGATGATGTGATCCATACATAATTACGATATGCAATTGTTTATTCTCATGAGATCATGTTTTGTCTGGATATTAAGCACCCACAATTACTTACATAATTTGTTCATTTCGCAGTAAAAGGTTTTGGAGGGCAAGTTTATTTAGTTGGTGACAAAATATTTTAAACCAGTGTAAACTAACGAGTCCGAGAGTACATACGGATGCAAATAATTGCCAACAATTCTTTAACAGGGATTTATGTAACTAAACTTTTTCTCTTGTAGAACCCAACAAATTAACAACTCTCAAAATGGTTTGGACAAAATTGGAGACTTGCGCCGTCTTATCGATTATCTGTCTTTTCGCCATAGCTTCCGCCGGAGGGTCGAAAGGTTACGGGGAAGAGTGTATCGTAGGCCTGCTTGCAGGTGTGGGGGTTGGGGTAGGAAACAATTTACTAATAAAATTATACTACTAATTTATTATGTATGTAATACTGTACGGAAATTGTTATGCAAATTTAGAATGAAGCAGATACTTGCAATGAAGACAAGAACCTAGTCTGCTTGGGAAAAACGTGTAAATGTTCTCCGGAACGTTTCGTCTACCAGAACGGTAAGCCATCCAAATTAAGAAATTTTTTTAGGTGAACCCCTTTTAATACATAAATCTAATTTTCGTAGGATGGCTTGGACTTGAATTTCTTGGGGGAGGTTGCAAAGTGTAAGGAAATATTTTTTAAAAAACGAAGAATAAGATACATAAATACCACAGAAATATTTAATTTTGGACTTTCGCTTTCAAATTTTAGACGAGCAAACTTCCCATGTTCGGAAACTGGTCCCGGATGTGTGTCGAATTCAGAATGCAAACACGTCTGTCTGTGCAACGATGGGTACCGGATGGACTTAACTGAGGGGACGTGTGCTAACGGGGCACTGAAAAATACTGGACTTGCAATGATCCCAATGGTCCTTGTGGGGCTGGTCATGTATTATTTGCAAAATTGAATCCAAGATTTCAATCATCAAAATTATAATTATGATTATTATTATAATTGAATGCGAATTTTTAAACTGCCAGATTATATATCTCAGTCGGTTCTTCTAGTGTTTGTTTTTATGAAAGAAACTCCATCATTCTCTTTACAGTTTGCATGAAAGTTATTGGATTTGTAATTTTGTCGTCATTATTAGCTGCACTTTAATGATTTGAGTTGACAAGTTATGAAAATGCCAAGTATTTTTGATTTGTTGGATTGCATTGAAATATTTATTAATTTCAGAATATTTATCACAGCAGAAATCTCTCCCTCATAAATAGTTATCAATTTATGTATCTCCACTTAATATTCATCCAGCCAAATGCAACTCATGAGTACGAAAATTCAGCTCTTTCGCTACATTGACATTATTAATTGATAATAAGATTCTATATTATTATGTAAGAGGAGGTTTAGGTCTATTAATGGAGCAAGTAAAAAAAATATTATACATAAATATATTATAAAACATATATTTAGTAATCGGTATGCAAGATAATTTTATCATTTGCAATACTCAATATATTTAATGCTGACTAGTTGTTGTAGAGGTCAATAAATAAATAAAAGTTGGTTTAGTAGATACAAAACGCCGAATCCCGAAAATAAAATTTTAATTGTAAAAATGGGCTCGTAAAAGTTAGCTGAGCCGCTGAGCCTCAGCCGGCATGGCACCCGCCTTCCAGTTGATTTTTTGTTGTCGTTCTTTTCTTTTTGTAAATTCAATTGGCCATTTCTAATTTCAAAAATTTTCACTGCAGTTTGTTTACGATCGGCTGAAATGTTCCCCCGTCCCCATTTCTGTTGTCGTATCGTCGTCATTTTTGTGACCTTAGTCAGCCTCTTGACGTCGTTATCTATCTTACTAACTCGGCACCTTCGACCCTCCCTTATCATTCGGGACTTAGGTTATCTCACTCGTCCGCTTTGGGACAACCCTGGAGAACAGCCAAAAATTATTATTCCCCATTTTGACGCCAGTAATAACGACACGGTTGAAGACCTTTGCCGCCTCCACGGCTGGATACCGATAATGCCAAATACTACTATTACTGTTATCGACGCTGTGATTTTCTCTATTGAATTGGACATTTTAGAAATTCGAATCCGCGAGTTATGGGACGTTGTTGACATATTTCTTGTCATGGAGGCTGACCGCACCTTCGTCGGACGTCCGAAACAGCTTTATCTCACCGAAAATCTGTACAGATTCTCCTGGGCAAGCATGAAACTTCGCCACGTTCCTCTCCTCGACACCCTAAAGGCCCACCCCGCGAAAGAGTTCGACAACGAGATGCAGATGAGGATCAGCATGTCGAAAGCAGTTGAAGCACTTGCGCCAAAAGACGGTTCCTTAATAATTGTCAGTGACGTGGACGAGGTGCCGTTCAAGAATACTATCAAACTACTAAAATCTTGTACTGGATATCCAACGAACGAACTTCACCTCCAGATGAAAAATTACCTTTACTCCTTCGAATTCCGCCCTGCCACGACCAATTGGAAACCACATGTGACCCTGTTTAAGCACAAGAATTTCAACTACCATCACGGGAAAAGAAAGTCCAATCACACCTTGGCCAACGCCGGCTGGCACTGCTCCTTCTGTTTTCGATACTTGTCCGATTTCCTGTTTAAAATGACATCGTACTCCCATCATAGCAGGGTCACAGGGGAACACTTGCTCCGTAGGGAGAACATTCAAAAGAAAATTTGTGAGGGGGCTGACCTATTTGACATGCTTCCGGAAGCTTATTCATACAAGGAGTTGATCGCGGCGATGAGGAATGTTCCAAGGACATCGAGTACGGCAGGGATTCCCGAAACGGTGCTAAGATATAAGAACAAGTTTTCATTTTTACTGCCAGGTGGGTGTGTTAGGGAATATTCAAAGGTCAAATATGTAGAGTAGGAGTAGCTAAATATCTATAATATTGCATATAAAATTTTCAACATAATAACTAAACTATCTTGTACTCGTACTTTATGTACATAATTGGCATTTTGATTATGACTTTAAATGGTTTAACTTTAAAATAATTTTATCAAGCAATTACAATTTTTTTCTATCTGTCGTCTCTAATGATTTCTAAATAAGCATTTCTCTTTGTTGTGTTGATGCGTCCTGTTTTTATGACGTTTTGAGCTTGTGTTTGTTGTGTAATAAAATTCTTGGCTTGCTTCAAGCAAGTTGCTTGCGTTGAATATATAAACGAAGAGTCCGACTCTTGTTGCCATCCGAGTCTTCTTTGTGTTGAAGAGCCAACATTCGAGTCATGATAAATGTACACGACTCGTACTTGTACAGCAGCACATTAATCTGAAAATTTAATTTTAAACTTGAATAGTTTGGTTACTTTGAATTCGGACAGAATTTAAAAAAAGTTGTGTGTAAAAAGAAAGGTGCAAGTTTACTGCGAACGTTAGTAAATTTGACTAATGATATAAGAAATCTATTATTATTATTGCGTTGTTGGATTATTTTAACAGTGAATAGAACATATTTCCTTAATTAATTAGTAAATAAATTAAAACTACGTAGAAGATAAAGGTTAAGAATAAAACGCACTTTAAGGAAGTACAGTTTTTGGTCGTGGTAAGTTTTAAAATATGATTTATTTTTTATAGATTTATAAAATAACTAAAATGATCTATGTAAAAATTGTCTTCTTAGGATGGGAATATCTTGAAACGACCACTTATGTGATCATTTTGGAAATCCGTCAGTATGGAATTTGTCAATACGAATTTTAAAAAGGCCAAGTCGGGGAAGAATCGTGGAGGAAAGTACGAGAATGGAGAAAGCAATGGCAATGGCAGGTCACACCCACAAAATCAACAGTTTGAACAAAAAGCAAGTGTTCTCACTGGAGGAGGATACGGTCAGATCTCGAATACAAATAATGGACTTTTAAAAGCCCTGCAGCAAACGCCGTCAAAGGTTGCGCCTCAACCACTAATGAATTCGGGGTCCGCTTTGGGAAATTTATTTTGTCAAAATGTGGGGATTAAGAAGAACCAAGGGAAAAAGATGAACAATGGGGGTGGTGACAGTGCTGGTGGGCAGATTCACAATGCAGTCAACAAGATTAATACAAATCATGTGCAAGAGTCTCACGAAGATATGACGAAACGACTAAATAATGAAACGCTGATAAGAGTAGATTCCTCCTTTAAGGGTAATACATTTTGGCTTGTTTATCATATAATTGAATTGATCAACCACTGAATGTAACTTTATAGGCGTTTGCCTGAAAAAGTTCAAGAAATAAACTGAATACATACATACATACATACATAATACATTTTGGAGGGATGATGAATTATGAATTTTATATTGTATGAATTATCAATTATAGGATTATTTGGTACCGCAAGTCAAGTAGCTGTTTACGATTACGATGGTGTAACGAAAGACTGGGTAAGTCTTTGCTATGAAGTGTACTTAATCGGTATATTCTTCGATTTGGTACATATTTAAATAATTTGTCCCCTTCAATTTAAGGTTGATACAAAAATGTGTGGCCCTTTCTTCTTGTACGATCGGTAAGATTTAAATTCAACATTTAAATTATTAAACAGGGGTATTATTTCGTACAAATTATTTATTAGCGTATGTTAATTATAGGGCTGACGTACCGGAATATGGCCTCGTAGTGCTGAATAGGAAAGGAATGCGGAATTTGATAATGTTTTTCGATAAACAGAGTCAAATTATTCCACATGAACCATATTTGCTGTTTCGTAGAGGTCCTGACGAAGGTTGGTGCACAAATATCAAAATATAAGCTATACGTGACAAAATTTTGTTTCGATTATAATTTAGAAATTATAATTTTTAATTGTTTCAGTGATAAAGTGCATATGGTTTTATAAGGACTCAGAATTCCACGAAGCATTAATTTTATTTCGGAAAATGGGTGTCCAGTTCGATCAATGCGACGATAAAAATGCAGCAAATACAAATTCCAATTCATCTGCTCATATTGCTACGACAAATAATTCGTCCACATCATTAACAATGGGTGGTGCTCCTGCGCCCAACTTGTTTGATATGCTAAAGCAAAGCCAAGCAAAGGTACATAAAAATAGTAAATTGCTATTTCAAGTATACATGATTTGAATAATATTGCATTCTTTTTAATGTTAATAATGCACGACGAATTTTTATGGACAGATTGACGGATCACTGCCGAAACTTGGAACCAAAGCCAAAGTATTTACTGCCGAAGAATTAGAGCAAAAAATGCTCCAAGATAATAGTGCAACCGATCGGCTTGGTGGACCCAGGTCGGGGGGAGCGCTGAATAATATTGGATTGGGTGGACTAGGGACGCAAGGAGGAGGTGGTGCTTCATTGCTTCAACAGCTAACAACTTCTGCTCCTGTAGCTGTTTCAGAGACACTCCCTGCCGGGAAAAGAGGTCCTAAAAAGATATCTGGAGATAGTGACGATTCACTCCCTGCACAGTTGAAGGATGCTAGTCGTTCTGTGAGTATTGTATAAACCGAATAAATATATTAAATTTTGTGACCCAGTTTTGATTTACGTTGTTGGTTTTAATGTTCTAAGATGCGTACAGTAGAACAATTAGAAAAGGCCTTGATGCCTGAGGACTCAACCAAATGCGAGATGAGTAATGAGCTATTGGCTACATTAGGGATAAAACCATTAAAAAGTATACTAATCACTAAATTTGTGCATAGGCTTTTGTTAGGCATATTTCTTGGTACTAATTAAATCTCTCCACCTCAGGTTTACTCGAAAGCAGCTCAGAAACTCCCCAGTCTCCATTTATGACTCCAACCAGCAGGTCTATCAGCGAGAGTGAACGATCTCAGAAAAAGTTGACAATTGACGACTTGGATGGAAAGTTATACGAGGAGACTGACGAAGATATGGTTCGAGAGGTGGTCGAAAATTTAGCTGATCTTACAGAACTTTTGCTATTAAGCGAAAACGTCCCTGGTCACTCTGAACCCCAGCTCGTGTGGAGAAAACGTTCTAATTTACAAAATGTAAGTGAACCATACAACACAAAAATACTTAAATCACGTGTTCATATTGGGCTAGACTTCTTACTGTTAGTTAATATATAAAATGTTAAATCTACAGAGACCCCCCTCTGCACTTGTACAAGTACCTCGAGCGAACGGTGTCGGCAGCAATACTCCGAATATGCATCAGAAGCATTCTGTTATGAATAATGCATCCACGTCCAGCCCTGCTATAAGCCCGTTAACCGAAAATCAACTATTGCAAGCAATCACGTACCTTCTTCAGACCGATCCTTCATTCATTGGGAAAATTCACGACGCCTATGTGAAAAGCTTACAACAAACCTGGGCATCTCGACTCGGATAGAGAGCCCAAACCATCATAGTCTTTAACCAAAATATCAGCAGACTATAAAATGGAACAAACAACTATTATATTTATCAAATATTGCATGTATGCACGTGAAGCGCCGTCGAACGAATTATTTTACTAGTGTCGTGGTGTTTTATCTTTAAATGATACGGGCTAATTAGTAATTGGACTATTTTAAATGCGAATGAATTATTATTAGAGTAAGTAAGTTCGACCTGATGCTTTATCATTTATGGGAACATGACTGAAACGTTTTAAAGAAAGTTTTAAATAATCGGATTCTTAATCTCTTTCTCTTCGGGATATGTAAAATTGATAATATATGGTATTTAAAATAGTGTGACGTGTTTTATGTTTATTATTTAAGGTAGTAAGCAAAGGTGGACGAAGACTTATTGCCTATTTATTGTGATTAAAAGATATTCCAGTACTTACCTTTAGACAAATTATTATCGATAGACGGTAGTGGATTTCCTACCGTAACCGATTCACCGGAGTAGTAATGATGTTACGTTGAAGATAAAGGTTTTGAAAAAATAGTCAATTTATTTTAACAGTAATTTATCTTGTGGAATGCAATGACATTATTATTATGTATGTACATCAATTAAATTAATACTATTGTAGTTGGCTTCATAAGCTTTCCTAAATTATGTTAATTTTGAACAAATCCAGACGAATTACTGAAAACATATTGTCAAAATGGTTCTTTTTATAATGTATTTAGTACGTCACACACGGATTGTGATTATTGACGGATATCACGATAACTATATTATATAATGCAAACTAATAATTGTACAATCAAAATATTATTCTAGAAAGTAGTGCATTAATTAGTCCGTAGTTTTATGCACGTGTGTATTTGTATATCAGGTCTTTTAAAATTATATTTCCCGAAATTATACCCTGCAATGATCATTGTGATCGGCGTATATTCTAATCAGGCGTGTGTAATTAGTGAAAAACTATATGTATTTGGTGTATACTGTTATATCCTGTGAAAGGCATACCATCTCAAAATTATGAGATTAGTTACGCAATTAATTATTCTTCAAGATGATGTGTGAATTATGACTTATTCATCCTATTCTGAAACATGGTTGATCTCAGTTAGTTCAAAGAACGTATATAATCAAATTTTATATTTGTTGAGGAAGGAGTGGACGTTTACCTACCTACCAATTCAACCAACTAACTGCGGATCTTTTTTGTTTACGTAACCTAACAAAAAACTCTGACGAGATTTATTCCCAAGACACTTTCTACGTATGTAAAAACAATTGGCTCCTAATACAATCGGAAATTTAATTGGCAAATAATTGGACGAATCTATCAAAATTAAATCAAAATTCAAAATTCATATTTGTTTTCCGTCTTTTATTGCTGCCAGCAGCGAATATACATATTTTCATAAGGTAATAAAGTAGTAAAATTATGAATAGTCAGGATGACTTTGGGCCAAGTTGGGGGATGTCAATGGTAGAATATCTGGGTGGGGGTGGTGGTGGTTGAAAAATGGAGATTGAGAGAGACATGTCGTTAATGTCGGTATTTGCACTTCCCAAGCTTATTCGACTTCCATTACTGACTCGCCACTGTGCGGCGGAAAAGTGTTTTAGTGCTTGAACATTGGGGGGAACTCCTGTGTAAAGAATTAAAATTAAATTTCCAAACGTGACACATTTATTTGCATTGCAGGTTGTGCTTACTTCTTGAAACGGCAGTGTCGTCATTTACTGCGTCACTTGTTCCACTTTTGTATTTTCTCAACCAGTATTGATAGCCCTAAAAAAATAAATAATTCATAGCTAAATATTTTAAAGAGCTTCAGAGAATAAAACTTCGAGTATTTATGAATGGCCTCACCAGATATCCAAAAAATCCAAAGAAGCAGAGGAGAAATATTACAATGAATAATTCCAGCATGCCCTTAATTCCGAAATGTGAAACTTAAATAATTCCGTTAGTAGAATTTTTGTAGATATTCAACAAATGACAAAGTATTCAGCTCCAGCTCAGTATAATAAATGAAAATGGAATGCATCCGTTACAGAAGTTTATCTAAAGAATGAGGATAGTCACACATGAATGTGTCACCATCCACATGTACTTATTACCATAGGTCATGCCATACATACAAAAGTTTAGAAACATCGTCATTGTGGTAAATTTTGTGGTTATATGGACAGGATATTTTTCAAAATTTCAACGAAAAATTTCATGCACATCTTAAACTCTGATGCGTATTATGAGTAAAGTTAGGTAATCAAGTTAAATGAATTATCAATTCAGTTCCTGTGTGATAGGAAACTTATGAATTTAATAAAAATCAAGTCAAAGTTAAAAAAACGTCCTGCGCATATAAATATTTACAGTTATAAAATGCACTCAATTTGATGAGTAATACATAATATGCCAATGGAATGAATGAATGCGAAATAAGTCATATCTGCATGAAACATATCAGTAAATACTTTGCTTTTACTTTTACTGAGTTCTATGGAACTAATGGCTATATTTTGTATTGAACACGTCTTATTAATTAATTATGTATGTAAAGGCAAAATTTGCGATATGACAGGGACTGACTATATTAAGGCCATGTATCATAAAAATAACTGCAGGGTTGAAATTCATGGCTTGTTCCCAACAATATCTTACTGAAAAATGCATTGATTACTGTTACATAAGTTACAAATCAGTTGAATAATAACACATTGGATGTCATCTTTTAAAATCGGTTGAAATAATTCTATGATCATTTCAATTTCGGACTCTCCTCCTCATCATCGTCAGAATCTTGAGGGACGCCAACATCATCACTCTTCTCCTTGGCGTCATCCCTTCTCCAAATTATTGCGGTAAAAATTGCCATGCAAATTATTTCTACGAGTAATATCCCAGCGGGTAGCATCCATTTGTCAAAATCTGCATTGCAATATTTTAAATAGAAATCTGTGTCCTATAATAAAATACGAAATACTAAAGAATTACCTTGTACTCTAACATTAAACTTGTACTCGACAGGAAACATTTTCTCGTGAATGATATTTTTTGAGTGCGTCTTCAGATTTACCGAACAGATATATTCAGCTCGATGAGAACTCTTTGCAGTGCCCAGGAATTGATAGGGGTGGATTTCGGTAAAGTTTAGATATTCACCCTCCCCTTTATTCCGCAAATCTGAAGTTATGTCAGTCCTGTTGACATTCCCGTCTTCATCTTTCACCCCAGTGGCATCCACTTTTAGCATGAAATGAAATTAGCAAAAAAACTTAAATAATATTTGTGGTAACATTTATTTCTTCCTAAATAGTTAATCTCTTACCTCTAAACCAGGACACCGTTACGTAATCGATATCACTAATGTTGAAGTACTTGTCCGACTCTCCTTGTGAGTAATTGCAGTACAAATGAAGCGGCATTCCTACATTTACAAAGACGCTTCTTTCCGTCTCTGGTTTCGGCGTTTTGGACTTTCTTGTAGCCCTTATCTCCCCTGCAAAATTTTCATACAAAATTTACTACTTCTTTACTCAGTACGTAACATTATGAAATATTTTAACCAAATAATCATCGCAGTACCTGTTAAAACAAACTCTCGAAGTACTGTTCCATCAACTCGGCGGCATTCGTACTTCCCGTAATCGGACTGTGAAAGTTTACGGAGACGAAGTTTCGAGTAAAATAGCGATTTGCTATTATTTACATTAGAGTAAATGTATGAACACTTTAATTTGTCGAAATATTTTTCATCACTGTCATTTTTGTCGTCATCGGCATGCTTATCATCTTCATCGTCGTCGTCGTCGTCATCGGTGTCTAAGCATTTTGCAGACATGTCCACCTGACTTGGCGACGTTTTATACCTGACGAGAAATATCACAAGTTATTTATTAATGTACGATCCATACCCCGGACAAATATTTTTTTATCCTACCCTACTCGTGTTGAGCTCAACATGAGTAGGGTAGGATAAAAAAATATTTGTCCGGGGTATGACGATAACATGTAAGGTTGACTTTGTTCATTTTTGCAAATAGAGAATTACTAGACGTACCATTTTATACCTTCGCTACTATTTTTTGCAAGATTTTCTGGCACGGAAGACAACTCTACATTTTCACATTGTAGCTGAGCCGACTTTTTTAAATTCATGTAGACGTAATGCGTCTCCACGTCTGCAGCTCTCAAATGACTTGGAGCTATTTATTACATAATTCATCAATTAATTAACACAAGACGACCTAAATTTATAATAAAACCAGATTAAAAATGCATTTACTCACCGATTGAAATCTCATTTTGGCTTGGACGACCTTTCTCCCCACTTTCTCCCGAATTTGACAATGCTGCTGACGAGAATGACGAAAAAAATGTGACAGCTAAAAATACGAGGGCCGGCTTGTAGACAAATTTTCCACCACTTTTCCACATCTTGAAGGATCACAGATCAAAAATAGTTTATACCAAAAAAAATCACAGATTGTTTCACAAGTTGGTTGGTTAAAAAAGCGTAGAAATAATCACAACAGAAGAATAATAAGCATTAGTAGACTGGCAACTGTCACATTTATCTTTTCACACGCTTCCTGATAATAATTCGAGCCAGATATGTACGTATCACTCGAGGTTTGGTTGCATAGACGGTCTGAATTTCTTTGTATGCATTCTCGTGGGCACGTACATGACTCGGTCCGTATTTCACTTTACAAATGTGTGTTTGACGATGTCTTATTTTTTTAGGTTCAGGTCCTTCTCGTCATCGAAGAGATATTACTCATAAAAAGATCCCAAAATGTTTTTACGACGAGCAGCAATAAGTAATAGGCAGTAGCACGTTAGAACAACTGCATTAAAACATTATTGCATGTACATACAACTCGTATTTAGCAGAACAACTCCCATGTTTTGCCTTTAAGACGAGGATTAACGATTAGCCTTAAATGTATGTGGGTAAACTATGGTTAAATAGTTATTTATACGACTTTTTCCTTAATTGCACGCTTCCTCTTACATATTTAAGGGTAGCAAGCAAACTGGCTTCCCTTAACTAGCCAAACTCTAATCACTCCATTGTTACAAGAAGTTATTACAAGAAGAAGTAACAAGAAGTTACAAGAAGTTGTTACAAGAAGTTCTCAGCCTCTTCAAATATTTTTGTCCTCTAAACTCTGTACTAAATACAAATCAGATCCCACTTTATCCTCACAACCGAATGCTCTTATATTTCACGGTAAAATTATTTCAGTGATCTCATTCCGCGTTCTTTTTATTCTCCATCCAACCAACCAAGCAACCACAATAATAATAATGGCACATGCACTGTATAAACACTACCAACTCGAAAAACACGTTGCCTTTTTTTCCAATGATCTGTTCTTCTTCTTCTTCTGTTGAGTATTTATATCAGTCAGTCAGCGTGTAAGCCGCCTAATGACGTTGTGGAGTAGAAGATCGTAATGTTTTTGGGTGCATGACTACAGGTAATTCAATTCCATCGCATCATCCGTCCGTGGTGGGAATGAATATTGGATGAATATTGCTCATTACTTGATTATACATTTGCTTGTACGTATCTCTCTTCTACCTGTCCGACTAAAAAGCTACACGATGCAACTACCAAATAGTAGGTGGGAGCACGTTATGAAGTTAAACATGTGAAAATGATGTGCAGACTAAAAAAGTAGGTAGTTGAAAAAAAGTGCAAACTGTCAGAAGTATGTACGTATGTACAAGATGATATCTACATATCTACGGACGTAATGCATATGTATAACAAATTGAGAATGCGTGGAAAGGTTATGCTTTTGCGGGCAATAATAATGCAGTTAGTTTTACAACCAACAACTATAAACACGACCATCCCTGGAGTAATTTGCATGTTAAATGTCCAGCTTAATAATACGTACGTACTGTGGACTGTGGTTGATGATATGGATGGATGACAATTCGGTGGTTTTCGTATTTAGCTGGGGACACACACACGCTATTGGTTTATGTATATTTGCTTCATTTAGTATTCATAAATTATTCCGTGCTTGGTTTTACTGACTGAATAACAAACCGACCACCGACCAAAGTAAAACTGGGACTAATTCGGTATGACGAGTAGTTATAGTTGATGACGGTTTGTTATTCGGCTTCAGGGATGGGCAATCCAAACAATTTTGATGGATTACGGATTACAGATTAATTAATGTAAAAATTATCATGGGATTACTGGATTGGCATTACTTCGTTCCTGAAATAATGTGGATTACTTGTTGGATTACTTGGATAAATTAATGACGTGGATTACGGATTACGGATTACAGTAATCAGATTACGGATTATTATCTGGATTACAAAAATCTATATTTATGTATTAAGGGGTGAAGAGAAGCGAAATCCCTTCATGGAAAAGTGTTGTCCGCCGGTCTGTATCGTATCCACGATAACTTAAGAGCGGTTTAGAATTTTAATATGCGGTTTTCGCCAAAGGGCTTCTAATTTGAGGTACGGATGAGTTAGAAAATGGGAATTGTAGGCCATAAGGTCACGGCGACGACGCCACGAGCCAAACTTGTCGAATTTTTTGTTTTGACCGTTTTCGACGTAGTTTCTGGCGAGGATTACAAAAATCTTCATAGTTTTGACGTGACATACCCGAGTGACCGTGTCGACGACGGCAAAGTCGAAAATGTGGAATTTTTGTCTTGATACTTTTAGACGTAGTTTTCGGCGGGGATTTTAAAAATAAAATCTAGACATATTTTTGGCCAGGACCGCGTGACCGTCTCACTACGCCCCCTTGCTACATTTCGTTTGCAACGGTTTATTCTGAATAGCGTCACACTTATATTTCATGATGATGATTAGTTAAAAAAACAAGAGCTTTGAATGATTCATCCGACAGTCGGTTTCTTAGGGCAGACAAAAATGTGTTGTAGTAAATAGACCCCTCTTAATTTTTCCAAAATTCTCTAAATTTTGCACCTCTGCTGAAGAATCCAGAAGGTAGTTTAAGCACTGAAGTTCAGCAAGTGACTTAGACTCTGGAGAAGTTGCAAGATGGAGCTGGCATGTCGTTTATAGAAGTAAAGTAATCCAACAAAGTAATCCGTAATCTGATTACATTTTTCAGCCTCGTAAATTGGGGATTACGGATTACACATAATTTCCAGATCTAGTTAGGATTACGGACTACGGATTACTTTAAAATGTGAATTTTTCGTGGATTACTGGATTACGGATTACATTCAATGTAATCTGATTGCTTAATCTGATTAAAGTAATCCTGGGATTGCCCATCCCTGTTCGGCTTTATGCTTTATCATCATCAATCTGTCAGGAACAAATGGGAGTATAATTAGAATCAAGTTGGAGCATTGTACGTGACGAATTATTGAATGGAAAATGGTTTAGCTGGACAAATAGAGAGATAACAAGGGTTGACAAAAACAAGCGTTTAGCGAAAGTTATTTATACGTATAAGAGGAAAAATTATAGGGGAAAAAATTTGGCAATGTTTGAAAAAAATGTGTGATAGTTTCATCATTTATGTATGTAAAACTTACTTTTCGCCGGATATGGATTCATGTGCAAAATAAATATTTGCAAAGTTTTCTTGTATGCAAATTACCACAGTATTCACCGTTACTGATTCAGCGTCATAATTCAATTTATAGTTGATTTTCAATTTATAATGCCTGGAACACGCCTGGAACGAGTTTGTCTCATGCTGCAACGGCATTTTTTCGCTATTGTGTCGTGATCATGTTACAAATGTAATAAAACTGTCATGGCTAGTTTTACGCTTTGTAAGGGGATTAATTAGTTAATTAATTGGTATCAATCACTATATAACTTTGTTTGACAAAGGTCAATTATAATTTGTTCCAGGATTTTCCACATTGTTTGACCTTTCTTCTTTCAGAGAGTAGAAAAACAGATTTATTAAAATATTAATAAGTTACTGGAGTCATTTCAGTATCACTTTTTTGCATTTCTAAATTCTTTGTACGCATTAGAGTCAACCTAGTCGACAATTATCCTTAAATGTGCTACCGCCGCTGGTCTGTATGGTTAACCCATTCGATGAGTTTGCTGCTTATGTACGTTTATGGATGAAAAGCGTCATAACAATACTCTCACTGATGTAAATAACAGATAACTACTTGACAGTACTTGAACCAGTCTAAATATGTAAGTAAAGTAAAAATAAACATTTATTAACATCAATAAATCAATTGGGTACACAATTTATCATTCATATCTGCTGTAAATCCCGTATGCGTCATAGGTGCAAATTATAATTATGATGTGACGACAACAGAGGCGATTTAAAATCAAGTTTATGTAAATTAAAAGTGGTAATCAAATAGTAATAAGTGTGTGTAATGAGCATTGAACTTGTGTAAATGTTTGTCCAGCATTTGCGTCCATAGTTTTTACACGTGCTGCTGGTGGCAAGGTACCGATCTCGAGAAAGTAGATGACAAAATGAAGAAAGGGTTCAAGTTTTCTGAAAAATATTTGAGAAATGGAATTCTGAAATTTTGAATATATTGTCTAAAATGAAAAATAAAATGAAAGATGATCATCGTATTTGTTAAAAAAATACTTTGGCCAGAATATGTTTCATTTACCATAATATATTTCCGGTAACAACGTGGAGTGACGAAAATGACAGTGACACTAACAACATGCAAAGCACATACATAAGATGGTATCTGGCTTGTACAAACTTTTGGGCAAGTGTCACTCCAACGCAGTTGTAAGATAAGCTGCACTTCATGCTTACAAGATGATATCAGTGAATCAATGTCGAAATGTATGATTGCGAAAATATAGTGGCTTATCCTCATTTATAATTTAAGCACTTTATGAGTAAGATCTAGTTGTTTGGAAGGACGAAATAAATTGCTTTCTCAACTGTAATTTAATAAATATTGCGATTTCTCACTAGCCATTTCTTGACGACTTGCCTGTGCAAATAGAGTTACTGTGCTTAAAGACCTAGTTACATAGTTTAGTTAGTTAGTACACGCCATTATCGGCATATGCAGAATGTACTCGTATGTAACTACATATGTACATACTAAATTTGCTGTTTTATATTTTATTCCCATAATTTACGGCAGCAGCAGGGTTACTGATCTCAATATATAAACACGGTGACCATTGCTTCGCCTTTCAACATTTCTATTTTAGTCGACAACGAAATTGCAAGTGGTTGTAGAGTATATATTTAACTGGTCTCGTTATCCGTAAAATTTCATAAAAATCCGACTCCATTGAGTTTTCGCTAAAATGCACTTAAAATATTCAACCTTAGTAATTATTGCTGCCGGTCTACAATTATTAATGGTACTGAATTTGGAGAGTTAAGATTTTCATGGAAAAAATTAACATTTTGAATTTTTAATGTGACCAGGTAAATTGTTCCATCGACTCTGCAACTCTAAACGTATCTCAAATGTTTGACGGTATAATACCCAAAAATCGTACTGAATCTGAAGTTTATCAGCCAATTATTACGACAACGACGACTACTGAATCTAGTGTCACGCCACCACAACTTTCAAAAACCATGGAACAAGAACTTCGCAACGTGTTGAACCTATTGCCATTTTCAATACGAGAATTATCCCGAAATTACATTGCCACCCGGTTAAAACGAATTGTTCTTCTCACATCAACACCTCCAGCAGATAGTCCAAACTCCACTCATCAAGATGACGTTCCTAACAACCTCACCCTTGATCTCACGACTTTAAACAAAAACAAAAGTAAACCATATAACCCTCACGGGAAAAGGATGCTGGGGTCGGATTTGGTTCCCATAATTCCGGACGGAGCTCCAACCCCGAAATCGATTCCGGGAGAGTTGATTGCTTCTCATATTTCGAAGAGAGAAATACAATTAATTAACGAGAGCATGTTCGGTCCCTTAAAATCAGTGACCATGTTCCCCTCCGTCATGTCGTCCATTTTAGTCTTTCCCAGGCGTTATAATCCTGAAAAGTTGGCTCAAGTTCTCAAGTTCAATTATGGCGTGGAAGCTGAACCGAATGGTCTGATTGTGGAAGCTAAAAAGTAAAATAAGATAAATAATTGCGATATTTTATAAAATTACGAACAAGCCGAGAGAGAAAGTATATTTTTGCAGTAAAAAGATCCTATAAAATAAAATATTACAAGCATACATATCTACAAACCAAAACTAATGTTCCTTTATGTTCCATGTTACTTGTAGCCATTTCATTATTGTCCAAAAATCTGCAATAAATGCACCAAATAAATGTTACCCCAAGATAATTAATGCATGTATAACCAGTATAATGGGTGATTACAATTGGTGAAATCCATCTGGGTCTGGTCACTAATTAGATTTCAGTATTCGATATTTAAGGCAAATTATTCATCACTTGGATTCATCAGTGGCAAATTGCACGCTGAGAAAAGGTCGCGTTCACGAAATATATTCACAAATGTAATTTCAATTATAGATACATCGTAAACACAGTTTATTTATATAATTGGCATCGTTGTACCCACTAAAAATTCACAGACCTAGACACAGTTCTTGTCGTACAGGTAATTGGAGGAAGAGTCACACGACAAAGCAAAGATGAAAGGAACGCTGACAGGAAATGCCTTGGGAGTCTTGATTATCTTGACCTTACAAATTTTAAGCGTGAGTAAATATTTCATACGTTTGGGTATAGAATTCAAACCAGTTTTGCAAATAGGTATCTACTTACACTTAAAGAAAGGATTACTAACTGACTTAACTTGTCGATCATGTACATATAAATATCATCGTGTAATTAGCTCCCTCACCCACGAAATGTTTTTTTCAATATAAATTTTAAACTGCAGGTCACATGCGAAATATCTCGAGTGCATCAACTCATCTACAAGAACCAGATTCCAGCAAAAGAATGGGTTAAACCACAGTCTGGAGCTATAACTTTGTCCGAAGGCGAGCAAATCGCTCTAGAAGTCACCAATCAGCTCCTCCCACCGCCCGAACTCTCTCAAAAAATATCGGACGAGCTGAAACTCATAAAATACAAGTACCGCGTCGTGAGCAAGATCTCCCATCAAAGAAAATGGGTTCCTGGTGAACTAATTTCTACTAAAATCACGGCAGAACAGATTCGCCAGGTTAATTCAAGCAGCGAATATGGTCCACTCGTCAATGTGACGACGATTGACCTGCTCCCCTTCTACATCGTGTCCATCCTCTCCTTTAACAAACCATATAATCCTCTAGTCTTGGGAGAAATGCTGAAATTTCAGTATGGCTTCTCATCCTCGCCGAATTCCGTGTATTACGACGGGGACGACATTTTCTACGACTTGAGCAGCAAAACGTACATTTTCAAGAGGAGGGGCTGTGTCGACCAGGAGGCTGTGTCGACAGATTCGCCACCACCACGACGACGAAATGATGGCGTAACTTGCGGAGAGGATTCGAAACATTACTGGGAATTTGTGGTCACGGATGACGATAATGTCCGACTGGTTAAAGAGTACGACATCGATGGGGATGGAAATCGCAGTTTCAATCGGAAGTACAATTCCTTGGCTATTATTAATTAATTACTGAAATTATCAAGTGTATGTATGTATTATGCAGGCGATATGATAATAAAAAATAAATAAGTCGTAATAATAAATCATTCTAAAAAGGATGTAGACAAATCAGTGTATTTTTATTTACTCATCATCACCAAACAAATGTATTATTAAACACGAGAAACATCTCGATAAAGACTGGAAAGAACTAACAATAAGTGGAACTTAATTTCCTCATGTATCACATAATTTTCGGCTTTATCTAAAGAAACTGCGGTTGTGTGATGTGATTATACGAGATAACAATGGGGTTGATAAGATTAAGATAAGCACTATTAATCGGCTTCTATCTAGTAATAAATAAGTGTAAGTTGCATTCTTTTCTACAAATTGACACGCATATGCACTTCGTAATTATGCTTAATAAGAGAGGGGAGAGAAATGAAGGCATGTAATTGAAATCCGCAAAAAGCAAGGAAAATGTAAACCCTGGGAATTATGCAATGAGTGATAGCGCACTATCATGTTTAACAAATCTAGAAATATGATGTCAGGATTTCCGATTCAAAAACTTCACTTGTGCTGCTGGCATAATAGAAATTTTATTTTATTATGGACCATTCATACAAATTGTGTGGATAAAGTTGCAATTTTATTTGCAATAGTTTTCTGGATTTTCCCAGGAAATTTTTAAACTAATCATGCAAAATGGCGTATTGCAAATTAGAATCTATAGTTATGTACAACTTTAAATCACGATATATTTGAAGCTACTCTGAAAGTTCTGAAACTAGGGATGCTATTGTTTTAAATGATATTGACCATGATTCCTCATTTTCCACATGCTAATAAGTATGCATTACCACATTATGCGTGCATATCTGTAGACAGACAGAAGCCAGGCCAGGAACCCTAGTGTCATGATTGATATGAAAATCGCAATTTATGTTTGTGGTATGTGTTACATGAGATTGTGGATATTAATATGACACACTTTCAGTTCCCTTTTGTTTTGTTCGCCGTTTTTTTATGTTGTGCAATGCAAAGTCGGTTTATTTTCTTTAGTCATTTTGATCCCACTACTGACTAGAATCGGAAGAAATTTGTTTGCTACAAATTTGAGAAAATGTCTTCTTCAAATTGCCAATCAGTGTGTGTGGTGGGTGTCATATTTTTAATCGCTTTGGGGTCCATGGCGTACATCGGTTATTTTAGTGGGGTCGAGAAGGAGGAAATTATTGTGGCTAGAATTAAAGAACTCGATTTATCACTGGATTTGAAAGATTCTGCGTCAAAAACAGAGTCGTACTTAAATGAAGGTAATCAGTAAAGCGGTGCAAAGAACACGGATTTAAAATTAAATGCAAATTAATTTGTATTAGAGAGAAGGAGCATTATCGATTGCGAAAACATGGTCCCTCTGGAATTACAATCACCCAGATTTTTAGGCGTTATCCCAAATATAACGGCGAGCAAGGGCGATAATGTATCCATCCCGTGCGTTACAGAAAATCTGCAGACTTACAGGGTAAATTAACTAGAAACGTCAATGTGGATACATTACATTGTGAGCTTAGCAAAAAAATATTAATTGCGTTTAATTGGAACGATTAAGATGGCCTGGCTGAAATTGCACTCCCAAACCATATTAACAATCCATAATCACATCATCACAAAAAACAGAAGGATTGGCCTCTCGATGGATACGCAGACGCTCGAAACTCCTTGGTACATGCATGATTTAAGAGTGTATTTTATAAAATATTACGTGCTATAAATCTACATCTAAAAAATTTTAAAATTTCAGTAAAAATCAAAGTATGGAAACAACCATTCTGATGTACACGCTAAATATTGACTCAATTTCAGAAAAGGATGAAGGTTTCAAAGAAATTATAAATATAAATATTGTATTTAAAAGCTTGTACTTGAATAATTATTTAAATAATTATCAATTATTGAAGGATTCTACATGTGCCAAATGAACACGGGTACTTGACCAGATTACTTAAACAATTTTAAAAACTAATTTATTTAATATCATCCAATTATCTGTCACAGATCCAATGAAAGGACAATGGGGATACTTGAAGGTGGAAATTCCTCCAACAACAACGACGAATCCAAGTTCATCGTCGTCGTCGTCAGAAAGCTCTTCAACATTTTCAATAACGTCGTAACGTCTATTTGATATCATCTTAATTGTTGTGATTTACAGAATTCGTTCGTGGGTGGTGGGTTCTTATTTAGTAAAGTCAAATCCAAATACAAAATTGTGATCTCATTATTACCATAATAGGTACGCATGTCCATAAAGAAAACAAATTCTTGCTACATCGTACCATGATTCATAATTCAGGTCATTACAAATTAGTCAAGTTCAAGGCCCACCGTTAAGACATGTGTATAATGGGACGAGATTCGTTTCAAGATGTAGAAAAGATGAAGATAATGAGAGACATCCAATCCATAAAGAAATGCAAATGATGCCAAAAAAATTGCAAAGTGTCGTCTTCAATTCTACTACCGCTCAGCCGGATGATTAATTATTATGATCAAAATCTTGGTCCAAATTGACACTGAATATAATTTCATCCGAAAATATTATTCTTATTTATTTACAATTTACTTTGGTATTTAGACTATTTCGACAAATTTGGTCATCGCCTTTGTGAGTGAGTACGTTTATCACCACGATCGTTGATTGCCAAACTCTTGTATCTTGAAAACCAAGAAGTTTGCATCTTCTAACCCAACCAGCAACCACCCACGTCTCAATAAATAAAGTTACCCAGCCAGGAAACGTCGATGACATCAAGTTTCAAGACGAATAAGTTGGAATTTTCTGGCAAGGAGTGACGTAACCTGATATTCGTACGAGGTGAGTGAGATGATTCCTCCCTCCCAAGGCATGACCCACCAGCTTTTTCCCTGTGTTCAACTTGCTGCAAATGATTCACGAACCGCACTAAAAAGATGCTAAAAATAAGCAAATTTCCACTCCAGCCTCAGTCAGACGCATAGACAACTATTTAATGCATGTACATGAACTTTGGAAAAGATTTTATGAATCTCTCACTACGAGCTAAATTTAGGCTTCGTGTTGGTGTATGTACAAAGGATGAATGGCCAAGTCTTAGAATAGCGATGGCAAAAAAATGTTTGCGCAAAACGAAAGTAAGTAAATCTGTTTGCGATATTTTGTCAGAGTTATTGGAAGCAAAGTTCTTGACTCCTCGGCGAGACGGCAAAATGTTATTTACAAATTATTGGAAAACATTTGTATGGTTAAAACATCCGAAAATGTATTCACAAAATTATCCCTCCCACCATTTTGTCTGTAACCCAGTTTTTAGTTGACAATTTGACATGATTCCTACTTATGCAACTTGTCCCTGACTTTTGGAAAAATGTTCTCATTTTATATCAATTTTAAATGAGGCCACTGTAATACGTAGACGGGTTTTACGGATTGAAAATATATCGACCTAAATATTTGCGTCCTTTCTTTCTGTAATGTTCTTCATTGAAAAGAAGCAAGCAAGAATAATTGCACATGAAAATCTGGAGGAAACTCGGATTTGCTCACGTTCCAGAAAGCTCCAACTCCAGTTTTAGCTTGCCTTTCTCTACTTTCTGCGCAATATATGAGACGTGTATGAAAAGTATATGGAGCAGAAAGTACGAGAATATCCAGTAAATATACGACGTACTATTATTATACATACGTATTTATGCACGAGTTTGACCAAAACAACAATACCACGTAAGCCAAAATGCATGCGAATCATCACCGTATGCAAAACATATCTCCAACCACACACGTATCCATAAAGGCAAACTTCCTGTTATCATTTCATTTCTTACGTGAATTTAACAGACAAAAATAATCTTCTTAACCTACTGGTTAGTAAAATGCAATGATCAAATCGATGCCGCTAGATCTCGTGATCTCGTGTAATATGTTATTGTTGACTCAAACTTAAATTAGTAAATGATTCAGATTCAGATGATTCCTATGCCAAGAAATAATCCACCAACCATAAGCACCTTCTTCACCTAAACTCATGGATGTATAAGAAACTAAACTACACCAAACTGTGCAATTATTTCCAAATTATTGAGATTTTAAACCGAAATTTCATCTCAATTTAAATAAAATTGAATTGACATAAACGTATTGGCTAGTAAAATAACTAGTTAATTAAAACATGTGCTTAAAACTGCAGCATCTCATTTATTTAGCAGCACTAAATTGCACTTTCGTCATCTTTGCACAATGTTTTTGTGCGACTATGTAAATATACGTGTAGTAGATGGTAAAGGAATGGGATGGATGTTTCTCGTAAAGAGTGGCCGAAACCAGAATACGTGAGAAGTGGTTCGTATAGTCTGGAAAGTGCGAGAAGCTCGCTCGCTTTGCCATATAAAGCAACGCTGACTCACAAACCCCAACATTCACACGCTGAAAGTAACAAAGTGAACAAATCTCATCTCACTCACTACCTTTTTGAAGTGCAGAAACGTTACCATATCACTAAACTACACGATAAAAAGTGATTTATATATTTTTAAAAATTTCGTCTTTCAAATAAGTGATTTTGGAAAAAATTATTAAAAATAAACTCCGAATTTCTACAATATTTGGATCGTTTTCAACTGGTAAGTGCTTATTTTACATGTTTCGGGTTTAGATAAAAAGATAAGTAGCAGTTTGTAGAAAATTGAATTTCAAACTTGAACATTTTCTAATTTGTTACTTCCAGAATTCACATAATAAATAAAAATGGTGCAAAAACGAGCCATCGGAATCGACTTGGGTACCACGTACTCCTGCGTTGGTGTCTGGCAGAATGGAAAAGTTGAGATCATCGCCAACGACCAGGGGAACAGGACGACGCCCTCATACGTCGCCTTCAACGACACGGAACGACTGGTCGGAGACGCTGCCAAAAATCAAGTCGCGATGAACCCACAAAATACCATTTTCGACGCGAAACGTCTCATCGGAAGAAAATTTGACGACCAGAACGCCCAAGCGGACATGAAGCATTGGCCATTCAAAGTGGTCAACAGCGGGGGCAAGCCGCAGTTTGAGGTGGAATTCAAGGGGGAGATGAAGCGCTTCATGCCGGAAGAGATCAGTTCCATGGTTCTCACGAAGATGAAGGAGACGGCGGAAGCTTATCTTGGGACGAAGGTCACCGACGCTGTCGTCACTGTTCCAGCCTATTTTAACGACTCGCAACGTCAAGCCACAAAAGATGCCGGAGTCATTGCGGGATTGAACGTGCTTCGAATTATTAATGAACCTACGGCTGCCGCGTTGGCGTATGGCTTGGATAAAAACTTGAAGGGGGAGCGAAACGTCCTCATCTTTGACCTGGGTGGTGGAACTTTTGATGTTTCGATTCTGACGATTGATGAAGGGAGCTTGTTCGAAGTTAAATCAACGGTAAGGATTTTTTTATGATGTAGAATTATAATTTCAAATCGGAAAGAGTGTGGAGATTTGGTACTTATTTGTATTTTTATTTATATTGAATTACAGAACGGAGACACCCATTTGGGAGGTGAGGACTTTGACAACAGAATGGTCACCCACTTCTGTGACGAGTTCAAGCGCAAATTCAAAAAGGATTTGAACACCAATCCCCGAGCACTACGACGACTTCGAACCGCTTGCGAGAGGGCGAAAAGAACCCTTTCCTCATCCACGGAGGCTTCCATCGAAATCGACTCGCTCCAAGACGGAATTGATTTTTACAGCAAGATCTCCCGAGCCCGATTTGAAGAACTTTGCATGGACATGTTCCGTGGCACCCTGGAACCAGTTTCAAAGGCACTGAATGATGCAAAAATGGACAAATCTCAAATCCACGATGTCGTCTTGGTCGGAGGATCTACTAGGATTCCCAAGATCCAAAAAATGCTCCAGGATTTCTTCAACGGGAAAGAACTCAACAAGTCCATCAACCCGGATGAAGCTGTCGCTTACGGTGCCGCAGTCCAGGCCGCTATTCTGTCTGGAGATCAGAGTTCACAAATCCAAGACGTTCTTTTGGTCGACGTAGCTCCACTCTCCCTCGGAATTGAAACCGCTGGAGGAGTCATGACCAAAATCATTGAGCGAAACTCCCGAATTCCATGCAAACAAGCCCAAACTTTCACCACCTACTCGGACAACCAGCCAGCCGTCTCGATCCAAGTCTTTGAGGGTGAAAGGGCCATGACGAAAGATAACCATCTCTTGGGCACCTTCAATCTCGGCGGAATTGCCCCAGCACCGCGTGGAGTTCCACAAATCGAAGTCACATTCGACATTGACGCCAACGGGATTATGAACGTGTCCGCTGCGGACAAGGGGAGTGGAAAGACGGAAAAGATCACCATCAAGAATGACAAGGGTCGTCTGTCCAAGGAAGAAATCGACAGAATGCTGTCAGACGCAGAAAAGTATGCGCAAGAAGATGCCAAACAGAAGGAGAAAGTCCAGGCCCGAAACCAACTGGAGAGCTACGTCTTTGGGGTCAAACAAGCCGTGGAGGAGGCGTCCGCTGATAAACTTCCTGAAGCTGATAAGAAGAAAGTTATCGCGAAATGCCAAGAAACCTTGAAATGGTTGGATAACAATTTGCTAGCAGAGAAAGAAGAATACGAGTTCAAGTTGAAGGAGGTGGAGACCGAGTGCAAACCGATCATGATGAAGATGCATGGAGGCGAAGCTGGTGGTGCTCCTGGTGGTGGTCCACAGGGTCGAGGAGGACCTGGAGGACCAACGGTTGAAGAAGTGGATTAAGGATAAGCACTTATCTTTCTCATCAACCTCCAAACAAAAGACTGGCTAGTATTTTATAATTTCTCATTACTTAATCTCTGAACTTACCACGTAAAAAAATAGTCATGCAATAAGCACACTTACCATATATTAGTGTGTAAGGAATAATATGGGTTCAGTATTTCTCGATAAGCTATTTATTTATTTTAATGTACAAAAGCAATAAATTAGTCAAATTGTACAAGTATTATTTCAAATGAATTTGTGAAATTTTTCTGTTAGGAAATTTCGAATTAAAAAAAAAGAACTCCCACAATGTTTAGATTTAAGTTTTGAAATGTATGATGTTAAAAAATTAAATGCAAGCAAATGAAATAAACGTACATTGAACAAAAAATAAACCAAACTTGTCTTGTCCATGCATATTTTGGAAAAATTTAAAAATTTAGCATATTCATATTTCATATTCATTCAAAATCATTTCATGTCATAATTGCAATACTCCAAACAGCACTGTATTCATGTAGTATTTATTCATTAGTAATCATCTTCACAGTCGTTGTTACATGTGACATAGCATCTGTTTATTTATATTAAAGCACTACAGAACTTTATTTAATGATATCACAGGATTACATCCATAATAAATTAGGTGAATATATCTAAAGGTATTATCGTACTCTTAATTAACAAGCATAGAATGTTTCACAGTTGGTTTGCTGCTACTAAAATTATTTTGGAGAAATGGATTACCAGACTTGGAAATGTAGCGAGAATACACGGACATGTCTCTTGGTCCTGGTTTCGTAGCACCTTCCTTCCCTCTTCTGACATAGTTTTTGTAAATATCCCTTGAAATCTGGGGACGAGATAAATAAGATTGGTCAATAATACGAATATGTCGGGTGAGAAATATCATTATCTAATTATTGCATACTCGAGACACTGTGGGTGGAGTCACACTAAAGGCACTGTCCTTTGAGAATGCGCTCAATGGAAGAATTGACGGGGATTTACACTTTGACGGACCTGGGGATAACATCTTCGACTCCATTTGACAAGTTTGCAAGTTGACAAACCTATAAAAAATAATTATGAAGGAGTTGAATATTTTACCAACATTTCATTTCAAATGAACCTTTTATAGAGCATGATATCAGATTTTCTAGGAGACTTGACTTCAACACCATACGAATCTTTCATAGTTCCAAAAATCCTTGAAAATGCTAGATTTCTATTCTGACTTCCGGCACCCGTGTTTAACGTAACATTCATGCTGGCCATGCTGGAGCTCATGTCTTCACTGCTTGAATAATTAACCGGATTAAATATTTGCAGAGTGAATTGCATACTTATTTTTCATGTGCGTATATTTAACAAGTAATAATTTTCATGGCAGACCGGAGGTGAACCCCCCAAAACCCCACCTCACGAGGAGTTAACCCCCATCCGTTCTGGAACTACGCGCACATTATTTCACAACAAGAAACGAAAACGTATTTTCAGTATTTGCACGCAGCAAGAAAGCTCACTGATCTCACTCACTCACTCCGCTGTGAATTAATTCCACTACCACTCATAAAAGTAAACAAATATTCTTCTCTCCGCCCACACTCTGAACGTGAATAAATTAGTAAAATTAGTATTACTTAAAAGTTGGACATGGCACCCATTTTCAAGAAGCTGCGAAAAAGAGTGAAAGCAAAGAGTGAAGCTTTCGAAGTGGCAAAAAAAAAAATAAGCACGCGTGCGACATATGCAACGAAACTTTTCCATGTCCTTCTCGACTTGAAATTCATCGAAAAAGACACTTGAATATGAAGGAATTCGCTTGTGACAAGTGCAGCAAAATGTTTGTCACAGAGAGTGAGCTGACAAGTCATCAGTTGACCCATTCCGATGAGAGAAAGTTTGAGTGTGTAGTTTGTGGGGTAAAGTTTAAAAGGTTTGTCTCTTATTATTCATGTAATTTCGTATTATTGACTGTTTGATTAACCTAACCATTCTTTGACTAACTTTAGAAATTCTGAACTCCTTCGGCACATGAGGGTACAACATCCCGGATCCAGCCAGATTGAAAGTAATGTTTAGTTAATGTTTTTCTAATTTATAAATTACCACAATAATCGTTATCTGTATTTTTGTGTTATGTAGAAACAATTATTAGGCGGGAAAACTTTTACGAAGATTTCGAAATAGAGACTACTGGTGATGAATTGGTGACGACGTGCATAATTTGCAGATTCGTGGCAAGTAATCAGACGTCGATGCAACATCATACCAGGAGAGGACATGTCGCCATTCCCACACACGTTTACGCAGACGGTGATGGTTGCAAAATTATTACAAGAGCATTTAAACCTGAAGATTATTATGGTAAACAAACTTTATAAAATATCTACGGTTCCATATATATTTACCTCGTTTTTATTGTTGGTTGCAGAGAGTAATGGCGGATTACACAAAATAATAATCAAAATATGGATGAACGACAACACGATCGGTCTGAGTATTAGTAAAACTACGTATGGAGACGAGGTTCGTGCCGCCCAGAAAAACAAAACTGACATGAAAAGTGCCGGGCGGCACAACACCACCATGCTGAAGAAGGCTTGCTCATCGAGGGTCCTCCTCCCAGAAGGATATGAGGTGATTTGTGAGGAAACAAGGGTCGTCCCCATCCACCCTTTTCAAGGAACTTTGTGCAGTTCGAACGGGAAGTGGACAGTTCGCAACATTCTTCAAAAAGTGTGCGTGGACACGTTTATGCCCCCAGAAGCTCTGACGTATTTTGAAGAAGATGAACTCGACATCATCATCAAAGCAGTGGAAGAGTTGAAGAACTCGTTGGTTATTGGGGACCGTGAACTAGTCTTTATAGACGAAGCAGAAGAAGGGGATCGACCACTGGGCAACCCGATTCTCGGGGCAAAGATTGAACAAGGGACTTCCACAATTTGCAAATTGGAGGAAGACCTGCATCAGGCCTCGCTTCGTGAAGAAAAGTTGCTCAAAGAGAAGGAGGATGACATGAAGGAGAAGAACAAATTGCGGTCTCAGTTGGAGGATGAGAAAAAAGCTCACAATGAGACAAAACAAATGGTAAGTCAACTCTCCTTATTTTCAAATCTAAAATTAGTAATTTGTATTGTATTCATTGTACTGTAATGAATTTGAATAATTAGTTGGTGGCGATGAAACGAGAACGAGCTTTGTTGCTGCGTGCAAATTCTGCAAAGAGGAATGAGGACCGTGTTCCCCTCTCAAACGCCACCAACTCACCGGTGAAGAGGAAGAAATGACATAATCTTTCTTGAAATTATCATTTTTTGTTGTGTTCAGTCATTAGACATAAATAATTAAAGAAAACCTTTTTTGAGTGCTGTCGTAATATCGCCTTGCTTATATTCCTGCCTTTGAATCATGCATTCAGTGTTGGGTCATGCATGAAACATGTTCACATTTGGTCACATTACATGAGACTTAGAATTTTTTATTTAATACCTAAAGCATGACCTGAGTACAATTGGCGGAACAACAGGAACGAAATTCCAATCTTTGGGAACGTATCCAGAGTGGATGTCTTCACTAGAGTAGTCCGTCTCGGAACTAGAACAACAATTAAAAATTATACTTAAAAGTACTTATCTAGTAATCTGATATTATTAGACGTAATTACCTCGTAGTAGAATTTGTACTTGCAGCAGAACTTAGCCCCATAATGGATGGGTTTTTGAAAGACAAAAGTTTTGCTGATTTCTTATTGGAACTTTCCTCTTGTCTCTTGCCTGGACAAAAGCCGATATAGTGATAACCTGGCAATTACTTTTTCTCTCTTTCTCATAATAAACTTGTAATTATCAAACTTGCCTGGTCGAATTCTTACTGCAAATGGACTGAAATTTGTAGTAAAATTTGGCATGAAATCACGGATGGAATGGCTCACTTTGAATGCATACATGTCTAGGAAAAACAAATTGTATTAATTTCATATATACTACTATTGCATAAATAAATATCAACCTGAAAGTGGAATGAAAAACTTTGGTCTATACAAATCTGAATATGGGTCAATATCTTCCCAGTCTTCACATGGAAGTAAAATTGAAGTCTTTTGTGTTTCATAAACAGCAAACGGCAATGATGCCAAGGCACTATCAGGAAACCACTCTGTAAGTCTACGGAACAAAGAAAAGTTATTTTAGAGTTAAGTTTAAGATACATTTTAAATTAAAGGGTGAGTTGACTAACTGTCTCAGTTTATCATTTTTGTTAGTAAATCGAAGTTCCATCTTTAAATGTAAATGAAGATCGTTTTCCAGTGACCACAACGGAATAGTTTCGTTGAAAGGTTGATACATTCCCAGAAATAGATTTATTGCGTTCTGCTTATCAGCATCTAAATCGTTACAAGCACAATATGTTAAGAGTCATACTAACCAGAAAAAAACAATTTTTGAGAATATAACAAACCTGAGAATGTGTTTGAATAGTATCGCGAAAGAGTTTGCATAATATCATTTCCTGAAACAAAATTTCAATTTATTATTATCCTGTTATAACTATTAAAGCTCACTGGATGATTTTGTGAATCACCTTGTGAAGTCCAAGGTGCGGTTTTCCGGTAAGTATTAATCCGATGAACAAGCTGAGAACCACCGTATTGTAATGCTAAGGTGTCGCCGTGGTCTTCATACAATTCTTCCAACATTCGTATCGCATCTGATTCAAACTCTAACTCCCAATTAGAACTGACAACCCCAAGTGCTCGTAACTAAAAGAATGGAAATTACACATAAATAATTTTTCTGAGGAAAATACTTAGTTAATTTTTGCAAAACAAACCTGATGAGCTAAGGCACATTTTCCAAGAGCGAATTGAGCAGTATTAGTACGATCCAAACAATCCACACAATTTATCCTAACAATCCCAGTCTGCAATCTTCCATACAGGCAACCGTCATAAACCAAATTATTCTGGAGTGCGGGATAAAAAATTATAATGACTGAAAAACATAGCGATTGACAAGACAAATTATGAATATACCATTGTTTTCTTTGTTGAGGTAACACACGCCTCAAGGGGTTGATGAGTCATAAAAAATCCTGTTTTGCAGAAAACTTGTTCAGAAATACCTGCAAGTTTTGATAGGACGTTCTTTTCTTTCCTATATAACAAGAGTTTTAAGTACGGATAAACCTCGACATGAGGAAAATTATGCAGAATTTACATTTTGTTTGTTCGAGCCATATCGAATCCCACATAAATTATGCGATGTTTAGGAGGCAGGAACTGATTTAATGTCCTTATTGCCGAAGTGTACTCCTCTGTAAGGATACTTTCATGTTTTTTACGCTCTCGTTTCTTGACTAGATTCACAACCACCAAAGGGCTACCAAATCGACAAATTAGTTCTCCAAAGTGTTTTCCTATAATTAGCACAACCCAATTCAGGAAATAACATATTTGAATTATTAGCAAATTCCAATATACCTGCAGTTTCTGCATAAGGATCTGCTAAATCTATTCCGATCGGTGGTTTTGGAACCATTTTGGCAATATCTTGACTCCAGTGAGCTGGAATAGATCCACGCATTTGCACAAATGATGTAAAGCGTCCTTTCGTAAAGCTAGAAACACTTGAATCAAAAACAATCTGCTCAGTTTCTACTTCATTGGCAACGTCTCCCTAAGACAGAATTAATTGTTATCCTTATTTTTTATAAACCGTTGAATAGATCAATATACTTGGAAATTTGCCCCCCTTTTCAAGAATCGTGTCCCTGCATAGGTTGCAGATCGCCTTGCTATCAATGTCAAGTAAATTGTTTTTCCATAAACACAAACACTTGATTGTCCCACAAACCCATGGACTACGGGAAGCAACCAGTTCGGATGCAATATCCCTTCCATTGGTTCCAACAATTTAGCGTTCCAAACATATTTCTTGTTAATTTGATTGCTAACGGCATACCCAGCTCTGCAACATAACCCAAGGTAAAGGACTTAGAAATTTCAAATTATGTATTTAGCTAGTTTTGTATACATTTCTAACTAATTAACTCACATTAGCTCTGGATTCTGCGCTTTATTTCCTGGGACAACATTTTGTGGAGGAGTAATATTATGCTGTAAGCTATTGGTCAGATCATAACTGTACCTAAAATATGAATAAGAATTTGTAGTACACACATTACAATTTTAGTTATCTGTATTTCTCGTCGTCACTTACGTGAAATAGAAATTACTCGACAAATCTATGCTTTGAAATAGCTTTAAGTATCTAATTTCATCCGGATTCTTAGATGGTCCATCCGAGGGAATGTACAGACAGGCAGTATCCTCAATCTTATAAATGGAATGGTACCCAACGGTCGCAATTTTTCTCCTTTTCGTCACCAGAATGACATAATAACCTTCCAAAAATCGGACAAAGCCCACAATTCCAAAAGCCGAAACTGCCCTTACGAGACCCGCAGGATTTTTGGGTTTATTTACACAAGCGATGGTCGCCAAAAGCTCCTTCATCTCCTTCGAAGTGTATCTCGCCTGATCTTCTACTACGACCAACTCCTTCGATTCTGTCCGGTCAATCTTTAGAATCCGGAACTTTGTTTCCGTTTGGTTCGATCTGAGAAGGATGTGAAAATAAACTTGCTTTATAAACTGCTGATTTTGAATATTAAATAGTGCGTGGCAGAGCATAAGCGAGAAGTTTACAAAAGTATATTAAAATAAAATGTGACTGACCCAACCAGAAAAAATCTCTGAAATTAAACAACCATAGTACAATATTAGTTAATTTGTATTCATTAAGGCTCACAATTAAGTTTGTTAAATTCTTACATTTCTAGTCTCGTACAATACCATTTTTTGAATAGGGATGAAATAAGGTCTGTAAACTTCTTTTGTTGTGGGGAGCTCCATTGTATATTTTTACACCAATCTAATTAGAATTACAGATCACTAATTGGTCACACTAAATTGTTCAACTATTAACTAGCAATTATATAATGTCATATTTTGCTAAAAAGTGAAAATTCCCTGTTTTTATTTACTTGTCATTTGTGTTTGTTATTATATTGGCGAATATCATATGGGCGAGAAGAAAATCGCGGCTAGTCTCACTCACTATTCCGTACACGTCATTTCACCGCATCAAAATATTCAATAATTTCAATATTTCCACAAATTTGACAGAAACTTATTTCGATTGAAACTTGGATTGGAAATAGTCAAAGATGGACAGTTCATTACTGGTGGGTTAACTATTACAAGTCATTATTTTGCATAAGTTTTAGTCGAAATTTCTAATTTTCTTAAATAACTTAGATGATAAATTATCATTGGTAATTAATAAAATAATTAATATGTTATGACACCCTTGCAGGATCCTACCCTGTACATTGTGAAGGGGATGGTGATAATGGACAATGACGGAAATCGCCTCCTTGCAAAGTATTTTGATTCCGTCAATTTCCCGTCGGTCAAGGAGCAAAAGACGTTTGAGAAAAATCTGTTTCAAAAAACACATCGGGCCAACTCTGAAGTTATCATGTTGGACGGACTCACCGTTGTTTATAAGAGCAATGTCGACCTATTCTTTTATGTGATGGGATCGTGTAATGACAACGAGGTAGATTTTTAATTGTGATTATGCATCTATATTTTTATTAGCTATTACTTATTTAATAAATTACACATATTCTATTTGTAGCTCATCCTGATGACCGTGTTGCATTGCATGTACGACGCTGTAAGCCAAATTCTGAGAAAAAATGTGGAAAAGAGGAATCTGTTGGAAAATTTGGACGTCGTAATGTTGGCTATGGATGAAATCTGCGATGGAGGGTATTCATTCGTAATTTAAAATAAGTTGTAACAAACCAGCCAACTAATTAGTTTGAATTTTAGAATTATTCTGGAAGCGGATCCAAGTGCAGTTTGTCAAAGAGTAGCTTTGCGGGGCGATGACATTCCGATCGGGGAGCAGACCGTTGCTCAAGTGAGATATTCAAATTAAAGTATTTAAAAGGTTGTGCCTTGATTTTGTGCGAATTCGATAATTTATAAAGTATTTTTCGTTACAGGTATTGCAAACGGCAAAGGAACAATTAAAATGGAGTTTGTTAAAATAAAATTGCATGCACGTCTATAAAATAAGTTCGTAAGGTACTTTTATTTTGTAATTGGGTATATTTAAGTATCACAATTAAAATGAATTAAATTTATAATACAACTTGTCATTCGTATTTTGTTTCCCATCTCCATAAACTAGTGTAATCTGCATCTATGGATGGATGACTATTGCCATCAATTTCTTAACCATATAATAAATAATTATCATAATTAAGGTCAAGGACTATGAGCTAATAGAGCTGAACGGAATGTCTGCAATTGCGAATTCAACGCAACGTTCGTTACCTGTTTTTAGCCAAAATCTCAGCATGAGACACATCTCTAGCAGAATTTATCCAATAAAGCAATGCACTTTCCAGGCACTCGAAAACAATAATGAAATGCAACTCAGTCTCATGAATATTAAACGTTCACGATTAGGTTGTTGTTTTCCATATTATTCTCATTGTTTCATATTGGCAAACTTATTAGCAAATATTTCCCCACCTTCCCAACACACAATCAAAATCAACGTGTAAGGTTAATCATTTTTCTCATGCAATATCGATATGACGAAAGATGTCTCTCCAGAAGAAATATTTATTGGGACCGTGCCCTTTGGATGCTTTCTGTGTGTACATTAAGACTTTGTCGAGTGTACATCGTTCTGCCGTTGACTGAGTATTTTTTCGAAGTAGCACCTTTTACATTTTTCTACAATGGGGACCCATCAAACGAGTATTAGTTGTGTTTTGGCATCGCCAAAGAATATAATTTTACTTGCACTGGGATTAATGTTAGTAATTGAAGTCTCGGTTGGATTGCCTGTCCTCAGTTCGTCGAATTCAGATAATCAGCAGATACAGACATCTTCTCATCGAATGGTGAAGGGACAACGAAACGCTAATCTGCCTCGAAATAAGACGAAACTTTACAATGATGGTAAATAAAAGACGTGATTCTATTAATTTTTTGAGGAAAATTACACAAGACAAGATTTCGTATTTAGGTACGGCACACTCCAAGGACTACTTTATCGATGATGATATGCTCTTTTTGACACGAACTAAGCAAAATCGTGCCGGACAATCCAAAGAGTCGTATCGCTGGCCTGCCGGTCGTATTCCGTTCACGTTTGCTCCTGGTTATTGTAAGTTTAAATTCATAATTTGGATAATCTATGAAAAACATGCCATAATTTTTTTCTGATTTCTAAAGCTGACGAAGAAATGAAACAAATTTACTACACCATGAAGCACATTGAGACGGTAAGTAATTGAAAAGCAATAGCATTGTACCAGATAGGGTTTTAAACCTCATAAGCATATTTTTCTTACAGTACACATGCGTCCGATTTGTATTCAGAACGGAAAGTGATGAGAATTTCCTGTACTTAAGAAATGTCGAAGGAAAGTGTCAATCGTTCGTCGGGAATGTGAGACGAGGAGCACAAGTACCTAAGATTTTTTTTACTCTTTAGTGCTTAAAATTCAAGTGAGACTATAATTTATATCCACTTTTATTGTATTCTTTCAGCAAGTCGCATTGGACCCTGAATCCAGAAACTGTGCCTTTCCAAACTTTCCAGGCCATGTATTACACGAGTTGATCCACGCAATTGGATTTTTCCACGAACATGCCCGAGATGACAGGGACAATTATATTGAGATCATGTATGAGAATTTATCCGAAGGTGGGTTTTACATAAAAATTATGAAACGCAATATTAACCAAAAACATGTTTAGCTAAATGACAAAAAATATTCCTTTATTAGACGACGACGTACTCAGGAACTTTTACAAAAACTCCGATTCAGGTACTCCTGCTTCTTTGATCAATCTCTTAATTCCGAATATAGGATCGGTTAACAGAGGCGCGTATTTATTTCCTAAAATATCCCAATTTTCTACAAGAAATAGAACATTGGAGAATTTAACAGAAAGAGTACAAAAGTAATGAAGGTAATTAAATGATATCTATAATTTTAATTATACAGATAGAGCCACCGAATTTTATGGTGTCCCCTACAATTACGGGAGCATAATGCACTATTCTGAAAGGGCTGGTTCGACAAACGGAGAAAATACGATTACCAGAAGGGTAAAAATTATACGTATTTAGTAATAACTTATTTTAAACAATTCTCGAATTTCTCGACTGAACATGTGTTTACTTATTACTCACAGAGCCCGGTACCCACAGGCGTTCCAAAACCATTTGAAGGCGAAATGGGACAGCGAGAGCGTCTCTCTGAAGGCGATGTTCTCATGATTCGTAACATGTACAAGGACTTGTGCCCAGGTAAACTTTTTTATATCCACACCGATTTAAATATTTTATATTCAATTATAATAATCGTGTAATATTTTTGTATAGAAAATGCTAAAGTTTCACACGGAGCGATTCCTGCAAAATTCCCCGACGTCTTGGATTGGGTTGTTGAACAAGATCGTGGCGACGCAATTAATTTTCCTGTAGAATCCGTGACGGAAGATGATGACGATGATGACGACTATGATTACTCATTGAGTGACAAAGGGAGGAAGAAAACGAACAGTAGATTTAGATAAAGCGATAAATTGGTATGCTAGAAAATGTTAAGTTTGTGTTCCCCAATTTTCTCAAATCTCTTGTAAATAAGTATTGCTTTATTAGTGTTTGTACTTTGTCAAACTTTTACAAATAAGTATATTGTTAAATTTAGACATAAAATGACCTAGGTCTAACAAGTACCTGCTACACATATAGTTGTCATTCTATCTTAATAAGAGTCTAGGAAATGAGATCATTAAACCCATATCGTAAAGATTTTTGCCTTGTGAGACATTCATATTCTTGACAGGACTTCAATAAAAACCAGTTAGTCAGAACGTTTAAACATTTGAAGGTTGGTACTGATGAGATTCCGCCTCACGTTCCAATTCTACAATCTCATTTTCGAAAGCTTCCTTCAGAATTTGCACATCTTGTTCAGACGCTACTGCTGCGTCCGCGACCATGGTCAACCGAATTTTTCCACAATATGAGACGAAACAGAAGGCAAATCCTAAATCAAATATGCATTATAAATCATTATTATAATTACCCATCACCATTTTATTATGTGTGCAATCCCACCTGTTTTATTCTTGATGGGCAAAAAACCAGCCACGTCCATCAATATATCACCCTCAAACAAATATCCTGGAATGCTGGGTCCTGGAATATTGGACGTCAGAACGGTGAATTCTCTCGAATCTGTCAAGTTTTGTGACCAATCGGCAGGCAGCGTTCCAATGAATCTGAGCAGCAGGCTATTCAACAAAATAAGCGGAGACGTTGTTATTTCCTTCAACGTCCTGTCAGTTTCTCGAACTCGGTCCAATCTGCTTTCCACACCTCCTACACGAAGAGGGAAAAAGGCTCCGGAAAACCGATTCTGCGGCTTCAAGTTTGGATAAGGTAACATTGGAATGGAGGTCAACCCTGTAATTTCTCTCGGGACGGGACGCACCCCTTTAATTTCAGCCAGTCTGAGAAATGCGCCCCCAACGGCGGCATTAAGGACGGCATTTGTACCAAAACATTTGCTCTTGGACCCATCACCTCCACAGGATCGAATTTTTCTCAGACTTTCAATCGTAAAGTGGTTCGTCCAAGTGATGATCTTCTTGTTGCTTAATGCCGGCCCATGAAAGCAATTTGATTCAGAAGGAAGTCCAACGCTCTCGTACATCAATTTAGGCCAGACAAATAATAGCTTCAAAAATGTCCAGAACTTGAGATAGAGTGGGATTGGGAGTGGTTTTAAGGGATTGAAGGGCATCGATTTCGCCACATCGACCCCAACATCTGCGAGAGCTTGTGAGATCAGGAGGTACATTGAGATCCCGTCCATAATGGAGTGATGCACCCTAAAGATTACGGCGTACTGAGGAATCTCATCATTCAGATTATCCGTCTCATAGCTAAACTTGGTCACTAAGTTAACCTCCCAGCGTGGCTTATCAATCTGCATGCCACAACTGTAAAATTCACTTAGTTTTTCAAAAACTTGCTTTTCGGTGAAAGCAGCTTCCTTGATCTCTAGCGTGTTATTATTAAGACCGGGAAAGATTCTGAGATTATTGTTCTCCACAAGTTTCACATGTTCTTCCAAGCGGAACTCTTCCGGTGAAAGTATTTCCCAGCAGTAAAATCCAAACTTTTTCACGACACGGCACCTCAACTTCTCGTACGTCACGTTGTTTATCACTTTGTCGGAAAGTGCCTTCTTGATTTTGCCCAGGTCTCCTGCTCCCTTCAGGATTAGCAAGGTGTAAGTCTCAAGCAGATTGTTGGGTCGGTCAAAAATTTGGAAGGAATCCATGCATTGGACTAATTTCACCGTGTTGTTGGTTCTCACTCGTAAATAAAGCGAGATCAGGAGGCGAGCAGTGCACATGAGAAATGCCACCACTAGAAGGACTGGGGTCAAGAAAAGTGACACCAATGTGGAGAGGCAATAGATGACAAATATTCTGGTTTGGGGGAAACTTGTATTATTTTTCGCAGGGGACGACATGATGGTCAAACGTATTACTGATAAAATTTTCTTGTTGAGCGTATCATTTCTAAAATCCGACTGGACTGCACAACCCGGGTTTCGCAATCCAATGTGCGAACTTATTTTGCGAGCTATAGTTTTGACATTGAAAAACCTCAGCTGAGATATAATGGTAGTTCAGGCTTATATATGAAGGTCGTGGACAAAGAAAATGCGTGTATTCGTCTAGATTAGATAGGACTTGCATGCGAAATAAAATATCTCTCTTGCATGTTCCAGTTATGTAATAAGAACTGAACAAACCAAAATGCTACGAAGTGATGAAATATGTACAAAGGAGTTTTGTGAAAGCTTGATTTGGCCTTTGTTTCAATTGTCTATGTACGCAACTAACTTATGGAGGATTCCTGATGGATATATGGGCTTAAACTTATGCAGTAAACATGACAATTTGCATTCTTATGGGTTGACTAACATTATTGGTTGATATTAAGCAAGTTGTTGTACCTATAAAACGGTAAAACGTGTGAATTGACTTGAGAGATGATAGGGCAGGGCCAAACCAAACATGTCGTTTCGTAGGTGCGATATGTATGACGATGAATCATAAACTTCCTTTTGTGAAGGCATTTGAACTTTACATATTCATAATTGATACAAAAGATTTTCTGTGTTCCATGGGGCTCATATCACTCGCATGAATTTTATATTTCAGTAATATCAGTATGTTCAGACGTGTAAAATAATAATTGGGAATTAAGCACTCTTCGTGACAATTTTTCTGAGGAGATTGGATTGAAATTGGAAAAGTTTGGTATAAAAGAGTATACAAAGTATAAAAAACCTATCAGTACAGCTGTGCTTAGCCCGAACCAGGAATGATTAGTAAACCCATGTTTGTCAGTAGTTTTCTATGAAATTATGTGCTACTATTTTGCACTAATTCTTCCATCAATCCTTCGTATTACTAGGGTCCAAATTCTAAAAAGATTTACTATCCCTTCCCTTGACTACTTCCTAGTGGAGGTCGTCTCTATAGCCCCCCTGGTTAATTTTTGTTCATATTTAACTTCATGTTATTTCGTAAAAAAGCAGTATGGATCTCTGGTCCAAATTTCAGCTTTCTATGTTAATTTCTGAAAATCGGTGGGGATCACCCCATAGGGTCCCTCTAAATGAAAATTTTACCAATTTCACTTCATATTCTTCCATTATGGGCCATTAGCAGCCTCTATACCAAATTTCAGCTCGATTGGATGATTTTGAAAAATCGGTATGGGTCACCCCCTCGGCCACCTCAGGTTGAATAATTTTCCAATTTCACTTCATATTATTTCATTTGGAGCCATTAGCAACCTCTGTACCAAATTTCAGCTTTCTACGACCATTCTGAAATTTTGGTGCATCAAACCCCACCCACTCCGATGACCCCCACCGGTCAACCACTGGACCAATGTCACCCATCTTCGAACTCGTTTCCTAACTATGTCCAATATGCATATGGTAAAAATTTCAAGTCAATCGGTCAACTCGTTCGAGAGTTATCGAAAGACAGACGGACAGACAGACAGACAGACAGACAGACAGACAGACAGACAGACAGACAGACGGACAGACAGACAGACGGACATGACAATTACATAAGCCCTGGTTCGGGCTCAAATGTATTTGTGCTTCAAAGCCAAACGGGCAGTATGGGAAATGATAATACATACTTATCGATTTATTGATCCGTGTTCAACACGACTGGATTTGGATTTGGATATTTTGATTATCTGTAAATGTAGGCAAGAAATGTGTGCCTGCATACTTGACAAATTGACATTACATGCTATTTACAAATTATTATGAATGTTTGAATACACAAATGGGGAAGATTTGATAAATTGGTGACTTCTTTTATCCATAAGTCTCGACATTGCCCCACTTTCGACAAAAGATGGTTAAACTAGGTCAGGGCTATGAAATATGTCAGAATCTTGGTATCAACTTATCAGCGACAAAACATTTTCGTCCGTGCTTGTAATGATTTTGCGATAAATTGAGACGGGTGAATGTTTGTGTCCGAAAGGACCGAAAGGACACTAAAACCTTGTACTTTACAGATATTGTATGTACATAAGCTTCCTCCTCAGGGCATGAGTCAGAGTTACCATAATATTTACGAAATCATGGATTAATTTAATTTTGCACCTTTATCCTTAAATCGTTACATGACTCTGGTATAGTCCGTACTAACGTTTTTATTACTACTTTTTTCATAAAAATACTGACTGATCCTGACCGGATGGGCCAGGAACAAAATCATGCAACACTCAATAATGAAGTACATCCTGCAAATTAGTCTAAATATTTATTTAATACTAGCAACTAGCAATTGTAAAAAAATTTTCCCACATTATTAGCTACGAATGAAATAACAATCCATAACTCGTGTGCGTCATTTACTCACAAAGTTAATCACAATTTATAATGGATTATTATAGAATGGGTAGGTCCCATTGTGAGACGATAATTGAGTTACTCAACAAATCCAGATCATTGTCAAGTTGATAAAATTTCCGTATCTCCAGATTTTTTTAATTAGTACTCATTGTGTCAACACGCCTAATCAAAAATATTTCTGACAAGGATATAAATAACAGGCACACACCTCAATCGTGTTTACCACTTGTAAAGTCAAACGTCTATTCCCAAATTCCTATCAATCAAATTTTCATTGTACCTTGCGACATTGTATCATTGTGAATGTCACAATATGATGTATTTAATATTTGCATGAAGTGTTATTATGCAATCAATATTTCCTAATGTTTAAGGCTTTTTTAAATGGTGAAAGTTATTAAAATTCACTTTTCCTTTATTTATTGAATTAGAAATAAATATTACTGAATAATTTAATTTATTTAACTCCATTTTTTAACCAAAAAAAATATTTTGTTTTTACTCAGTTTAATCCACCAAAAAACGTGTTATTCCACAATCTATCCCACAACTGGTAGCCTTGTAAATTAAGATGCAAATTATCAGGCTGGAAATAAAACGTATTAATTTGTTCCATCGAGATGATCAGGGAGTCGAACATGTCGAATACAATAGTCTTATTTTTTCCGTCATGAACCAGTGTCAATTCCTGATTGATTGTTAAGGTCCTGTTCAACATGGTTGGGACTGGTTGTATGTCCCCCCTTGGGTTGAGGGACATGTAGAGAACGGTGGTATTTGGCAGTCTTCGATGAATTTCATCAATTGTGGCTGTGATTCCCATCATAATTTCGGTATTGTTTGGATTTCCAATGTTATTTGATCCACAGTAAAGGACAACCATTTTTGGGTCTAATCCTTCCAATTCCCCGTTCATAACTCGCCAAAGGCAGTTTTCAATTCTATCTCCGCCGATACCGTAGTTTATAGAGCCGAGGGGAGCGTACTTTGAGTTCCAGAGGGCTTGACCTAGCATAAAATTGAGGTCAGTGGTGATTTGATAATCAAGAATTCGAGCGTCTCTTCCATTATTTTAATACCTGTTGAGGACCACTGTTCAATGCTGGAGGACCCCACAAACACGATTTCAATATTGGACGCATTTTGCTGTGACTGTCGAACAAATTGATTGTGTCGGTCCACCCACCAAGAATCTATGAGTGACGTTATTTAGCAATTAATGGGAGCCTTAAATGTTGTAAACTGCTGCAATTACGGTCCTATGTAATATCTTGATACATACAGAGTCACTTATGATAGTGATAGCGATAATATACATAAGCACAATTAGTGCAAATATTTTATATATGTATTCAGATACGACAGAATGCAGAGTTTCTAGACATTTATTTAAGATCGCAATTAATTATTTACCAGGTCGTGGTGTCGGCTCCCAGGGTTTTTGTGCCATCGTGAGCATCCCAAGAATGCCTATATATTTCGAACACAAATTAAATTACATACAAATTGACCAGCAAACTAAATGACTTAATTACCAAAATATGCGACGAGACAGGCAGCAATTCCTCTCATTTTCATATATTTATGTAGGATTAAACACTAACCAACGCCTGTATGTGTTAATTATGTTCTTCGCGTGGCTTCAAAAATGCACTGTTGTAAAGCAACGAGTTTGCATCTCAATTTATCAATTCTTGGCTCTTTCACATCCAATTGTTTATCCGAATCAATTGCAAATAATTATCTCAAGTGTTGCATACATTGAGATGAGACCCGAGGAATTTATCATTGTCGTCACAAATCAGTCCAAAATATGCACCATACTTGTAAATTATTAGCTAACAGGCTACAAATAAATTGGACGAGAAATTGGATTATGTATGAAGAGCATTGTATTTATTACACCGTATACGAATGAAATGTGCGAAAAAATGAGACTAGGAAAGGAACATTTGCACAGAGAAATATTGTCTCAATTCAAAATGCACATGAAAATGTGTCTCAATTTCCTCAACCATTTACCGGTGCAGGATCAATCTTCAACTCACAAACACCAGCAGGTTGATCATCAAAACACGTGTCTTATATTTTTGTCAAGAATTAAAATAACTACTACAATCAAAGCAATCTATAATAAAATGAGTGCCAAGAATTCGGATCACTACAGGAATAAGTTGATTTTGGCCCCTATGGTTCGAATAGGAACGTTGCCCATCAGACTGTTATCTTTGCGTTATGGTGCAGATTTGGTAAAGAATACGTTTAAATATCAATTCAATACGTGACTCACTTTCACTTTTATACAATTTCTATTATTTCGTTGATTGATTGGTGATTTAGGTATATTCAGAAGAAATTATAGACTGGAGGTTGTTGAGGTCAAAGAGAGTTAAAAATGGTACTGTGAGCTGTGACATGATTAAAATGTAATCAATTAGACTGATTTGTCTAATATTTACAGAAATGTTGGGGACAACGGAATACGTTGATGAAACAGATGGCTCCCTTGTGTTCTCTACTTGTGAAGAGGAAAAATCAAGGCTAATTTTACAAATTGGGACAAGCGACCCTGATCGAGCAGTCCAAGTTTTACTCAAAATGTAAGCCAATATAAAAGACTAATTAATAATATTGTGGCGAAATCTAAATAAAGGTTATCTTTTCAGGCAGGACCTCATTTCCGGGATCGATGTGAACATGGGGTGCCCAAAGGAATTTTCCCTCAAAGGAGGAATGGGAGCGGCCCTGCTAACCCAGCCGGAGAAAGTAAAGGCCATTCTGTCTGCTTTGGTGAAATATGCCACGATCCCTGTAACTTGCAAAATTCGAGTATTGCCAACCATTGAAGAAACGTTAGAGCTAGCGTTACTCATCCAATCTTGTGGAGTATCAGCCGTTGCAATTCATGGAAGAAATATAAATGAGAGACCTCAGCATGCAAACAGGAGTCATTTTATTAAGGCAATTGCGGAAAAATTGGAAATCCCAGTTATTGCAAAGTAAGAAATATTGAAATAATAGTTATTGAAAATTAAAGTTAATTTAAAAATTAATTTTCATTTTAGTGGTGGTTCCAAAGAAATCTCGTGTTACGAAGACATCCTTAAATTTCGAGCAGAAGCAGGCGCATCAAGTGTTATGGTAGCTCGTGCCGGTGAATGGAACCCTTCGATATTCAGGCCCGAAGGAAAATTGGACATTGAGATTATCATCAAAGCCTTCATCAAAGAATCAATCCTATCCGACAATCCATTTCAGCATACAAAGTACACGATCCAAAATATTCTAAGAGATTTGCAAGAAACGCCGAGAGGACGAGTGTTCTTATCTAGTCAAACAATGAACGAGCTTTGGTGAGCAATTTTCAGATTCATTTAATTTGTTTGCTATTCGACTCTAATTTTATTATCATTTGTTTCATCAGTGATATTTGGGAACTACAAGATTTCTACAAAGATACAAAATTAAAATGGGAAGAATTCAAAAAGAAACACAAACGTCCGGCAGATGAAGATATAAAAGATCCCAAGAAACCAAAATTAGATATGCCATTCGATAAGTCTATAATTTGTGTACCTGACTGTGAATTTATTCGAAAGCATTACAGCACAAATGAATCCCTCCCAAAATCAATATTACTTAAATGGACTATCAAGGAGAGTTTCGGTGTACCAAAATATTCCATGGAATGCTCAGATAAAAAATTCCTCGCGATTGTAGAAGTCGGTGGTAGAAAATTTATGACTGATGTTTGGGAGAAAAGTAAAAAGCTCGCAGAACAAGGTGCTGCATTTGCGTGTTGTAGATACTTGAAATTAATGGAAAAGAAGATTTTTTGACTTATTATTTTGACTATGTATAGGATATTTTTAAAATCATTTTTGCAATATGTATGTACTCCTTTTAAGACAGTTTTGTCCTTATTAATAATTAAATGCAAGTCGAACAACTCATATTCTCCATGTTATGCAGTGTCACTTGTCAGAAATGAGTCATGGAAAGCGTCCCATCAAAATCACGCGTATTAAACAATGCTAAAATAACTTTCATACATACGTCCTCTCGCAATAATCCGTAATACTTGTCATGAAATCCGAGTGTATGTAATATAACGTAACGTAAAACATGTAACTCTTTTTTAGCCTCGTAACAAAGCCATATTACATTATAGAATATTGCATCAACCCTTTTGCTTTCAGCTATGCCTGGCCGTTTACTTACACACTCCTCCTTCCAGGAGTGGTACACAGGTTGATACAAACCCAGCACAATAGGCACCTGTGCTAAACTCGTCTAAAAAAGTATTGGAGGTATTGCTGCTAGCATTCATTATTACACACACACTACGGCAAGTTTCTATGCTTCGAATGAGTAATCCGTTATTACCAAAAGGAAAAGCACAGACAGGTGTGTTAAACTGTCCCCGTGAAGTTTACATTTAGGAAACCCTGTATAATAATCGGTTTACAGTTTAAATCCGTTTAAAAAACATGATTTAATTAAGCATTTGACCACTTTGAGCAGTAATTATAGCATTTTCTGCCGCAAAACACCCGATTTTTTTTGTGACAGCTTGAAGTGAAGGAAATCAGGGTGTTGTTGTCATTACGCGACACTTGCCAAATTTTCTTCTACCATGAAGAGACCCCCAAGTGCTGGAACTGCGTCGATTTACTCGCATTCCATTCACTCCGTGAGATCTGTGGGGTTGCGGTCTACCCGTTCAGTGCCAGTTCCCTGGTACAAGAAACCCTTAATTACACAGGAAGTGCTGGGATATGATGTGCAAAAACTGGCACTTTATATGGCTTTGTTTTCTCTGGTAAAATCATCCTGTTTAAAGAATTATTAGAAAATTTTTGTGAATGTATGTATGAATTTGATGCAGATTGAGAGTTTATTCACAATTGGGACTTCATGCTTTGATATCTACTGTTTGAGCGAGGCAACGCCGGGATCAAAGTAAAAATCACATCATTTAATTAGTATTTAATTTAATTATAATGATCGTACAAGAATATTATGGCGTCTAGCTTGTCTATTTACATGTTCTCTTTCTGTTCAACAGGCACTATGGCTATTACTTGATCTCATTTGATTTTGTATACGTTGGGAATCAGCATGGTATGAAAATCGTTATTCGCATCTGTATCGCATTTGGAAAATTTTGTTACGTTGCTAATAAATTTTCAGTGAGGAATGCCTTGATAACCATAGCTGTATTTTCCATGGTGGGTGGAGTAGCTCTCTTTATCACGACAATTCAACTTGTCCAAGCCTTAAGAAAGGTGCAGTGCAATAGATAGCAAATGATACTTGCGTACATAAATATGCAACATTTGTATAATGTGAAAAATATTGTGCTTATATTCCAGGAACACGAAAGGAGAATGATCCCCTGGTTGGTTTGCATGTTGGTATTTGCAATCTGGCGTGGATTAGCCTTCATATTTTTTGGTAATTATGTTATTATTATGTAATTATTACACGCCCTTAAGTCATTTATTATTTTGTATTCAATCTTAACATACTTGAAATTATCATCATTACTACTGATCTAACACCTTCGGCCCCAAATAAACATTCACTAAGAACTTCTTCATCATATAACCATGAATTATGCCCCACGATTGCTTATCTATAAAACTGGAATTTGTCTGTCGGTTGATGCAGAGGGGGTGAGGATCGGAAGAAGAGTAGTCGGCTGGGTTGATACAGTTTTTGAGTTTTAAGAGAGATGCGATTAGGGCACACATATGTAAATGAAACTCCCATTTATACCGCTCCTTCTCTAGAACTAATCCAATGGGAATAATCTTGTAGTCCGGGTGGTTTCCTTTGTTACCTTTGTAGTCCATTACAGGGTCTCTACCGCTAGAAATGGTATGAACAATCGCTGAAATGGTTTGACCAGCGTAGATGACGAAGGGGGAAGATACAAAATACAGGGCAGCCATTTTCTCTACATTTTCCTCCTCCTCGTTCTTCTTGCTTCCTCTCGCCAACAGGGACCACAAACTTTCTCCTTGTTCTGGTTTGAGAAGGAAAGGAATCTCCAGTCCGGATTTCAACTCTGCTGCTGCTGGCGATATCTTGTCCTGGATTCTGAGCTCGACGCTACAGAGATCCATCTCCTCTACCAACTCACGATAAGCACCATTTGGGAAATTAACCATTGTGTTGAGTGAGATTATTTTGATTGTTGTTTCAGGCCATAGTAGCATTTGAAATAGAGTTGTTGTCTAAAAGCATTGAAGTATTGTTAGAGTCATAATAATATGTAAATCACACATTTAGCATTATTATTATTATTACCTGTCGAGCAGAATAGACTTTCATCATTTCATATTCGTCATCAAAATAACGGCGACGCGTCTCAATCTCAATTAATTCTGGGGTGGGTTTTTTGGCAGCCTCTCGTTCTTTTGTATATACTTTCCATGAACCATAGACGTTGTTATTTATCGTGGAAGTAGTAGCAGTGCCTGCATTTCTGGCCTTTCCTTCTTGGTCTCCAGAAATATATGTGAAGGACGCAATGGTGTGGAGGATAACATTATTTTTCATATTGGCTCCATCAGTAAATTGAGACAACACGAATCCAATTCTTTCACCCTTGTGAATGTCGCATTTTGTAACCTCTTCCATCAGAGTCGCTTTTGTCCTCACGCAATCTAAACACATAATAATTGAATTATTTTATTATTGTGTATAAAAGTTATAGACAAAAATAACTTACTTGGTTCTGCTGCACAAATAAATCTTGCTCTGGACCTAGTATTGAGGGGCAACGTTACAAATAACCCGTAATCTCGGTTAAGATTGGGTAGGCTATAAGCAACCCTGCTAGTTAGTCCCGGAACCAGCAATCCTTCTTGCCCAGCAGCCCTTATCTTTGTTTCTGCAATTGTTCTCTCGTTAGCAGTGAGTGGGGGATATTTCCCAGTGACAACTTCCGGGGTGAGTGGGGTGAGTTCGGACGTGGTGGACTCCTGTGACGGCATATCTTCATCGTTCCCTTCCCGTGCCAATTCGCAGTAAAACTCTCTGAGTTTACTTTCGTTCTCATCTAAAAGGAGAATAAGTCAAGTCATAAATTGGATGGAATAATAATAACATATTTTGCATTTTTATAGTAGATAGTTTGCACACCTTCCGACTTATCTGCCATTTTCCTCTTTGTAGACAAAGACTGGGTGATTTTACACCATACAGGAACAGGCTTTTCTTCCCTCGTCTGAATTTTTCTATTTACATATCTGTGGTTGGGGTTGGTGGGAGGACCCATTGCATATCTCGTCCCGTCTACTTTGCTCTCAACCATCATCCACTCCATTTTTGACGTCAGCTCTTCCTCGTCGTCATCATCGTCAGAATCCAACTTAACAAACCTATGCATAATGCATAGTAATGAGCATATATTTTGGGATTTATAAATACTTGGTTTGCTATTTACCTTAATTCTGGTACTTTCTCCTCTTCATCGTCATCTTTCTTCTTCTTGGGCTTCGATTTCTTGCTGCTGGTGGGTGTGGCAGCCTTCCTTTTAGAAGAAGAGGAAGGAGTGGCCGGCTTCTGTGTTAAACAGGAGGAACGACGAGAGTTGACAAAATCGTCATCTGAGGAAGAATCATCCATGATTTCCTAGATAGATAATAATAATATTTATACATTATTTATTTTAGATTATGTGCACATACTCATTATAGCAATGCCAATTATAGTAATTAATGTGGTGCAATATTTTATAAATTACTTACGTGTGGACGAGGGTAATTAATTAATAATTGGTAGAGAGTAATGTCTATTGGTGGCACATTGGTGGTGAGCCGGTGACTTGAGGGGCAAAATGAATTTTATCATACCTACACACGGAATTAATGCATATTATTTTCTTTTCAGCCATTTTAAACGACATGATTTTTGCGTATAACATAATCATGTGCTTGTTCTGGACCTTTTTCACTATTATGAATTTTGGAGGGTGGGCCGCTGTTTACACGTTGTTCTTGGAATTATCCGATTTAACAAAGTTGGAGGATTTAGCTCATCTTAGAGTAAGAAGAAGAAAAAAATTATGTAATGATCATGGGCTGTTCTTTAACAAATTTTTTATGTAGATGGGAACAATGGCATCTTTGGCGACCCAATCCATCCAGGGATCCCGTCCAGTCACTCCGCACAGTGTTCAATCTCTACCTTATCATAATCCATCCGTTAACATTTGACAGTAAGAAAAATAATCCAGAATGCCATCTTAATATGACACGTTAATTCATTACATGACAATTTTTATGCCAACCAAGTGAAATATAGTTTATGCCGTCCAAGTTCAATGCTTATTACACAATTAAATATATAAATACTTTAAAGTTATGGCTTTATATCCAGTCAACTTGAGACTTTTATATTATGACTTTGTACCAAATGTTAGTATTTAGAGAGTATTTAAGTAGCCTAGATTGCAAATTTTTGCTAAAACTGTTCAGTAATTTTATACATATACTTGATGAGATGGGAAAGAAGATCTGAGAATTATTCCTGCCATGTCTATCTTTCCGATGACGAATAATTTCTTGCTGAAAAGCTTTATTTTATTTTTTCAATCCTAAACAGACATTTTTTTACTTTGTATATAAGTAACCCGATAAGTATATATAAGTTAAGCTAGATAAGTTAGATGGCTGGACTCTAATGCAATTTTGTACATAAATCATAAAATTAATACTTGTAAGATTTAAATAAATTTTGTATTATTAATTCGGAAATCAAAATAATCTACTTGTCTCAAACATTTCTTGGATACATGAATTTCTACAATCGGCGTAACCTTATAGCACATTTTCGTTAGTTGGTTATTGACTCTGATAAATAAACTCATTAATGATCTTGGCTTTGCAAAGTAAGTGCACAGCAAATATTGTTGTATGTATAGAGAGAAAATGGTGATAATAATACATGTAATATGCTAATAGAAACATGCAGCATCACCATTATTATTCTAGGTTCATCATCGCATTACAAAAATCATACACCCACAAAAGTTTAGTCCAGACAGTTCTTGACTAACCCTTTTTTTACTGTTTTTTACATATAGCACAACACAAAGTCTCATTCCCCATTCCGGCTTAATACTTATGTACATTGCATATGTACATCTCTGCGTAGTTGGTTGTGGGATATTGCAACCAAAAAGTACATCTGATTCCTGATTTTACTATATCATTTCCTCTCTTTGGAGAATATACCCTTTGCTAAATAAATAACTATTTCCATCCATATAACTTGCCCTTTCTTCTCTGAAGTCAATCTTCCTTTATACGATTGGTGTATACATAAATACCACGAATAATAATTCCATACAGAGACTTATAAAGCATCGAAAGAGCGAATGAAATGCATATTTCATTCAACTTGTGTACATGCAAAGTTTGAAGATAATATTCATCAAGACATTGCTAAAGTGAACGAAAGAGCGGAAATTAAACTCAGACAGATCATCTTCTCCTTAAAGTTTTGTTTCCTCCAGGATAATTTACTTATAAAGCAGGTCACGTAGCATATACGTAATAATGAGCTGATATGTATACATACAGAATTTCTTAAAAAACGAGAAGATCTCAATCCTCAGACGCAACGTGACTATTATATAATTTACATACATCAAAGAGTTGATACGAAACAAGGAAATCCCATCATCTCTGCTTAATGGATAAACCAGAAATGATGATGAGCAAACTTGAAGAAAAGTGAACCCAATTAAAGTAAATCATTGACCGATAAAGCACGTACGTATGTAAATCATAATAATATTTTGTATCGATGATGTCAAATCCAAAAACGTTCCTCTTTTTATAATGATTCATTATAAAAAGAGGAACGTTCATTATTAATGAATCAAATGTCAAGGAGTTGAGTTTAAACTAGAAGACGACTAACTCGTACATACATATTTGTCAATTTGTCATTTTATACATAACTTGGAAGACATTTCAGTTAAATACGAAACCGTATTACCTACTTTTTTGTGAAGGAAGCAAAAAGTGAAGTGATCCAAATAGACGCACATTTTTGAGACTACGGTAAATTCAGCAATAAACCAATATATGATCAGCAAAGAAAGCAACAACGGTACCGAGTAAATAGAAACATTGAATTGTCATGGATGAATAGTTCACAACAATTTCATAGTGACGAATAGGAGGTGAGGCATGTCAGTCAGTTGTGGTTTAACCAAGCAGTGAAGCATCTCGGGCGCAAAATAATCTAGAAAATAATCTCAATCACACGGAAAAATGACGCCGATCACGTATTCGTTCGTGGTGACCTTGTGCCTCCTAATCTGCAACTTTGGAACATGGGTGTCCACGGAAATGTTCACGGCGCAGGTGGATCTCGAAGCCCTGTTTCCAACGCAGGAGTTGGTAATTGAAGCTTTTGAGGTGTACTTGGCCAGGGAGGAGATACGATTGAAGGAGGTCAGGAGGAGGTTAGAACCGCTTATTCTGCGGGGCAAGAAACCAAAACAGGAAATCATCGATAATCCCATCAGCGCATTTCTCCTCGTGAAAGGCTTGACCATTGATTTGGACGACGTGCTCAACATTGCAGAGCAAAAGTATAATGTTCAAGGTACTTTTTTTATGCGTATTACTTTGAAAAATTGTGATATGGTTAGTTGACAATTTATATTTGTGGTTTTACAAAAAGATTTGGCAAAGAAAATCCAGAGCTTGAGAGATGACAACAAATTCCCCGTGAGTGAAGACCTTAATGGAGCCGCAGTAGCGATAACTCGACTACAGGATACTTATCAACTAGAAACCGCAGATATTGCTCGTGGGGATTTGAATGGACATTGTTGCGCGGATAGGCTAACAGGTACGTGCATATACATATGCCCAGACTCAACAATTTTAATGCTCTTGAAAATTTCTTTATTTTAATACACAGCCGAAGACCTTTTCGAACTTGGGAGACAAAGTTACACCCAGGGCGATATGGATCACACAATTTTATGGTATGCACAGATGCACATTCTTAAAGTAGTAGTATAAATATTTCTAACTGTACAATATTTCTACAGGATGCACGAAGCACTTTCCAAATTTCATGAAGAGAAACAAAATGCCACAAGTTTTGCGACCGAGTACAGAGCAGGTAATAAAAAGAAAATTTCTCTAAATTTAATATTGCAAAATTCATTCACTAAAAAAATGCAATATTTGCTTGATTCTTCAGCGTCCGAGTCGGATATTTTGGAGTACTTAGCTTTCTCCACGTATCAAAAGGGCGAACTTCAAAGCGCAGGTTATTATTATTTACCATAGTTTAATTATAACAAGGTTATTTATGTCTAATGATTGATCACAAAAAAAAATGATAAGTTCAAGAAAGATTATGTCATTTCTTCCTCTTGACCGGTGAGTTGGTGGCGTTTGAGAGGGGAACACGGTTCTCATTCCTCTTTTCAGAATTTGCACGCAGCAACAAAGCTCGTTCTCGCTTCATCGCCACCAACTAATTATTCAAATACAGTTCAACGATTACAACGAATCCAATACAAATTACTTATTTTAGAGTTGAAAATAAGGAGAGTTGACTTACCATTTTTTTTGTCTCATTGTGAGCTTGTTTCTCATCCTCCAACTGAGACCTCAATTTGTCGTTCTCCTTGAGCAACTTTTCTTCACGAAGCGAGGCCTGATGCAGGTCTTCCTCCAATTTGCAAATTTTGGAAGTCCCTTCTTCAATCTTTGCCCTGAGAATCGGGTCGCCCAGTGGTCGGTCGCCTTCTTCTGCTTCGTCTATAAAGACTAGTTCACGGTCCCCAATAACCAACGAGTTCTTCAACTCTTCCACTGCTTTGATGATGATGGCGAGTTCATCTTCTTCAAAATACGTGAGAGCTTCTGGGGGCATAAACGTGTCCACGCACACTTTTTGAAGAATGTTGCGAACTAACCACTTCCCGTTCGAACTGCACAAAGTTCCTTGAAAAGGGTGGATGGGGACGACTCTTGTTTCCTCACAAATAACCTCATATCCTTGTGGGAGGAGGACCCTCGACGAGCAAGACTTCTTCAGCATCGTGGTGTTGTGACGCCCGGCACTCTTCATGTCAGTCTTGTTATTATGGGCGGCAATAACCCCGTTTCCATAAGTAGTTTTACTTATACTCAGACCGATCGTGTTGTCCTTCATCCAAATTTTGATTATTATTTTGTGTAATCCGCCATTACTCTCTGCAAACAACAATAAAAACGAGTTAAATATATATGGAACCGTATATATTTTATAAAGTTTGTTTACCATAATAATCTTGAGGTTTAAATGCTCTTGGAATAATTTTGCACCCATCACCGTCTGCGTAAACGTGTGTGGGAATGGCGACATGTCCTCTCCTTGTATGATTTAGCATCGACGTCTGATTCCTCGAATCTGCAAGTTGTGCACGTCGCCACCAATTCACCACCAGTATTCTCTATTTCGAAATTTTCGTAAGAGTATGTCGGCCTAATCGTTGAGTCTACATAACACAAAAATATAGATAACGATTATTGTAGTAATTTATAAATTAGAAAAACATTAGCTAAACATTACTTTCAATCTGGGTGGATCCGGGATGTTGTACCCTCATGTGTCTCAAGAGTCCACTATTTCTAAAGTTATTCAAAGAATGGTTATGTTAATCAAACAGTCAATAATACGAAATTACATGAATAATGAGAGACAAACCTTTTAAACTTTACCCCACAAACTACACACGCAAACTTTCTCTCATCGGAGTGGGTCAACTGATGACTTTTCAGATTACACTCTGTGACAAAGGTTTTCCTGCATTTGTCACAAACGAATTCTTTCTTATTCAAGTGTCTTTTTCGATGAATTTCAAGTGCATATGGCGACACAAAACGTTCGTCGCACATGTCGCACTCGTACTTATTTTTTATTTTTGCCACTTCGAAAGCTTCAGCTCCTTTCACTCTTTTTCGCAGCTTCTTGATAATGGGTGCCATGTCGAACTTTTAATAATTTTACTAAGTTATTCACGGTCAGAGTGTGGGCGGTGAGAAGAAACTTTGTTTACTTTTATGAGTGGTAAGGAAATTAATTCACAGCGGATTGAGTGAATGAGACTGAGAGCAGTGAGCTTTGTTGCTGCGTGCAAATACTGAAAATACGTTTTCGTTTCTTCTTCTTCGCCACTGCCCTGAATTTCGAGTCGTAGGCGTCATTCAGAGCGGTGAAACGTTCACCAAATCTAATTTTTCAAGTTCAATTGACGAACGAGCTGCTTCGAGTTCACCCAGATCATCCCAGAGCAAGTGGAAATATTGAGCACTACCAAAGAATGATTGACGAGAAAAAAGGGGAGGACGGGGGGCTGAGTGACCGGGTATAAACATTTAGTCCTCATTTTTTATGGCAATGCACATATCTGTACCTTACATAAGCATGCATGCATCCCTAAAGCATCAAGTCTAATAACGTTTCAATGTTTAGCTTGGTTCGGTAAAATTAGGTTTAGAAATGGTATGCAAATTTGTAATAATCTCGCCTTATTGCTTAACCCCGCTATTATTCACAGGTGAAGGGGGACGTCGGCAGTGATCTTGTAGATGGTCACAAGGGGATCTTACTCTCCAAGCTAACGCATGTACATAATTACTTACTTCAACTTATGCATATGATTATTATTATTCTGTATATTACATAAATCTGCATTATTCACTTCTGCTTACACATTATCTACTAACGCTTCAATTTTTATGTAACCCTTATGCAATATAAATTGCAATTTTTTTAACGCATTTGGTCGAATCTAATAATAGTCCTACACCATCCGGGAGAGAAGAGAAAGCAAAGTTGGTTGGGAGAAAACCAAGTATGAAGCCCTTTGTCGAGGTGAATACCAAACGGCACGTGTTACCAAGAACATGAAATGCAGATACAACCAAGGTGGAGATCCATATCTTCGAATCAGCCCTGTCAAAGAAGAATTGATTTATGAAAAACCAAATATTTGGATTTATCACGACATTATCAGCGACAAGGAGATCAACGTCGTAAAACAATTGGCGAGACCAAAGGTGTGTCTGATAAATTGTCCAGATGATATGTGCATATTCAGATGTAAAAGTCTATATTTTTTGCATTGCAGTTTAAGCGAGCTACCGTCCACGACCACGCTACTGGGGAGCTGGTCACAGCTCAGTACCGGATTAGCAAATCTTCTTGGCTTCAGGGTCATGAGAATCCAGTAATTGATGCTGTTAATAAACGCATCACCGCCATTACCGGACTTGGTAAGTTAACTGTTTTTATTACTTATACACACAAATGTATAGAAATATGAATTTTTTTCAGATGTAGAAACGGCAGAAGAGCTTCAAGTCGTAAGTTGTAAAGACTTTCTTTTACCATGACATGAGTTCCATCCATTTAATACTCTTGGCATTTGGTAGGTTAATTACGGTCTCGGAGGCCACTACGAACCCCACTTTGATTTTGCGAGGGTAAGTACACAATAAATATTATAAGATAATGGTCTCGTTGACGAAATTAAAATTGACAATGATTTATGTACGCCTTAGAGGGACGAGAAAGACGCCTTCAAAAGTCTGGGCACTGGAAATCGAATCGCCACATATTTAATATACATGACCGACGTTGAGGCTGGTGGTGCCACCGTTTTTCCGACCCTTGGTCTGACCCTGTACCCCGTCAAAGGCGCAGCCGCGTTTTGGTATAATTTGCTTGAGGATGGAACTGGCGATGTGACCACGCGTCACGCTGCCTGTCCAATTCTACGGGGGAGCAAATGGGGTAATTTTTAACAATCTCATAGTTTCCTATATAGTTTCCTGACATGATGTTTTATCTGATAAAAAAATATTTTCCAGTCGCAAATAAATGGATTCATGAACGCGGACAAGAATTCCGAAGACCGTGCGGCCTCAAGCATAACAAAGTTGCCGGTGATGAATCAGACTGATTTGAAACATTCGTCTCAAAATAATGTATGTATGTAAGAACAAGAACTGATCCTCAAAGTCAAATATCGTCAAGTGCCATAATAATGCAAAGTTCTCAAAGCAATTTAGACTTTCAAGCCATACTCACTCGGTATTTATGCATTTAACTTTGTCGTCAATCCCATTATACTGACATTTATTAATCTCGTCTTTCTTGACATTTTATTGTTACCGATTAATTACCATTTAATTTTTAAGACTTGTTTTCACGTAAAACATTTTCCTACTCATGTTTACCATTTATTACTTAATCTTACGTATTGATACTGACCGCTTGTTTATCTTGTTGATACAATCCTATTAATTGTTACGAGCTCAAGTCCACATTTATAGTCATGAATCTCAATCTCAGAAGAACGTAGAAACTGACCAAATCCAAGTCCATCATATTAATCATTTGCAATTTTTTAAACAAAATTGCGTTAACAAATTAATAATCTCACCACAACACAAGTAATTTTGTACACTGATTTGTATTTGTACTCGTGTATGGCACGGCATAATATAGTAACTATTAATATCAAAAGTTATCAGATTCAATAAAAAATATAAAACTTGTTAAACCCAAAACCTTTGATGTTACATAATCATGCAGAATCCTATGCATGCAATACAACTGCAAGTCTCAACTTCCTCACGATGTCCAACACCCAACATCACACGATCAATAACAAAAAAAAAACTGTTTACATTTCGTTTCAGCCGTTTAATTTAACTGATAATTGAACAAGTTCAACGTGACATTTCTATTTGTTGACATTACATGTAATTAGTGCGTAGTAAAGTTATTCAGTAAAATTGTTGCTGTAAAAATGTCCTCCTCCACCACAACTTCGATAACCCTCCCTAAGCATAAATCTAGCAAGAAGCCTGATAATAAATCAAAACAGAAACATAAACTATTCGAACGAAATACAGCCAGCCCATCCTCGTTATTACCGAAAGGAGGACCCCCTGAAAATGAATTTTTCCAATTTTACTCAGAACTATACAAATCGGCCGTTCTGTTTTCGAATCCGAAATTTCAACAAATGTTACTTTTCCCACATCCGAGCCAAGCTCATTCGCTTATCAATACCAGTCGGAGCTTGTCATCCCCCAACTCGATGATGATGATGAAGAATAAGCGAGCCATGAAAAAAGCTCAGCGACGACTCAGTGGGGGGAGTGCCCAACAACGGCAACAATCTCCCAACAGCAATATTACTTATCGTACATCGTCAACGTCAACGTCAACCATGTCCACGTGCGATGGTGACTACAACTCTGCAGAGAGTGGAGGATCTTTAACGAAAAAGTCGTTTTCCGACCATTTCTTGGTACATCATCCCCCAACCATTGCTCCATTGACATCCACACCCACACAGACTGGAAAAACTAAGGTCATTGGAGGACTAAAACTCAAGCGGAGGGTCAGCTTTTCCAAGAATTCGCCGAGAGCAAGATCAAGATCAAATTCTCAGCAGCAGCAATACAACAAACAAGGTTCTTCAACTAATAATAATGTCCCATGGATAACGATTCAGGAACATTGTTGGAGCAGCGATATGGACGAAACTGACACGACGGAAGATAGTGATGAAGAAGACGCAACTTCGTCTTCTGTTCTTCTGTATGTTGGTAGTGGGGGGAAGAAGGAATGTGGAAGTGCAACTTGCGACCGAGATGGAGACAATGAAAATAGCACCACGGATGATGGTACTAATAATTTAAACTTAACGCACTTTAATCCTCGAAACAATACTTGAATCAACTATATTAATTATACATATATGTTGTAATTGTGTGGTAGGCAAGAAGAACAAGAAGGCGACAACATCGATGGAGGAAGTCGACGTGCAACTGCGGAAGTTGTCGACGACAACAAAACAAAAAGCGAATAGTTGTGATTGTGACGAGATGCCAGAGTCGGAAGCTTAATAATTTGTACACAATGTCTGCCTTGTTGGACTGAAAATTAAAATGTAATTTAATAATGGAATTGTCACATTGAATCAATTGTACAATTTTGCATAAAAATAATGAGAACTTAGTAGTGAATAAATGTTTGCATCAAATATTTTAAAGTGTGAAGGAATTCTTAAATGACAATAATTATTTTTGAAGATTACGGTCCGGTGAAAGGGTATATAACGTAGCGTCCAGTTGTCATATCGGTTGAGAGGAATGTCCAGGTTAGGTCACGGTCAACTTTATCCTTGAATAGAAATTGGTCGGATTATGTAGAAGAGTGGTAAGAATACCGCCGAGCCCTGCAACATAAGAAAAAGGCAAATATTTTAACATTTGCTTAAACAGTTTTACACTAAATAATGTATTTACTTATTTATTAAAAACCTCACCTCATGCTCAGTTATAAGTTGTCCAGATAACTCCCCCCCCCCATTTCCCCATCTTTCAAGTTACTGCCCCAATAATCCCAAACTTTTGGGAGTCGTAATTAATAAAACAATAAAAGAAGGTCCCCATCACTATCTTTCTACTAGTTAAAAGTCTGTTGCCCCCATACTCCTCCCCTCAAAATTAATGCTGGAGAACAGCAGGAAAATATTTGGTTCGCTATCTAGTTTTTAACCGAAACAGCTTTTAAAATGAAATTGGGACCTTCTTTTCAGCAGAACAGAGCGAAAGAATTTGTCTCTCGTGCTGCTGAAGCACAAGTGAGCTTTCATTACAAGTGAAAGGTAGCCGGGTTCAAAGTCTTCAAAGCAGGCATTTTTGACATGTTTTGGGCTAAAATAGCCCCATGTTATTAATAACCTTTGTATTAAAATAGTTTATATGTAAATAGTCAAATAAGATGGTTACCAACTTTCTGGTATCACATAAGCTATTCTTTCCTTGTCAATTTAAATACGTAAGAGTTTCATTTTTATTCAATTGTGTAAAATTTAGTAGGAGCATTTCTGGTCATGACATTGAGACATTGCTTTATCAATTTTTAAGCTACAAAATGCGAACGAGTAAAGTTTAATACGGCTGACAAAATGCAGCAAAAATTATTTTATCTACGTTAGCTTGACAAAATAAAAGGCATATATTTTACAGACGTACTGATCAGATTAGCCCCTATTTAAAAGTAGTTTCTGCTTAAAGTATAAAAATACATTAACTACCAGTTAAGTTACGAGAAATCAGTCTATAAAGATTAAGATTTGGCTCATCGGAGGGGATTGATAATTTGGTCACTTAAATATGCGACGTTTTCGATACGACGACCATCTACTATTCCTGATCGCTGATCCATGACGAGTACCATTGTCGAAGCCTCTTTATTTTCAACGATTTGACCACCACCAGACTGGACGAGACGGCTGAAGGCTGCAAACTTGTTATTGGCTTTCCCTTCCAAGAAAAATGTATCTCCGTGAAAGGGAGTATCGGTGGGGTCCTTCAGAATGCGACGAATCCAACAGAAAGAAGATTTGGCAAGCTCTTTTACGGCATCAGTTTTAGCGTCACTTTCTTTCCAAATGAACTCTTCAGTTATCTAAGAATAATCATTAAAACAAACATTTTATTGACACTTGATAATAATAATAATTTAAGTTTAAAATGAGTTTTTAAACGGTTTTGAGGACTCGATTTCTAAAAACTATACAGTTTTATTTATACTCGACCAAGCTTTCTACAACGAATGTTGTCTTCATCAGGGTCACAAATATGTATTGTTTTCTGACAGAACACTACTTCAAAAACTTTTGACTAAATTACAATAGTTTCCCTAGGAAATTTTATGGATTTTTTATTAGAGGAAGAATAGTTGGTAACCAAATAGGGTTTATTTTCCTCCCATCCTTGATGTTCATGCTAGATGGATTTTTCTTAATATACAATGCTTCTTTAATTTTTCGATGATAAAATAATTTAAGTAATATAAGATTCCTCCAAAAGTTATTTTAGTCTCACCGGAATAAATCTGTCTGCTTCCATGCATGCATCCACGTATGCTGATGTGACAATGGGCTTCCCAGACGCGATTGCACATAAAACTTTTTCACTCCTGGCCAAAGTATTTGCAATCACAGCAAATGAAGATGGCTCAAACATCGCTGTTTCAGAAACATTTCCGCCCAACCGAACCAACTTGTGTTTTACTGATCTCTTATCCTACAACAAAATCAATCAATTAAACCAAATACCAACCTGGACGCTCAATTATTACGATTGTACAGTAGCTGTAATTTTTCTTACATTATCATTCAAGCCTGACAAACTGAACGTTGGTCGTGGTGGAACTTTAAAAATAATTTCACGGGTTCGACCCTGGCTGGACACGATTCCCGGTGAGACGCCTACTTGTTGTTGCATGTCATTATGAAAATCTTCACTATCAGCCACCCACACAACAGGAGGTGCATCTAATTCTTCAGCACATGGTTGATCTTCTTCCCTAATTACTTGCTGGTGTACTTTCGATGGCGATTTTCCGTTATCGGTTTCTTCATTTTCATCCTCTTCTTCTTCCTCATCCTCGTCGTCGTCGTCATCTTCTTCGTCCTCGTCTTCGTCGTCTGCATTAGCTAAAAGAGTTATAAGCTTTTGTAAATTTGCAGTCGGTCTGTGCTCTTGAGTTTCAGCGATTGGTTTAGGGATTTCCTTATTTTTTTCGACAGGGTTAAACTGAGAAGGATCATTTTTGCTTCCATTTGCATTCGTACTTGAAACCTGTTCTTCTCGTGCACCAACATCAACAATATCGTCTGCTTTTGATGATAATTTACGAGAACCAGATTGAGCTGCTGAAGTTGCATCCTCTTCTGAAGAAGCTGGGTAATTGCTGGTACTACCTGGGCTAGATATTGAACTAGTTTTTGCACACTTGCGACTTCCTGGTGCTTCAGATTCGCTTTCGCTGGAATTAATACGAAGACGCTTGGGAAACGATGCAGGGTTCACATGTATTTCCTCATCATCCGTAGTTGAAGACGTAGTGGAAGATCTTTTGGAGCTAGTCGCTGACTTGTTGTCCTCTTGTTGGCTCTTCTCGGCAGTACGCTGAAAAAATAAATTAAAAAATTATATAATTGTAATTGGAAATATTCTTATTTCATTCCAATCCAAATGCTTTGTAAATTATGTAACCTTACAGCTTTGGGTATCAGTTCTGCCAGCTTGGCAAAATCTCGTGCCATAATATCACGGAAAGGCGTTGATTGTCGACGTCTCAGTTTAATAACTCCAATATCTGGCGATGGGGTTTTCATAAGTTCTCTATACAAAGCCTTCATTCCTCTTGACTGAGCGCGAGATAAACCGTAATGTTCACCGATGATGGGAGATAACTCTTGGGCTGGGGGTGGTGTTGGACGTTTTGGTTGTTGAGCACGCCACTCCATAAATTCTGGATCGTTGTCCATGTCCTCAATTGAAGTTGGGTTTGCAAGTTTCCACTCAATGAAGCTATCAGTCTGTGGAATTTCTTCATTCAAGGCATCACCAGGTGTGGACTTCCTCGGTTTTGACGTCGGCGTCTTGAAAACATGGTTATTCACATTTTCCTTAGGTGATGTGGGTGGTGCGTGTTGTCGTTCGGATGCAGCAGCTTGTTGGAGTTGGCTCACTTTGCGATTCTTCTGTTCAGTTTGAAGTGCTTTCTGCACTCTCGATGAGTTTACAACTGGAGTTTGGGGGAGATAATTCACAGTTGATTGAGAGTCTGATCGATTTAGTGGATCGAATGGTCCGATGTCTAGAATGACTTTTTTATCAAAGCTTTCAACCACCCACTCGGCTACAACTACAGGCGTCTTCCATTTTTGAGCTGCCCTATATTTATCGCTGTCGGTTTTGGCACAGAGCAGATGCGTTGTTCGATACACCGCATTTACAGTTTTTCTTGCAAACATGTCTTGAAATCTATGTCCATCCACATTATAATAAGTGTAATAAATTAACATATGCATGCAGTAAAATTATCCAGTAATAATAATTTTTTAAAAAGTCGAGAAACTTACTTTCCTCCCATTTCATTCACCAGCTCGGAAATGTATTCTTTTTCCGAGTTTGTGTATTGGCTGATAGCAACAACAACGCCAACAAGAATGCTTCCCATTCCAGAAAACGGTTGACGTGGTTTGTAGAAATAAAATGCGTCGCCATCCACAATCGCATCATGGTCGATGCAGTCGTTCTAAAAGAAAAAAAACGTAGCGATCATAAATTTGTATGAATGAATAATGTATGAATTTATATATTACAAATACTAAGCAAATCATAGAAAATATCTAAATAAACTAGTGAATTAATTAATTCAAATAATAAGCTGACTCAAATAATGAATGAATATTGCTTACCACCCATTGCCTTGTTCTGAGATGTACTTCGCCAGTTTTCGCAGTATAAAGTGTCGGAACAATAAGGAAGTTATAATCAGCGCCTGATGACAACTTTCCTCCATTATCTGTCAAGGTATTTTCAATTTCGATACGCTGGTTTGGATTATTGTTCATCTCAACTTTAAACTTGAGACCAGAAAATAGTTTCGGTTCCGATTCATTTAAACTGTTCATCTCTCCTTCTGCTACATGTTCCGCTTCATCCTGGTTCAGATTCATGCCATTCTCGTCCTCAATATTTTCATTCTCTTCATTGGCATAATAACGTGCTTGAAAATCGTTCTCCCCTACTTGGACATTCAAACTTTTGTTTACTGGCGACCCATGTGAACGGGATTTCGCTTGATTGACATTTATTTGTGGTTGTTGATTATCCCCATTCTTGTCAGATGAATTGTTCGCGGTAGGAGAACTTACTCCGGCATTATTATCAGAAGAACTCGACACTTCACAGCGAATGTTTTCAACCAGGTGTTCAGCCGGGTAATGTGACGATTGATTAATAATAATCGACTCTGCAACCCTGTCGACTTGATTCATCATCACATAAGCACCATTTGAGTCAATATTTATCCTGTACAACTCTTCATCTGTGGCTGACCCTTTTTTCGCAGAGTCGATTAGCCACTGAACTTTCATCAAGCATGGTCTGCAACAATTAGGAAGTACATTGTATTAGCAATCATGATCCAACTCGATATTAGAATAATATATCTAATTATATACCGATATTTCATTTAAATGATAAATTACACAGGTAAATGAACTAATATTTCTTTGTACATTATTATTGCTCTACCTGGGATCAAGTTTTTTAAATTGCTGTAGTTCGGATGAATTAAGTTGATTGTTTGGTGGAAGAATTATGTGTGTGACTCTGTCGCTTATCTTACTAAGTCGTACTGCTCCAGCATTTACCAATTTCCGTACATGTTCAGATTTTTGATTGTTGCAAATATAAATCTAAAATAAGAACCAAAGACGTACATATTTACTCGTGCGTATATTTCCAAAAAGAGTGAGTACTAGAAATTATGAGTCACACATACCTGACAACCATCTAGGAAAGGATCTGACATGGTTTTGACCAATTCGACTGCTTGTTTTACACTGTCTTCGGTGTATTCATACTGACTCACGACATGCCTATCCCTGTCCCTTCCAGTTGGACCGTTGATATTACTTAAAACACTGTCATCAGTGTTAGAAGGAACATGCACTGCACACAAAAAAAACATTAATTACCTCAGCAAAGTACATGAATAAATATGGTAATAAATAACACATACACTTAGGTAACACCATTGAATTAAACGGAGTCGAAGTTGGTGGATGATCTTTAAAAGGCTGAGGAACAGGGTAATCCTGCCAGGGCACGATATGACCTGCCGACTTTGATGCTTCCACCCAATCTGGAGTAGCGCATGGGACCCCCCATTCTTGAGCAAACCTATATTTTTCACCAGTGGCGAGGGGTATGATTAAAATGGAGGTCTTGGCTCTTGTCAAATCAGCACTATACTCTCCACCTATCAGTCGACGCAGATCAGATATGAAAGTTAGAATACGTGCGTTTGTATGCAATAATTCGTGTTACTGAGTATTACTAACTAATTAACTTACCATTGGCTTCGATTACATTCCGAATCGCTTCTTTCAACTTAGTGAAAACTTGAGAGACACAAACGACCAACTTGTGAAAAATAGGACAGGCGTACTTGACATATTTCTCATCCACGGCATGCACCAGGTCATTCTGACTGTCTTGCCAAACAGCATCGATCCACTCGGGCATCATGACGGGTATGTTGGTCTTGTACGCTGTGAGTACTTTTTCAGTCATCAAACTATAAGCTATGACATGAGTGACCCCTTTTGTTAGACTTCCTGAACAAATTCCCATCATTTTTGTTATCTTAATCGACTGTTCAACCTAAAAACCAATTAATCGTGACTTATGAAATTTCATCGTATAATTAACTCATTAATGTCATTCTTTCACACCCACCTTCTGACCCTTTGGAAATCCTGTGAGCGTGATGAGCATGTTTCTCATACCAACTGTGAACAGTGGCGTAGATCCACCCATATCAAGTTCTGGCGATTTATCATCATCATCTTGTTGTAGAAGGTACAGTAAAACTTGAGGCCCCAGTAGGCTGTGGTTACACATTGACACAAAATTAAGTCACACTTTAAAACAAAATGCATAATTTAATCTCCTTACTAGCACTGCCCTTCCTTCTTATATCCAAGCAGTCTTTCATAAACCGGGCCTTCAAACGAACCCACAATAAACATATTCCCAGGTTTTGGGACGACGTGAATACAATCTTGCTCGGTTATCCATTGGGATTCTATATCTCCATCTTGTGCACACTGTACAAAGATTTAATAGATGTCTAAATTATTAAAATTCTAACATCAAAAATAAACTTTTTAACCCATTTTTTTACCACATATGTCCTCGCCAAGGTGGGACTGCACGTCGCTGCGGTGAGACCTTCTGGTAGTACGAAATATATGACGTTATCCTCCTTCCTGCCAACATCAGACTGAGAGTACATGGACATGCTGCAAACACTCCCTTCGTCTGCACGTCGTCGTCGCGTAGTTTTTTTGGCCTCATTCACCGTGGTCCTGGTCACTCTTAAAGACTCTTGATTCACTCGAACCCCATTCGTTGTTGTTGTTGTCGTCGTCGTATTATTATTATTATTAGTGGTCGTTGTTACTGTTGCTCGTTTCGCAGTGGACCGGGTGGTCCTTCCTCCTCCTCCTCCTTTCGGTGGTGCCATCATTGAAGCGAAGGATTTAAGGCTTATCGTTCGGTACGATAAGACACTTGTTTTTATGAGGTCAAAATGGTAAAATTGTAAATAGGGCAGAGTATTAAACTAGTTTGTGCTTTGTAGAAGCGGGTCCAGCGTGTGAGATAAAGTGATCGTCGTGTAAATAAGTAACCGCCGTTTTTTCTGCCAACTTGAGCCCCGCTGCTCGCTCGCGATGACACATCGAGACTGAAAAAGTCTGATTTCTCTCCAGTTCTTCAAACTGAAATCACAATCTGTCTGTAGAAAATTTTTGCACGTGATTTTGAATTGTTTATTCAGATTTTTAAGTGATAAGCAAATAAGGTCAAGATTATACAAAGATAAGGGTAACCTCGAGAAGAAACTCACAGGTTATCTCTTAGTACTTTAAAAGGTGAGAGTTAGCAAAAAATTTTGCAGTTTGAATATTTCAAACTTTGAAAATTGAAATTGATCTTGAAATTAAAATTTATTAAATATTTAAACATATATTCGCTTATTCGCTTATTATTATTGAATGTTCCATTAATTATGATTTATTGTTATTATTAGATCATCGTGGGCAGACTTTCATATTTCATTGGACTGTCTACAATTACACGATTTACAATTAATTTCGGCAACCTGTGAAGAGGATCAAGATAATGTCGAATTACGGGAAGCGAAACGTTCACACCCCGACGGGCGATAGCTTTTATTCTTCGACCAGCTATGGAGGAGGAGCGGCTGGTGGAGAGTTTTCCTACTCGTTTGCCCAAGATCAGCAATTTGAATCTTTTGATTACAATTCATCTCAACAGCAACATTCGTCTAGTACTTCGGCAGCCTCGCCAGGATATTACGATCCGTCTGCGGCTGTCACGAGCGTACAGCAGGCGTATGGTGCAGGTATGTGCATAATAATTAAAATATAGATAATGCAAATCAGTTCGTTGATCTTTTACTGACAGTTTATGCATCGATATCAATTCAGGTATCCAGCCGACTTACTATGTCCCAACAGCAGCTCCAGCCGCCGCAGGAACGTCCGAGTTTGAGAAAGAATTTGAAGATGAACCACCCCTATTGGAAGAACTTGGAATAAATCCAAGTCATATCATGGAGAAGACGCGATCAGTGCTTAATCCGCTAAGAAAAACCGATGCTACAATTTTGCAAGATACCGATTTGGCTGGTCCTGTCGTCTTTTGCGTTCTCTTTGGTTTCATCCTTCTTCTCTCGGGAAAAGTACAGTTTGGTTACATTTATGGGATTGGAGTCATTGGATGCTTATCGATGTATTTCCTCCTCAACATGATGAGCACTGCGGGCGTGTCTTTAGGAATTGTGGTGTCTGTTCTGGGATATTGTCTCCTTCCGATGGTTGGGCTTGCGGGGGTCAATCTGCTCTTTTCGTTGCAAGGGATTGTGGGAAGTGTGCTAACTTTTTGTGCCATTTTGTGGTGTAGTATGTCGGCATCAAAATTGTTTGTCACGGCGTTGAATATGAATCAACAACAGCCTCTCGTGGCATATCCATGTGCTCTGGTGTATGGTGTTTTTGCATTATTAGCAGTGTTTTAGACTGGATTAATGCAAATTTAATAATTAATTACGACATTTATATAACATTCAGCATTCTATAATATGTAGTTGATATAAAAAATGATCCGACTCTTATATTTCTATGTCATATATATATATTATATAAATTAGAAAGAAATAGAGTAAGCCCCTACTAATTCGTTATGAAGACTGTGTCCACAATAATATTCATTTGTGATTAGAATTTTGCAATTTCTCACCCACATTTTATGACGTGTTATATTACAATCAGATCAAAATCTAAAGTGTGAAATAGCTCCGTGAAATGAAACTTATTAACCCGTGCTAAATATTGTTACTCAGAAGGAAAACTTCACTACTTTGCCTTCTCAAATTCTAATGTCTGCCTCCTTGTTGAGTGGGTGCGGCAGGGCTCAAATGTGGCCATGGCTTCAAACTTGGGGGTCCTATGACCCCCAAGTACCAAATATCCAAAGGGCATCCAAATCTGAGAAAGGCAAGTAGTCAAACCTTCCTCCTCAGTACAATACATAAAATAAGACGACATCGTTGTTTGTAAAGTTGAAATTTATTACCATTTGCAGTAAATACTCTATTTATTATCATGAATTAAAATCGGTCGGTTGACCCTTATTCTCAACATTGTAGATCCTTCACGTGTTCCAAATTTCAAGCCCATTTGTTTAGCGTAAAGCGTACAATACTGCATAGCCGAAAACTACGATGCAATGAGGTTGAAAAATGACTAGAAAGGGAGAAACTTTTCAACTCTTCATCATTTCACATGAGAAAACCAAGCATCAAATCGGCATCATCATCGGTAGAAGCTGCTTTACTTCCTAATGCTGGTTGGTCCAAAAATGCATTTTCTCAAAGGGAATCAACTCTACGCAAAAATTTCATAAGTGAAATGTTTCAAAAACAGGCAACGTTACACGTTCAATACTTGTCTCAATTTTCATCCCACTGGCGAAAGCATAACACATTTTTGTCACATTATTCCATACTTTTCCTCAGATTTGCCTCCTTTCCCCACTAATTGCTTCCCCTTCATGGATGCTCCTCCACTATTAACCATCAAACCAAACCAAACCCTTGTAAGCCTATTTTTTACGATTATTTGATCTCTTCCGAGAAAATAGCATCTTCTCATCTCCGTCTTTATTCCCTCCTTTTTCCCCACCAACCGACTAAACATCATCCAACTTTCTCTCAGCTAGCTTTGCGTAATAATCCGAGATAAAAGCGAGAGCAAGATGGAACACAAAAGACTTATGGTTTTCTTCTTTTTCCAGACAAGACTGATGATGGGAACTAGTTCGAGTGTGAAAAATCACGCAGTCAGTCAAGAGATGAGGAAACTTCCTGCTTCATCAAGTATGAAATAGCTTCATGTGTTCCTTACTTCATGTTTTCTCCAGAAGCAAGGAAACCATGTTTCAACTCCTACTTTCACCTTTTCTTCTTCTTTTACTCTTTTCCTCTGCTAAAAAGATGGATTAAGTGAAAGAACCAAGTTGGTGGTGGGGCGGGCCCATCACGGCATTAGATTAAGGGATGACCGTGTCTTCGTGTCTTACAAACTTCCACAATGTTCAGATGTTCAAATGTTCAGATGTTCAATTGTTCCCAGTAGTCAGTCGTCATGTCATGAACGAACGGTGCTGGTTAGCCACACGGTTAAAAAGATGTACGATTCGACTCTGGAGAAAATTTTGCTGTCCTCTCATAATTTTTCCTAAAAACGTATTCCACATTCTTCGAATTTGTAACGATTTTCGAATTGTTGGACGGAGTTATTAAGGGTCACGCTATATGATGTAGTTGTTGATCTCTTCATGTGGGGGAAGATAAAGGTTGTTTGTTGTCGGTGTGGTGTGATGATGACGTGATGATGATGACACTTGTGATAAATAAACACGTCAACACCCTCCTCTCTGGATGGAACCCTAAGTGGTTGCTCAATTCAGCTCACCAATCCTTGGTCAATTCTTTCACTTTGTTCACATCAAACCGAATTGTAGTTTCTCATCCTTCTTTCCTTCCTTCTTCTGATCTGGAAGTGGGAGAAAGCTCACCAATTGTTGTGTTAGCGTGTAGTTTAGGTACATAAGCATCTTGATTTTACTTGGACGATCTTCTTACTTAGGTTCCGGCCAGTTTTTGCCAGCCAATATAATTATGAAATGTTATTTTATACAAGCCCCATGTAAGATGTAGCGTCTATCTATCTGACTGACAACGGAGGTCTCCATGCGTATGCTCACATATGTTGACTTACCTAATGTCAATCCATCACAAATTTAATTAGTATTAAATTTGTAAAAGACACGATCTGCCAACGCTCAGGTTTGGCGGAGTTATCCAAAAAGGAGAAAACCTAAAATTGACAAATTTTACCCTTTCCAAATTTACTATCATGTTCTCCTATTCTGATGTAAATGCCTCTGCATTCGTGATCCTGTTCTATATAATTTCATATGAATTAAATTTTCATTCGATTGACACCAGTTAGGTTAAAAATCTGAGAGCATACGCTGAGAGACCTCCACTCCGAGGTTAAGCAACTTTCACATATATATAATAGCAAATCATGTTATAATAGCAATCACGACGTGCCTTTTGTTTTAATATAACAAAAATAGTCAGGTATTCTTGCATAATAATTAATAAACTAATGTTTGGATTTCATTAAGTCTGTTTCAAAATATTGTTTCAAGAAAGTTAGCAATATGTACACGGTTCCTTTGTAATTTAATTTGAAATCAAATTAATTATGTTGTTTGACTAAAAAACGTGGTACCATTATTTCTTCTTGGCAGAGGTTGCATAAATAGCCCCTCCAGAGCTTGGTTCGACAGCACTAAAAACTTTTGAACTTTCTCATCTAGAAGAAGTAAATTGTATACGACTTACCTACGTTATTGCCTTTCTCCCTCGAAAATGAAATGAAAATAAGCAGACGAAAAGAGAAAAGCGTAAAAATCACATCAACTTTCACCTCCAACTTTCTCTTGACAAACACAATATATGCAGCGGTAGCTCATGTATTCGTGGCGTTGTCGAGTTTTATGTGGTTTGGCTACTTTTTTAGGTCTCGAGCATTTGCAATCATGATATATACGAATTTATGATACCCTATTCGGCGTGGTCAAAAAACTTGAAGTGAGTTGGAGCCTTGATCCGCCTCCAAGTTGTGGTCAGGTTGTCGTAAAGTAAAACAAAACTGAAATGACACTTGGGGATTTGGGTGTTCTTTTATTTGGTAGAAATACAGAACAGAAGAATGATTATGACACCACATCTTTTGTCAATTCTATCATTTTGCTAAAAAAACTGGAAAATATGTGAGATGCATCTTTACACACGAGTTTTTTGGTTCCCTTCATTTCATATAGCGTTACACGTATATCGCTATTTTTCTACCCTGGAGAATTCGAAGATGACAAGCCGACCAAAGCAACCTGGCCAAGGCCCAAGTCCAAAAGACTAGAACCGCTGTGAATTTGAGCGGAAATGCTGAAATGACGGGTTTTATTTGACTGAAACTGGCCATTTGGTCAGCCAAATCCAATGTTCCATGTTTTGTGTCAGGTTCTCATGTCCAGCTCAATGGTCAAGGAGAGAGAGATGCTGCTCCTGGTCATAAAGTAGAAGGGGCTTTTACTCCCGAAATGATATCGTCTCAACTTTCCTCTCTCTTATTACACAAGGAGAAAGGAGTTACGTAGTAGACTCGATATATCATAGACGTATGAACCGTTAACACTATTTTTCGAAGCAAATGTGGCAGAAAGTGTAAAAAAGAAGTGGGATTTACTTTCTCCAGTTTCACTCTACAAAAGCAAACAAAAGTGGCCACGGTATACATGGCGGGGACGGTGGACGGCTTATGGGCGTGTGTGAATTGAGTGGTCACTTTGTGTAGTAGTAAGTGGTCACAAACAAGTAAAATTGTGTTTCTTTCTCCCTTCTTCTTCTTCCAAGCTGGTCATAAAAGTTGGTGGATGGAAATGTCCAAGTCCATCTCGAGAACTGACTGCCACCCGAGAGTGAGTGGATGGATGGTGAAAAATAAAAGAAAGCGACCACGACAGATTATTATTCGTAGGTTTCCAGTTCTGAGAAAATTCTCCGACAACCCACATTTTCCTGCGAGCTGAATGGTCTTACATAACTTGATAATGTCATCATCTGGCCTCTGTTCGAACACACTTTATGTGTGCCTTCAACCTTTCATCGTTGGTTGGATGCGGTGGGGTCGTGTGGTCCAGCCGTAGGGATCGCAACACAATGTAATGACATCGATTAAACTAAATGACCCGTAAATTGAGTAACTTTATGTTTTATTACTTTTGTGACATTATGGTTTTTAGGTCCATTCTACTCCACAATGTGGGGTGTTTCACAGTTCCGGTAAAATTGTGTATGTATGTATCGAGCTGTTACAATTTTTAACCTTTTAGTGCGTCTACGATCTGTATATGCATTATTTAAGCCTCCCTTTATTTCAACTAATCTCACCCACAGAGTTAAATTAAAATGCGACATAAAGTAGGCTTTTGGTTGGAAAGAGGACAAAATTTATATGTCGAAAACTGAGGAGTCCCCAATTTCAAAAGAAAGCAGCTCCAAGAGCTTTAAGCAATCAAAGTTGTGTTTAGATTGAATTTCTAAGCTTTTAATGAGCTTACGTATAAAGCGTGGTTGGTGGTGGTAGTGGGAGATGAAGATTCTAAAAAATCTGACGGTTGTTTTTCTCCATGTAATTCCTCTTAAATGTAAAGCAGTCAGACTAATTCGTCTTATTCTTGTAAGTACGAGCTTTTCTTCGTCTAATACAATTAGGTAGGAGTAATTAACACTAAGTTCCATGTCAGAATGAAACTTTTACTCGTCTCACTAATGATGTTTTAATTAGTGAAGTTCTTTTTTTAGATGGAAATGTAAAAAGAGGGAAAGTTATCCGGCTCACTGCTTGTTAAGCAATTAACCCACTAATTCAAGAGCCTCCTCTTATTTTGCATACAAAATGTAAGATTTTTGCCAATTTTGGACAAGAATCTTACAGTTGCTTATAAATAATTTGTTCTGTACCGAATATTTCTCGTGAAATAGAGGAAATTGCTGCTAAATAGGTATCGAGCCTGCATTTGCGTGAAAGGCTGGAATTACCTAGTCGCGAACTACTTTGATACATAGTTTGCTTGTGCAGTTTCGATTTTGTTGTTGTCTGTTCTGTTCTGTTTGTGGCGGAGAAAGGCGATGAGGCAAAAACTCAAAAAGGGAAACTGAAACTTCATCGAGCAGGGAATTAAGGGCAGGAGCAGAAGAGGAGTTGTTGGGCTGTCCATGAGAAATAAGCAGGTGGTCGCCTTTTCGAATTTTCGACCCGTCGACTCTTTACAAAAAAGATTACTTCTCTCCTCTCTATTCATTTATTTCATCTTTCATTTCTCTTCTCTGTCTCCCCGTACAGTTTAACACTCATTAATTCCACTCCCTTTTCCGAGGACGCTGGGTGGAAAAACATGCCAGCGACTGAGTGAGCCTCTCCCTTTATTTAATGTGCTCATATTTTTGTATCATAATTTCCGAGTACATACATAAATACATATTCGCATAAATTAGAAAAATGAAGAAGGATTAAACCCTCGTGATGAATCGGCCAGATTAAAATAAAATAATAAATCTTTTTCCTTACTTTCTCCGGAAATAAAAGTTGGTACTTTTTGCGAGGAAAATGCTGCATGTCAGAAATGTCTAGGTTATATGAGATTGGTGAGCAAGTATGCATAATATGTACAACTTTTGACACTAAAAAATAAGGCATATACTTATACGAAGAGCTAGGAAGAGCCAAGAGCAGCTTTCACTTTTCTCATTAAACTCGCCTTGAGCAATAAAATAAAGTAAACCCGTTTCATACTTTACTTTTACACAATTCAATTAAGAATTAAGGAAAAAGTTCTGAAACTCAGTTGGAGCTTTTCTTCTTCATTTTCTACATAACATTTCATCACTTCATTTATTTCACTATTTTTAGAGTTGGCTGCGCTCACTGCTCGCACTAAATGCTATAGTCGAACAATTGTTCTTCTTTTCTTGCTTGTCTGCAAAGTCTGCAGAAAATTGGAGGAACGGCAGCAGTAAATTGCTGCTGGCATTTGAATCGATGAGAACTTGAGTGGATGAGATGGCGAAATTACTTTATGAGACCGTGAAAAGAAAGGTAAAAAGCAAGGATGCAGCTGTCCAAGTAAAGAAAGTAAAAAGTGGGGAGAAAGTTAAATTAGCTGGAAACGTATGTATGTAAATAAGGAATTATAAGTAGATTCGCTCTCTTGGCTCTTAAAAAATGTGTGGTTAAAATTATT